ATAGGTGATCAGAGCACGTTTCACCCTGAGACCAGCCTGTTCCTGGGGGGGCTGTCTGCTGGCTCCCCTGAGGGCCAGTTCTCGGGGGTCTAGAGGAAGGCAAAGACCTTAACCAAAATTCGGTTTCTTCCCAAATGACCAGTGGAGGCAAGCAGTTCAGGTAATCATTTAGGAAGAAGGAAAGGGGATTCTGAGGTCTGTATCTGGCCTTGTCACAGGTAAATTAAGTCATGTGGAGAAGGAGGTTCTTTGCCATAACTCATTTTCCAAAATAAAAACGGGTTTATTGAACCGCCGTTTTCCCGGAGCACACAGAACGCAGGTAACACTATTCTCACGAATGGGTTGGCTCTGAAAATAGCAGGAGTGTTCGTGGTGTCCTCAGTGAAATACAAGAATGGGGAGACCACAGGCTTTGACCTTTCTCCAATAATTGTTAAAATCTGCAAGAAGTGTGTACATCACCACGGGCAGAGCTGGTGTGGCAGCTGCAATAAGGCACCTGCTGGGGTATCTGCTGCTGTCTTTGCCCCCTGGGGCTCAGGGTTCAAGAGCGCCTCCCCAGAACACCGGAGCCTGGGGAAGCCTTGTGTTTCTCGGCCAGGAAAGCCACACTAGTCACCAGAATGCCCATCACTGTGGTCTGGGCCAGGGTCAGGACCCTTGGCCTCTTTGGCACCAGGCCCCGTGCTGGGCCCCAGCCAGGTCTCAGGTGCGTTTCCCAGGCAGAACACAAAGGGGAAGCTCCCGAGTAGCAGGAGCTGCCACCCTGGCCCCTGACCCTTGGTGGCTGTTTCTGTGGTTCCTGACTCGACATCAGTCACCCACAGGATGGGAAGCCCCAGGGGCCAGGCCTTGGTTTCTCGTGGCTCCGGTCCCAGCACTTGGCATAGGGACAGTTTGCTGAATGAGTGAAGGCTGAGCCCCCAGGGCAGTGGGGGTGTCGTCCGACCCCCGGGGGTGAATTCTATGCACAGGTGGCTGAAGGTATAAGTGGGAGGGGTTTCAATGCCAGACTGAGAGTTTGGACGGGCTGCCAAAGGTTATGGGGAGGAGTTTTGAGCAGCAGAGTGAGCTGATTTGATGTCTGCATAGGGCCAGAGGCTGAGGTTTCTGTTTGAGAGAAGATGCAGGACCTGTTCCAATCCCTGTCCCGCACCAGCCTCCTCCAGGACCAGGCTGGGAGTGGCCCGGTGCTGGTCAAACGCTTACTGGGGACCTGGGAGTGAGGGACTGGTCTGAAACTGCAGCCAGAGTGGGAACACCTAAGTCTGGAAGGGAGGCTCAACCTTCCAAGTCGATGCCCTGCAGCTGGTTTCCTCTCAGGAGTGCCTTTAGCGCCCCCTGCTGCCAGTGCCTGGAAACACACTGGAGCTTCGGAGGAGGGAAGAAAATGAAAACACAGGGAGAGGGCCCCCCACACCCCATCCCGGCAAAGCCGCTGTACTGAGGGCTGTTCCCCATCCCGGCAAAGCCGCTGTACTGAGGGCTGTTCGCTGAGCACAGTCGCCTGAATACTGACTCAGCACCTGCCTCTCATGACTGAAATGTGCCCGACATGCTTGCCATCCCCGTCCTCTGAGTGCCCTGCAAGGCTCACAGGCTACCTCGGGTAAAAGACTGCGGGGAAATATGGCCAGGCAGTGCTGCCACCTGCTGGTCACACGGGGCACTGCCGGCAGATGGCCAGTCGGGGGCAGGTGCCTGGTGTCCTGGATCAGAGCCACATGGAGCAGCCTTTAGGGTCCCTCCAAAGGACCCTTTCCTCTGGCTGGAAGAAAGCAGAGTCCCCCGTCTCCCCTGTGTCCCTGTGGGCATCTCTAGGGAACAGCTCCAGGGGCCCAGTAGCTGTTTGGGCACCATAAGCCCCTCTCTAGTTGGATTAAGCCCTCAGAATAATGTTTGTAAAAGCAAAACATAAAATAATGAGATTACAAAGGAAACCAATTATACTGACGTATGGATATCAAAACAGTGATTATATCAAATCTGCTTAGTGAACTAGGATCCAGCAGCAGGTAAATACCAACAGTGCCTTGGAAGCCGCCGTCAGCACGGATGATAGTGTGAGATCCGCAGCAATCAGAACGCGGTGGGAAAACGCTGGTGGTTTCCACCAGTGCCAAAGTCACAGCAACCGCAGACACCGCCTCCCATCTTGCCTAGATTTATGGTGGAAGGAAATGCCACCATTTCATTAAAGGTTTTTAACACCGAAGATGTCATTTCTTCCATCCAAGTTTGTGGATTCTCTCCGTGGACCCCTTGGGGGTCGGCACCCCAGGTTAAGAGCCCCTGGCCCAGGCCCTGCCTGGTGGCCCCGGCACCTCCTCAGCTCCCTGGCCAGCTGCCAAGCAGGCCCCAGCCCCGGCTTGCTTCTCCGGGCTCTGGTACACCATCCACATCCCAGATGCCCCCTCCCAACCTTCTGATCCCCCCTCCTCAATGTAGAACAAGGCGTCCTCCACAGGAACCAGCCATGGCTTCTTGCTCTGGGCATGGACAGCCATCAGAACTGATTTCTGAAATGCCAGCATGCTTTGGGGTAGCTCCAGGTCCTCCGGGCAGGGAAGAACAACCCCCTCCCCAACAGCAGCCCCTCTCTGCAGGGTACAGGCAGGAGGGTCCCGTCACCTGGACATCGCCACACAACCCAGACCGGGGCTTCCAGACCACTTGTCCTTCCAGACAAGCTGGGGAGGCATCGAATCCTTTCTTCAGAATCTTGTCTTTCCCCTCCAAATTCTAGACACTGTGAGGACTGAGGGTTTTTTTTTGGGGGGGTGCCACTTTTCACCCTCCTTTCCTTGATGGTATTTCATGGACACCTACTATGTGCCAGGCATTGCTCTAGGGGCTGCAACTAGAAACAATGAACACAGTAGGCAAAGGCCCTTCTTCTTGGAACTTTTGTTTTATGGAGGGAGACAGATGCAATAAGTAAATTTGTCAAAGTGATGGTGTGTTAGAAAGCGATCAGTGCTTTCCGGGGTGGGGAATTAGGGGACGGGAGGCGGGGAGTGCAGGGTCGGTGTCACCCAGCAGGTGACATTTGAACGGATGTGAAGAAGGCAAGGAGGGAGTCCCATGCACGTGTAGGGAAAAGCATCTGGCAGGGGGAACAGCCAGAGCAAAGTCCCGAGGAAGACAGAGCTAAAGGGATGAGCAACAGGGATGAGGTCAAAGGTCAAAGGGTCTGGTCACCCAGGACTTGCAGCCACTGGAATGACTCTGAGCTGGGAGGTGATCCAGGGTTTGGGTGGAGGAGGACGTGGTTCTGGTGCAGTTCTGAGGGCACTGTGGGCAGGGTGAGGGGACAGGAAGGCTCCACAGAGGGGCACAGGGCAGTGGAGGCCAGAAGTGGCTGCATACAGGATCTGGTTTGGAGGACTTCCCATTGGATGGACTTGACTGTGACAGATGGAGCCACCAGAACAGGCGCGGGGAAAGCAAACGCGTTTCCCATGGCCCCCAGCACATCAGACAACACACACCTGTTCTCTCCCCAGGCTGAAGGCCAGACATCAGCAACCAAGGAGCCAGGGTGAACCGTGTCCCTCCAAAACTCCTGTGTTGCCATCCTCACCCTCAGCGCCTCAGAACACGGAGCCAGGGCCACTAAGGGGTGATCAAGTTAAAACACAGCTATGCGGTGGCCCGAATCCCACAGGACTGTGTCCTTACAAGAAGAAATTAGAACACAGACTTACAAAGGGAGGACTGTGTGAGGACACAGGGAGAAGACGGCCGTCTTCAAGCCACGGCAGGGGCCTCAGAAGGAACCAACATGCCAGCACCTTGATCTTGGACTTGCTGCCTCCAGAACCAAATCAGTTTCGGTTGTTTAAGCTACCTGGTCTGTGGTTGCAGCTGGAGCAGACTAATACCATCGCACCTTGGAGGCACTGTGGGTGCGGGCGCAGAACACCACAATCACTTGAGCTGTGATCTCTTTGCTGGTGAAGGGTCTCGCCTTCCCTTTGTAAAAACCGCAACACTTGTGAACAGCCGCAAACTGAGGCACAATAAAGCCATGTGTCTGCATGAGTCTGTCCCCCACCTCCTCCGGCTCTGGTAGCAAACAGCTGGCCACCGAGTTGGTGGGGGTGGGGGGTGAGAGGTAGGCCACATGTGACAGCATCTGCCCCTCGGGCCAGTGATGCTAAAGCCCCAGAAAGTTCCCCAAATAGCTTTGTTCATTCGAAGTGGGGTTTCCCTGAGTGGTACACCATGGGGCAGAGGCAGGGTCATTCCCACCTGTGTTCAGCTTGGGGTGCACCTGCCGGGTGCTGGGTGCTGGGGGTGGTGGGAGAGCAGAGGCAATGAAGAGAAACACCCAAATCTCTTACAGAAGGAAAAGAGCTTAGGAGGGGTGTTGACCCAGAGAGTTTGGTCACACTGTGGCCCTGAGACCAGCAGGGTCAGCAAGGCTCTTGTTAAGAGAAGCGGAATCCAGGGTCACGCCCCAGCCGCCCTAATGAGGGCGAGTTACTGAACAAGGCCTCCGTGCTTTTCATGTGCGTCCAAGTCCCAGGATCCCTGCTGGAGACCGGGGTTCTCACGCTTCACTGGCACACCGGGATCCCGAGGGCCCGTGGAAACTCCGGCCATAGCCCCCTCCCCGGGTGCTGAATCAGGTGTGGGCGGGGCCTGAGGACCTGCATTTTCAGCAAGTCCCCGGGCCCTGCGGACATTCCCTCTCCATCTAGAGTCTGATCTAGTGTCAGACTTGGCTGCACATTGGTCACCAGGGGGCACCTGGACCCACCTTCCAGAGACCCCCCCACCAGACCCTCCTCGGAATCTGATTGGTTGCTGATGCCGGAGCAGCGGTTTGAGAATCCCTGACCCTGCTCCAGACAGCAGCTCCATCCTGTCAGGAGAAGGGATGACCTGCGGTGGCCGGGAACCACTCAAATGCCCGTGCATGGGCCCCAGGCCGCCCTGCAGATGAGGCTGTACTCACAGCACACAAACTTTATTCGGCAATGATGGCGTATTTCACGAGGATAAGCGGCACGGCACGACAGTGTTTTCTGCACGAAATCTGAGGGCAGACGTCTACGGCAGCCGAGTTCCCGCCCCACACCCTGCCCCCCACCAAACAGAGGCCCAGGTTGCTCCCAGCACCCCTGCACGGTTGGCTGGGGCCCAACCGTGTCTCCTCTGCACCCGTAGCTGCTCCCCGCACCCGCGCTGCCTGCCCCAGCCACTGGACTGCAAGGGGGAGGACCAGGCTTGGTTCCCCTGCCTCTTCCTTCTTAGGGCCTCCTGGGGGCAGCAGGGTGGCAAGACTACTGTCCCCTCCCAGGGATTCCAAGTCCCTACCGGCTTGACTCCTCTTTGCTTCAAGGCCTTTTCCTCAGTGGGAGTCAATGTGGTCTCAGTGTAAGAGGGAGCTATTTATAAAAGCACTTTGCACCCACCAAGTATTTGCCCCGCCCCCACCCACCCCCAGCAAGCAGGCAGAGAACAAGGTGTCCTTGGAGTGGGAGCAGGGAGCCCCAGGAACAGCGCACAAAGGGACAGACCAGGCCCAGGAGCTGTTGGGCCCAAGTGGAGAAGGTCCGATTTCATCTCAGTTCCGATTCAGGGTACGTCCCGGTGACTGAACTGATGCGGAGGAAACTGTCGGAGGTGTCCATGTGACACACGTGTGTGCCCACCTGTCTCTACAAGTGACCTTTCACGATGCATCCCTAGCCGTCCTAGACCTTCCTCCTAGCTCTCAGGGCGGAAGCTCGAACCCCAGGTAGACGGCAGGCGTGCCGACACGGGAGGGCCGGGCAAGGGGCGGCCAGTGGTGCCCGGAGCGAGGAGGGACCACATCGGGGCGCTGTGTCCACCCACTTGGGGCCTCTTCAAAGGTGAGGGGCAGAGCGGGGCTGACTGAGAGGGGCTCACGGTGGTGGCTGGGCTGCACAGGTGGACCGATGGCTGGGGGTGCGACGAGGGGACTTGTGGCAGCGGCTGGACTGTGCAGATGGCCGGATGGCCAGGGAGGACGGCTCCGCACACACGGACCCCTCCTGCTGGGGACAGGCCCCACCTCGTCCGAGCGTCCGGCTGGCAGTCGGTAAAGCTGAGAGGGGTGGGGGGCGCTCACACCGTGTACGTTTTGACGGACTTGTAGAGGGGCGGCAGCAGCCCGTGGTCCTCACGGACCACCTCCAGGTACTCAGAGGGCGTCTCCAGCCAGAAGGGGCCACAGCACTTCTGGCAGCACTTGCCCCCCGTGGGCGGCTCCGGGTTCTTGTCAGACATGGGGGAAAAGTCAAAATCAGCCACCTATGATGAACAAAACCCCACGGGTCAATTGCCTGCCCACCGGGAGCCCCACACGAGGCGGCCCCACACGAGGCGGCCTCACAAGCTGGTGGCAGCATGCACTGAAACACCTTTCTGGTCCCACACAGCACATCGCTGTGCCCTGGGCTTTTCTGCTCCCTGGGGCTCCCTCTTCCGGTGGCCCTCCCCCTCAGCAGCTCATGGGCCCAGCCGCCAGGCAAGGGGCAAGCGCAGGAGGAAAGTCAAATGGGAAGGAGCCAACTCAGCCATTTTCCCTGGTCTGCGGGTGCCTCTTGGGCACGTTGCCCCCAGCCCCACGGCCTGGCCCCGGGATCCAGACCCCTCCCAAGCCCTCTGGCCTGGCCCCCAGGTCCTCCCCACACACCCCCACTCCATCCTCATCCTCTCAGGGCCCGGGGACCCAGCCCCCACCCTCCTGAGCACCCACCTCCACCATGTCCTTCTGGTGAGTGGAGTTCCTCAAGGCCATGCACATGATGAAGGCCAGCATCATGGTGATGAGCGTGGCACAGGGGAAAGCAAAGACAGCTGGCTGGATGCCTAGGAGTGAGAAAGCGACAGTCACGGGCCTGGGTGTTTGGCTGCACGCCAGCTCTCAGGAGGCCACAGTGGGGGCAGGGGGAGAGAAGAGTCACCCCCCACACACACACTGGGAGCTTTTCCCTTATGTGCCTGCCTCCCAGCTGGGCAGCTTCAAAAGGCAAAGCCAGGATTTCACGATAACCAAGTTGGCATGTACGAGGGTTTTAGAATACGGTACGTCCACAGGTGTTGATTGAACTTCCAAGAGGTGCAGCTGAAGTCCCCACCCCTGAGTGCTGGCTGGACTCAGTGACTTGCCCTTACTGAATAGCTATGGCAGGGGCGGGGGCTCAGGACTTCCGAGTGCAGGCCATGAAAGACGTTGCAGCCTCGACCGGAGGTGGGGAAGGGACGCCGCGCTGTGAGGGCACCCACGCCCTGCTGTGCGGCTTCTTGCCCTCTGGACGCCCTGGGATCACTCACCGATCCCGGTGTCAGGAAGCGGCAGGGCAGAGCAGGAAGACCCCAGGGTCTGACGTTGGGGGGCCCTGGGTTCAAATCCTGGCTCTGACCAGGCTACCTGATGCTAATGCTGTGCCCAGAGCCTGCCCTGGGACCCGACCAGGTGAGGTGGGAATGTGCCAGGTGCATGGAAGGTGGTTAGCAGGTGCGAGTTCCCCCTCACCCTCCGCTCACCTCCTCCTGCGTTCCCTGCCTGTAGACACCAGCACACCCTGTGAGGCTCCATTTCCCAGGGAAAGGTGGCAGGGATTACCCAGAGTGCTCTCTTGTCCACCAAATCCAGGGTTTTCCTGGGAACTCAGTAACCAGGGCACCCATGAGTCAGAATCTGCCTGTCCCCACAAGCTCAGCCACAGCCTGGAGTGGGGTGCAGGAACTGGGGGGACTTGAGGGGACAGGGCCTGCCTTGGGGACAGGGCAGCTGGGAGGGCTCCCCCTTTTGTACTATATTCTATATGGGGGGGCCTGACCGGGCATCTGGGAGATCATCCCCCAGGGGTTTGGGACCCAACTCTCTACCCACATGGGGAAGCACTGGACTCGGGTCCCGGAAGAGCCCCCTCGGAGATGAAGGGGGGAAGCTGCCGCGTTGCCCGCGGCTGCGGCCCTGAGCCAGGGACCGGGCCTGGTGACGGCCACGGGGAGGGTGAGAGGGACCGCACCACGCACTTCCTGAGCTGCTCACACCTCACGACAGCCCTGTGCCTCGCAGTCACCCCCGGGGATGCTGGTTTGAGTGGTGGTGACCGCGCCCCGGTGGACAGAGACTCTGTGCTGGGCAGGGGACAAATGGGGGTGCATTGCGATCGTGGAGGCTCGTTCTGTGTGGGAGTGTTCGTGGTGGGGACATGTGTGGCATTGGTAACATGGAAGGGACATTGACAGCGATGGTGGGGGCAGCAAGTGAGCAGGGAGGCTGGGGGGCATGGTGGTGGTGGCACTGGTCCCAGGGGCGAGGGACTGGCAGGGGGGTGTTAAGGAGGGTGCGGGTGGGTGTGGCGATCACGGAGCTGCCCGCTGGTTCTGGACGGTGCTGGAACAGCAGTCAGCGGTGCCTATGGCCATGGTAGCATAAGTGCCGTTCTGGGTGGCTGGTGGCGGCCGAGGTGGCTGTTGGTGCCGCTGGGGATGTGGTGTCGAGGGCGGTGCCGGCAGGCGGGTTGGTGGCACTGGTGGAATTGGTCGGAGAAGGGTGTGGGCAGTCAGTCAGTGGTGTGGGTTGGAGTCAGTGGGGCTATCGATGCTTCTAGCGCTGGAGGGGGCGGTTGTGAATGACGTGGCCCGAGCGGCCTGGGGGCAGGGCGGCTCTGATTCAGAAGGGGAGTGTCACTTACTGGAGGGCCACACCTGGATCCTGTGGTACCGGTGTGTCTTGCTGATGACATTCTCAGCCCAGATGCTGAAGCAGTAGATCCCGGGGGCCCGGAAGACGTGGGTCAGGTTGTAGGCCCCGCTGGTCACTGACACAGGGTGACACTCCCCTTCCTCCAGTGGGAGGCACTTGGGCTTGAGGCGCCAGCACACAGTCAGCGGGGGGCTGCGGGGAGACGCAGGCGGTGGTCAGAAATGGCTCCGAGGGGAGTGTGAACGCAGACCAGGTCCAAGAAAGGCTGGTGGCCACGAACTTCCCAGGACAGAGCTGTCCTGGCCTCCACTTTGCACCTTCCAGACCAGGGCAGAGGAGAGCACCTGGAGATGGCCGCAGACCCCGAGGGGATTCCGGGCTGGTGGGACAGACAGAGCCACTCGCAGACTGCTGGACGGGGCAGAACGGATGCCCGGTGCCAGGTGCAGTGTGCTGTGCGCGCCTCCTAAGAGGCGGTGGTGTCTGAGGGGGATCTGAAAGGGCGTATCGGCTGGCAGTGGGGTTAAAGGGGTTAAAGGGGCCAAGAGCGTTTCACGTGACCCGCCTGCCCCCGGGCCTCAGAAGCTGGAGATGCAGGGCCCCCTGAGGAGCGCCCACTGGGAACTCCCGTCTCACACGAAGTCAGGCTCGAGTGAAGCGCACGCTCAGCATGCCCACGTGGCTGGCTTCCCACCCCATCTCCAAGGACTGAGCTCCTGCCCCCAAACCCCCCCCGCCAAAGTGTTAGAAGCCACCCCCAGCCCGCAGCACGTCTCCCTCCTTCCTTGGCCACTCTGCTCACTCTCCATCCGGCCCCGCCTCCCTTGGATGCATCCCTGCAGGGCGGGCAGGTGGGTGGTCGTCCCCAGGAGAGTCCCTGCGGGGCTGGGTCCTGACAGCTGCCCCTGCAGCTCCTTCTGTCCTTGTGAGGCAAACTCTCCCGGCCTCTGTGTCGTGTCACTTGCCACAAACTCAGTCTAATGCCACTCCTGCCAAGAGCTGGGCCACATCCTACGCAACATGGTTTGTTTTCCAGGCGCCTGGAAAGCAGACCCAAGCCACATACAGAGGGCCGTCCACAGGAGTGGTCCCTCGCTGCCTTTGCCTTGAGGCCCTCACTGCAGACAGCCCCGAAAGGCCTGTGCTTTCTCCCCTGGACCCTGAGAACGGAGCTGTGCCCACAGCCATGGCACGGACAAGGGGCTGGGAGGCACTGTCCTTCCAAGAGCCCCTAGACACAGGGCCCCTCAGGGTAAGGAGAGGTCTCAGGGTCACCTGTGGAGAGAGTGGGCTGGGGCTGCGGGCCATGCACAGAGCACTCCAGGGTTCACTTACCTCCCCAGGAAGTTCAAGGTCAGGGTCATCTTTTGGAGGGTCTGAATTTTGCTGGGCCCCAAGACCTGGATGCCTCGAAGAGTTTCTGAAAGGCAGAGGACCCCATTCCACCTGGTGGCTAAGGGCAGATGTCTCAAGGATCCCAGGGCCGGGGCTGTGGGACCGCTCCCCCCCCCCCAACTAAAGCCAGGAGAATGGGTTCCGGGAGAGATGGGTTCCGGTGTCTCCTCCCTGTGCAGAAGACTGAGGCACAGTCCACTATGCCCTGTGCCCGAGGCCGATGTGGCCAGGTAACAGGAAGCACTCCACCTGCACCAGCCCCCTGAGACCCACCCTGCAGCTTCAGCAAGGCAGAGAAGTCCCCCGTCTTCTGTGCGACGCCCTTCCCAGCATGCAGCGTGTTCTGCTCCCACTCGGCCACCACTTGGAGCTTCACGGTGAAGGTCCCGATGATGGAATAGTTGTAATAGACCACCGGGTCTTCAGTCACCATCTGGGTGCTATAAGGTGACAAGGAAGAATCAGAAGACAGAAGGGACTCATGGGACTTCTTGGAGTCAAGGGTGGCTGCACAGTGACATGCCCTGTCCCTCATGAGCAAACGTGCCATCGCAGCAGCGGCCTCCCCTGTCTGGGCCTTCCCCGGGCGTACAGGGAGCGCATGGGGCCCCAGGGCCTGCACACCCGCTGTGCAAGCTCATGAGAGGCTCCATCACCACTCCCCACCCCCACCTCTGCCGTGGGACTTACAGGCTCAGCCTGTGGGACTGGGGGGACTCAAGTGGGTGAGGGGTCTCCACAGAGCACTGCCCTTGCACGAACTTGAGGTGTCTGTGACCTGCCTGACCCCCACTTCCCAACCTGCCTCCTGTAGCCTGGCTTGTTTGGGGAGAACTGGGAAACAAAGTCAGAATAGGTCCCTCCGAAGCCAAATGGGGAATAAAATCCCTCCTACCTGGACCTTTTTTAAAGGGCCATTTGGGGCACCAGTGACCTCTATTAGCTTGCAGGCTCACCACAGGTCCCCATGCAGCCCAAGCTCAGCACAGAGCAGGTGCTCAAGGAGTGCGTGGAGTGAGAGTGAGCGGGGAGGGTGGGGCGGCACAGAGCGCCCTGCCTGGGAGGACTGGGCCAGGACCGCGAGCCGAGGCCTTGGGGCAGCCTGGGGGTGAGGACGTACCCATCTCCAAAGTCCCAGCTGTAGAGAAACGAGGCAGCCTTGAAGAAGTTGCTCGGGTCGTGGAGGAGGAAGGACACTTTAAGGATGGTCTTGGTGAGATAGGAGCTGGGCCAGGGCAGAGACGTGTTCTGAGTGACGGTGAGGTTCCCCGCAATGAACTCTGGGAGAGAGAGAGGCCGAGGGAGGGTGAGTCCACCGAGAGGTGGGGAGGGCGCAGCCTCTCCCCAACCTGATCTTCCCTGTCAGAGCTGGGTGCCACTGAGAGGGGACCCTGCGGGTCACTGTACACAGAGGGGTGTGTCCCCAAAGTCACTGCGCCTGCTGTGCAGACCTGCTGAAGACATACAGCAGGTGTGACATGCATCACTTCACGCCTGCATCCCTTTCGCCGGGACCCCGAACTTTCTGGTACAAAAGATGCCCGAAGGAAATCAGAAGGAATCAGACGGAAATGCACAGGCTTTGAAAAGTAACTTCTGGGAAATATTTCAAAGGATCAGATGAGCCTTAAAAAAATGCAATCAGTTCCACGGATCGCATCTCCACACCCCACGTGCAGGGCTAGGTGAGGACCTCCATTCTGTGTCCTTCTCTAAAAAAATCTGAACAGAAGCCCTGGCTGGTGTGGCTCAGCGGATTCAGCACTGGCCTGCAAACCGAAGGGTCACCAGTTTGATTCCCAGTCAGGACACATGCCTGGGTTGTGGGCCAGGTTCCCAGTAGGGGGTGCACAAGAGGCAACCACACATTGATGTTTCTCTCCCTCTCTTTCTCCCTCCTTCCCCTCTGTCTAAAAACGGATAAATAAAATCTTTTTTTAAAAAAATTGAAGAACTGATTTTTTTAACCACAAAAATGGAGAGGTGTGCTCAATCATGCCCATTTGGAAAAAGCTAAAACGTGGAATGGAAAGCAAAGAAGCACCCTATCATTTAAACACAACCATTGTTGACACTTCTGAAGAATTGTAAAGTATTAGTGTGTGTGTGTGTGTGTATACGTTTATTAAACACACTTGATGAAAGGAGTGATAAAATGTTGTCTTGCTTTTTAAAGTTTGACAAGAATGGGTTTTCTCCAGGATATTACACACTCTACGTAAAAGTCATTATTATTCATGGCACAAATGATATCAGTACCCAGGGCTGCATACTTAGCTTGTTCCTGTTTCCCTCTATTATTATAAACACCTCTGCGATGGACACCTTCATGCACAAAGCATCACCCAAATGGAGGTTTATTTCCTGAAGATAAACTCATTAAGAGATTGCAAACTCCGAGAGAGCAGGAACTTCTTGGAAGGAAGGGAAGAGGGTGAAGGAGCTAGAGAGGATGAAGGTGAAGGGGCCAAAGAGCAGAATAATGGATACCTGTGAACCTGCTGCTCTCCTAGGGGCTGGATTAATGTACATCCCCAGAAGCAACAGGTACTTGAAAGGGCGGTTTCAGCACAGCCAGGAGGCAGAGGGTTTTACCACATTCTGATCCTCTGTTAACTCTCGACTGATAATGGAGAGGGACCTGAGGCTCTAATGTGCATGTCTGCAGTTACTCACGGGGCTGGATGTTTTTCTCTGCACCCGGCGTCTGAGGGCAGATTAGCAGACAGGACCGGTCCTCACCTGTGATGGACAGCAGGAGGAGGCTCCTCGCCACGGGCTGGCACTTCCAGCAGTTGGCGGCGGTGACCCAGACAGAGACAGGGAAGTCCCCGGGCACGCTCCCCACGGCACGGATGGAGGAGCTGAAGGCCTCCTCGGTCTTCCCCGTGAGCAGCAGCGGAGAGTGGATCCAGTGGAAGCGATAGAAGTGAGTGTCGGTGGGCAGGTCCAGGGTGCCGTTGTCACTGGCCACCAGGGTAGCCGTGACAGTCACTTCTGCCCCCGTGGTGGCAGGACTATCCGTGGTGAGGTAAAGCTCGTACAGGCCTAGGAGCCAAAAAAAACAAAAACTACATTTCAGGAGGGGGACATGGCAAGGAACCCACGGCCCCCCTCTGAGCCGGCTTCGATCGTTCTACGTTACAGGCGGAGGACCTGAGGCCCGGGCAGGCCGGTGACTTGCCCAAGACTCATATGAGGAGCTCGCTGTCAAGCTCGGATTCAAACCTGGGCCCAGCTGGCTCCGACCCACACGCCCTTTCCAGGGTCCCAGGTTTATATCACAGGGCATGTGTGTGGCCCGGGCCTGCCCTGCCCGGACTGCATCTCAGCTCTGATGCGTGACTGTCCACACAAGTCTCGAGAGGAACCCCGGCGGCTGCTGCTGAGAAACGCCTGCTGTCCCCCACCGCTGGGCACTAGTCCGTGTCCACAGAACTCCCAGTTCTGGTTCGACTCCCAGTCAGAGCACATGCCGTGGGTGCAGGTCAGGGCCCGTTTGAAAGTCAATGTTTCTCTCTCACACCGATGTTTCACTCCCTCTCTTTCTCCTTCCCTTGCCCTCTCTCTGTAAATAAATAAATTAACTAATTAACAATATTTTATTAAAAATTAAAATAATCAGTAACAATCATCATCACCAGATTTGGGCATTTCCTTTTTTTCCCCTCACTCAAGGGCATCATTTTTTTTTCCATTGCTTTTAAAGAGATGGAGAGAGGAGGCGAGAGAAACAACGATGCAAGAGAGAAGCGCAGTTTGGTTGCCTCCTGTCCACGCCTGGACCGGGGTCCCATGTCCCCAGACCAGGGAGCAAACCCACGACCCAGGTTTGTGCCCTGACTGGGAGTCAAACCCATTACCCTTCAGCGACGGGACGCTGCTCCAGCCACTGGCCAGGGCTCCTACTACCTGATTTACTATCTGGTTCACCTGCTCTTAATCCGGGATTAGATAGTCTACAGTTCTCAATTCTGAATCACAGGCCTTTCCCTAAGTCAGTATTCTTCCACTGCTTTACATAGTTGCATATTTTATCCTATAAACAAGGTAAGACTTTGAAAAGAAGGCTTGTTTCCACCATAAAGCTCGCGCGTATGCGTAAAGAGTATTACAGATGTCTCGTCATCCTCCCCCCGAAAGACGGCAGCTGCTATCCTGTCCCCATCTTCCTGTCTCTTTCTCATGCATAAAAATGTTTTCATTTAGTCACAATCACACTCTGCACACCATTTGGAATTATTTCATTTCCACAAAACAACACATCCAAAGTGTGTCTGTGGTCGCCCTGGCATGAATTTCCACACGTGCGTGACAACCGCTCAAGCAGGTACTGCACTCGCGGCACCCTGCGCTCTGGTCAAGAACGTGACTGCATGCTTGTGACCCTTTTCCTGTCATTTGTAACCTTCCTCTGCAGGTGAGATTTCTGAAGGGCGTGATTTGAGAGAGTGCAGCCTTCGGCAGTGCACACCTGGGCAGAAGGGGTGTGGCAGAAGGAAGAGGGGGGCGGGGCTGGCAGCTCAGGTCACTCTCCCCCTCACCTTTCCGGCCCCAGGCCCCGCCCACCCCGCAGACACGCCCCTCCGCTCCCCACTCCCCACCCCTGTGGTTTCAGGCGCCTCCTAGATGCCCATGGAGCCCAGTAACTCAGACCTACTCTCTGGGCTCCAGACCTGCGCTGAACAATTAAGCAAAGTTAAGGACTCGAACTTAACGAACACTGTAAATTCCATTCCTCAACTGCACTAGCCACATTTCACATGTCTAATGGGTAAGTGGTTATTAGCTCTTCTTCTGGACTGCAGAGATCCAGAACTTTCCCTTCATTACCCAAAGTCCTGTTCTAGACGGTATGTTCTAGAGCCTCTGGGCCTCTCCCCTCCCCAAACCTACCACCCCCTTCACGTAGCACTCTCTGTTGACGTTAGAGGCCCCAGCTGTCCCAAGAGTCAATCCCCAGGCCTCTGCCACTCTAACTCCTCCTGTCTAGGCAACTCGCCTCCTCTCCATCACTGCTAACATCACTTAAGCCCTGTCTGGATTACGGCTGCATCCCGCCCCAGGCCTTGGCCTGAGTCCTGCCCCACTATCAGACTCCCCACACAACAGGCAAACTGGCCAGTCTCCAGATCCACACCCTGGCACACCCGTGCTGTGGCCACTTTAACTCATGCAGCTCCTCCAACGTGCTGCCCTTCCTAACCTCAGGGCCTTTGCACATGCTGCCCTCACTGCCCTTCCCCACCTAGCTCTCCTTGGGCCTAATCTCCTCGGGGAGGCCTCCCCTGAACCCCTCACCTCCTTGGTGCTCTCTCAACAGCCTGAGCGCACAGCTGTCCCAAGCCCACGCTGGGATAATGGCTTTCCCAGCTTCCCCACCGTGCTGCAATCTGCTCTAGGGCAGTGTTTATCTCCATCTCCCCTCTGCCCAGCAAAGCGCTTAGCACATAGTGGGTGTTCAAAAATGCTGGTGCAGAGTGGCACCTGGAGAGAAGGGCGTGGCAGAGGGGCCAGCCAACCTGGCAATGTCCCGGGACACAGTTCACCTGTCCTTGGGCCCCACCCCCACAGGTGTTAAGGGGACCCAGAAGTGCAGACATGCCTCCTGTCCTCAGGGAGAGAGACCTGTCAGACTCAGCAAAACTGGGAGGTGCATGAGTGTGACCTCAACTGTCCCCCTTTGCCTTGTGGCAATGCTGCCTGTCCCCACGGCTCTAGCCTTTTCCCTCGCCCATGTCCCAAAGAGGGAATTCCAGGAGCTGTGGCAGGAGCTTCCCCAAGAAGTTCAGGTGTGTGTTTCACATCGAGGGACTGAGCTCTCTGAGGCTGGGGGGGGGGGGGGGTCACACCACTGCCTGTGACCACGGAGCAGATCAGCACCACCAGGCTGGGTCCTGTTCTGTCTCTTGGGCTGGGAGGCAGCATTAGGCCGAGCTGCACAGAACGAGGTGCTCTGATGAGAGGCCATCCCTCCCTTCTCCCCTCTCTATCCTGCGCACCCCCAAGCAAGGAGTGCGGGCCAGAGAGGGGCTGGCAGGTGGGGGGAGTACATTTGACTGGCTGCATGCTCATGGCCACCCAGCATCTGCAGAGATGGGTGCCCATCAGCACGACACACCCGTTGCCAGGGGAGTGGAATCAGGAGGGGCTGCAGGCAGGCTCATGGGGAGGAGGACATGGGGGGAGGAGGGGCCGAGGCTGCAGCCGACACTGGTGCAGCTCCTGGCGGACCCCTACCTGTCCAGACACAAGAAGCCTCCAAGGGCACTTTTTCTTAAGCATTTTTTAAAAAGCAGCTGTCTCACAGTTCCTGGGTGATGCTGTCCCTCTTCCTCAGGGCTCTGGGAAGTGTCCAGGACATTCAGGCTGAAGGGGACCATGAAGGCTTTGACCCGTGTGGCTGAAGAAACCAGGCTCAGGCCCTGTCACCCTACCCCTCCAAATCCACCTTTGCAAGTTTGAGCCTAAGGGACAGTCACCCGAGTGGCTGCGAGGGCACCACAGGTGCCCCGAGAGACCAGAGCCGGAGGGGCCACAGTGAAAACCTAAGTGGCAACCACCACAGAGCTTGGCCCACGGGGGCAACACCCAGGAGCAGGCCCTGGGGCTTCCACTTGGAGCTCACGGGTTTTCTCTGACAACACAGCATGTGGGGCCCTGACCATTCTAGAAAATGGCCACGTCGGCCTTTTCACACTGCACAGGTAGACAGCCCAGCACACTCCCCTCCAGTGTGCCTCTGGAGTCTGGGTAACACCGCCTGGAGTTAACGGTGGAGGACAGAACTTCCGACCGCAACCCCCGGGGCAGGAGGCAGGCCTGACCGGGCCCACGGAGGGCGGCAAGGGTGCCTGAGCCTTCACCTTCCCCTGTGGGTTTTCCCCAACCCATTCCCAGCTGGTCTGACCACATCAGGGGGGCAACTGGCAAGGCTGAGAACAACACATGACTTTTAAATAACTTCCTTCTTCCTTCCTTCCTTCCTTCCTTCCTTCCTTCCTTCCTTCCTTCCTTCCTTCCTTCCTTCCTTCCTTCCCTCCCTCCCTCCCTCCCTCCCTCCCTTCCTTCCTTTCTTTCTTCTCTCTCTCTCTCTCCCTTTTTCTTTCGGAAATTTAGGCCCCATTAGTCATTTCTGGACACAGACCCAGTGGACAAGAGACCCCATTTCTATCTGCATCTCTAGGGGCAGACACGATTCCCAGAAAATCCTCTTACATCATCCCTGAGATGCAAGGTCTTATTTTACCTCGTTGCTTTTATTGCACCAATTACCTTCCTTTCTCTCCCATTCTTTTAAGATGAGGAGGGGGTAGGGGAAATGAAATTGTTGGATAATAATTCAACACCCCCCCTTAGCTGCTCAGGTCCCAACTGTCCCCCAACAACCCTCCAATCCGGGTCCGTTTTTTGTCGCCAAAATGAGACAGAAGAGTTGGTGCTGGCCCTCCAGCGGTGGGGCTGTGGGGATGATAGAATCGAGACCACGGACACGGACACGGTGTGGGACCCGGTGGAGCCTGCTCGGGGTCCATTTTGGAAATCATTCCCAGAGAGGAAATGGCACCCTGGCCTCCTGGGCCTTAAACTCGCCTCCCACCGGGAGCTTACACAAACAGGGTGAAGGGGCTCTCCAGACAAGGCTATGCTTTAAAGCAAAAATACTGCTCCGCAGGCGACCTGGCCACGGTCCCTGGGGGTCTGCGGCTTGACTGCGGACCCCCGCACATGCCTGGTCTCACCGCACTATTCTCACCCACCCCCATCGGCTGCGAAGTCCCCCAGAATCGGGATGGATTCTCAGGTCACCGCGCGCAAGCGCGCGCGGTTCCCAGAGCAGGGACATTCTAGAGACAGCAGCAGGAACCAAGGGGTGCAGGGAGCACCCTCAAGTGGCGAGGCGATTACTGAGCAGAGCGGCGAAGGGAGAGAGTAGAGGGCTTCGCGGCTCCCAGCTGTCGGAGTCCCCTCGGCAACGCAGCGCACGGACTGCGGGAAGCAGGGAGGTGTGCTCAGGGGCACAGCGCCAGCTCCGCAGCCCAAGCTCCCGGCAAGGCTCCAGCGCACTGCGTGCTACGGCTCCGGGAGGGCGGCCGGCCGGCCAGCTGGCACAGCTCCTTACCTGCAGCCACTATGGCCGGGGCCAAGGGAAGGAGGCAGGCGAGCCAGAGGATGCCGCTGATGCATGGGCAGAGGGTCGGCGCCATGGCGGCTCCGGGAGCAGCGGTAGCCGGAGAGGACGCGATGGCCGCTACTCCGGGCGCCAGGCGCCTAGCTGTGCGGGGAGGTGCGGACTCCGAGCTCGCTCTTCCTCGCTTTGGGACACTGTATTGCTGCGAGCCACGACCTCCTACAGCCAGCCGCACTGACCCCGGCCCGCGTCAGCTGCTCAGCCCCCCTTCCCCGCACCCCTTCCCGCGCCCCTCCTCTCCCCGCACCTTCCTGCTTCCCACGATCTTCCCCTCTGCTCCCCAGGCCGTACTCCTCCAATCTGCCCCCTCCCGTGCCCCTCTCTTCCCATATTTCCCCAGTCTGAGCTTCCTCCCCACGTCCTCCCCGCCGCCTCTGACTCAGCGTCCCCAGGGGCACACGCAGCACTGCAAAGCCGCAAGCACGCCCCTTCGGGTTCTTCTACAGGGGCCTTCTCCGCTCGTGACGCATATGCCTTAGAGGTGTTCTTCATTCGAAGAATGAAGCGCCTACTGTGTGCCGGGCTCTGGGCAAAGGGCCTGGAAACACCCTCTTTCCTTCCAGAGAGAGGGACTCTAGCGCAGGGATTGGTGTTATCGGCCACTTTACCTTCTCTGTGCCTGCTGTAAAGTGGGACGTGTACTCGAACCCGGGCCCCCAGGGACGTTACCACAGACTCAGACAACCGTCATGACGAGCGACCAGACTGCTCTTTGGACACTCGTTGCCCTGAGCGGTCCCTTCCATCTGCCACAACTGAGCAGAGGGTGTCTTTCCTCCTAGATGGTGGCCAGGTCTAGCTAGCCTTAGAGGCGGGACACCAACAACCTGGGTCCTGGGTCAGGGATGGAGCCCAGAGGGAGGGGGTCATGCAATTGAGGTCAAGCATGGCCTGCCAGGCAGGACTCTGAGGGGAGAACATTCCAGACCAGAGGATTAGCTGCAAAGGTGCTTGGTGGGCATGAGGCACAGCAAGGCCATTGTGGCTGGATTATGATGAATAAGGTTGAAAGGTATGCAAGGCTAGGTAATGAGGGTGAACAGAAAAGTCTTCCGAAGGTTTTATTTAGAGGAGGGGAGTGGTCTAATTTACCCGTGAGAATGATATTGACCCTGTCCCCGACCTCTAGTTCGGGAGATAGACAAGAAAACAAAGACGAGATAACAGTATGATGGGTAGGCGTTAGAGCCACGAGGAAGCCCCCCTGTTAGATTTAGGCCTAACTGTATAGGTCTTTATCCGATGTAGTTAAGGTGAAACGTATCAGAAGATTTGTCTACAGCAACTCCCCCTTCTCCCCACCAATACTAAACGACCACACCCAGCACACTGATTTCAGCCCTCAGATTTTTCTGGCTTCCCCGACTTTGGACCTCCGACATCTAGGGTTTTGGTGGTGGGAGGAGCAGAGAGGATTTTGCTTGCCAGTGAGCCACTTCCTCCAGGGGGAAGGAAGGGGTGTTCCGGCCCATTTTATTTTTTCTTCCAGGGGAAGAAATAATTGGCACTAAATACATCCACTCACAATCTAGCACTTCATTGGAGGAAACATGGAAGGAGCAAGGAGCTTGGTTCCCGCCCGACAAGATACCTTTCCTCCAGGGTATCAGCTGGTGTCGCAAGTTTCACTTAATACAAGATGTGAAATGTATCTGTCTGGGAAGGGAACACGGAGATTTTGGGGAGTTAGCGATGAAGGGGAGTGTCAGGTCAGCACTGGCAGGAAGGGGCAGGGCATGGAGCCAGGTCCTGGAATTCGTAGAGGTCAGCATTTTCCAGCTCTGTCCCCCTAAGATGGTAACCGTGGGTTACTCGAACAGCTCACTATTCAACTCCTTCCATAGATGGAGTCTTTAGGTAAGACAATGACGGGAGTGGGGGGGTGGGGGTGGTTCAAAGGATGCCTCGGTACTCACAGGGCCAAGGGACGCCGTGTCCCGGGCAACAGCGGTAGGAGGTAAATAAGGGCGCTAAGCACTTCCTTCTGATGAGATCATGAAGGGGGCGGGGTGGAAGTCCTTACTGAGGGATATACGCAAGCGCACCTTCTCATTGCATTCTGGGGGTTGTAGTAATTAGCACGGTAGTACTACCGGGAAGACTACATTTCCCAAGAAGCCTGCCAAGCGGTGCGTTCACTCGCCGGAGGGAGTCCGCTCCACGAGGTTCTAGGAGCGTGGGACTCCGCGTTTTGAGTTACCTGTGCAGTGGTCGGTGTGATGCCTAAGGCCAAGGGGAAGACCCGGAGGCAGAAGTTCGGTTACAACGTTAATCGGAAACGCCTGAACCGGAATGCTCGACGGAAGGCAGCCCCGCGGATCGAGTGGTGAGGGGGCCGGGGTTCAGGAGGCCGCGGGCCTCGGCCGGGACGGCGGGCGAGGTGACAGTTCCGCTCTCTTTCTGTCCTTAGCTCCCACATCCGACATGCCTGGGACCACGCCAAATCCGTGCGGCAGAACTTGGCCGAGATGGGGTTGGCTATGGACCCCAACAAGGCGGTGCCCCTCCGTAAGAGAAAGGTACTGACATTGCGGGGTCCCGGCCCCGGCCCCCGCCGTCATTAGCTGGGTTTGAGAACTCGGTCCTGCCCTTTACCTCCCTCACGCCCGTCCTGTTTGCCACCTTGCCACAGCGAGCTCGGCCAGCCCGCGCGGACTGTGGCTGAGGGTCCTTTTGCGCCCTTCCTCATACTCCTCAGCACACACTGGCCCTGGGTTGGAGCTTCTCCTTCGCTTATTTTTTTTCTCTGAAATTAACTTGTTTGTGTTCCCTGGCATCTAAATGGTGTTTTCCAGAATTTATCTTTTTCTGCCCTTAACTTCATCATAAGGACTCTCCAGGTTTTGGGATCTTTACTTACTGCTCGTTACCTCTCTTCCCAGTCATCCAGCCTCATTGGTCTGAGGCTTCTCTGGGGCCAATTTGTCCCAAGGAAGGATTTTCTGGGCCACCCTTTTAAAAAGGAGTACCCCTTTCACTCAGTGACTTCTTCCCAGCATTATTTTAACTTGCAGCACTTGTAAATACTCAGTGGTGTGTTACCCATTTGTTTATCTGTTTCCTGGCTGGGCCTCTTTTCCCCCAACATAATCTCCTTGGGGACAAGGACCATGTATTTTGTACATTAAGTCTCCAGTGATACTGGGAATGTGACTAATGCTCAATAGTTAACGTAAAGATTGGGCTTGCTGATTGAACTTGTTGCCTTTAGGCAGGTGTCTTTTTATCCCTTCCTGCCAGAGGGAAAGGGTGCTACTGTTTCTTGAACAGATTCGAAGCTGCAGCCAAGCACCGTCAGGTTGCTCTTCCCCACAGAGATCAGACGTCCCCCCTGCCCCCCACCAATGGTAAATTATCAGGCACTTCTGTGTCTGTTGTTCCATTAGATGGTCACCCAGCAAAGGGAGGCAGGCAAGGGGGATTATGCTCATTTCACAGACAGGCATGAAAAGATGAATTGCTTGCTTGATTCTCTTGGGAACCATGAAGCCCTCCAGGGCATTGATTCTTCTTGTCATCTCTTCCTGCCTAACCTTGTATAGGGGTTCTTAAGGGTCATGCATTGGTGCTGGGATGTGCAAGAGCCTCTAGAAATTTCCCTCATCCAAGATCCTTCCTTCATTTACTGCTCTCACTGGCTGTTCTCTGCAGGTCAAGGCCATGGAGGTGGACGTAGAGGAGAGGCCTCAGGAGCTCGTGCGGAAGCCCTATGTGCTAAATGGTGGGTTTTGGCCACATTCCTCTGGGTCACCATCCAGCATGGTTGGGTCTGGAAAAGGGCAGGGGGGGAGACTGAGGGTCAGAGGGAAGAAGTGAACTGGTCCAGGGCTTATGGGGTTGGGCTGTGTCCCCCTGGCTGGCACGTTTACAGTCTACTGAGCAAAGTCTGTGTGTGTGAAGTGAGGTCAGAGACGTTGAGGGAGGATGGAACCAGCTGCCTGGGAGGTTAGAAGGGAAACCATTAAGTCTCAGGCACACGTTTCAGCTGCTCCTGAATTTCAGGATGAACAGATTTTTTAGAGATTTGACCGTCTCATCTCATCTTCCCAATGAACACACTGTTCCATGTTCATTAAGGCCACAGAAACTGAACGGTAAAACAGAAGAGTACGATCCGTGGGAAAGACGAATACTCCAGAATTCTCTGCGCAGCCTTCCTCTTACCTGAGAGTTTTAACAGTTCCGAATGTAAAAGGGTGTGGATGGCCTGTGTTCGACACAGAATCCCTTGAGGCCCGTCTTTAGTGCATCTCGGTGACCCTCATGAGCAGCAGTGCCGGCTTGCACATGTAAAATCATACTGTAGTCGAAGCTAACCTAAAGGTTTTTGACTAGAAGCAAGTTTAGCACTTAATTCCAGAGAATATTTGACCACCTGTTCCGTGAGCTCTTTTTCTCCCTTCATAGATGAGAAATAAGGAGCATCTGCCTAGCTGTTTTAGGAGCAAAGCCATTATTGACTCCCCAACCTCGCTTTTTCCATCCCACGTAACAGGGAAGTGCCTGGGTCCAGCCTTAGGCCCTGTTTCTCATCTGTTCAGACCTTTCCATTTCATGCATTAGTGTTAACACTTCAAGAAAGAGGTCTGCCCTGGCTGGCGAGGCTCAGTGGATTGAGTGCTGGCCTGCAAACCAAAGGGTCGCCAGTTCGATTCCCAGTCAGGGCACAGGCCTGGGTTACAGACTAGGTCTCCAGTAGGGGGTGTGCAAAAGGCAACCACACATTGATTTTTCTCCCTCTCTTAAAAATATCTTTAAAAAAAAAAGTTCTCCGTTTTAAAGCCGGGAGTCCTGTCCCTCCACCTCTGTCCCCAGGACCTGGCACTAAGTAAAAATAAGTTTCCTCCCTTCCTGTTACCCATCTGAGGCTGAAAGAGGTGACCGTATCATAGGCAGAGCCTGGGACCCAAGGGGCTGAAGAGGAAGGTTTTGGCACTGAATGTGGGGATGGAGAGGCAAAGCCCATCAGATGGCTGGTAATAGCAACTTTTGTGGCTTTGGACTGGGTGAAGGGGTGACTAGGCAGCTCAAATAGTGCAGAAGGCAGCCCCTCATTCTGTCTCCTGGCTTCTCTCACCCCAGACCTGCAGACCGAAGCCAGCCTCCCAGAGAAGAAGGGAAACACACTGTCTCGGGACCTCATAGACTATGTGCGCTACATGGTGGAGAACCACGGGGAGGACTACAAGGTGAGTGACCTGGGCCTGTGGGAAGGCGCACTGGGCCTCGGTGACCTGGTCCGCTTGCCCTGCACCTGTTTCCTGAGTGGTAACAAAGGGAGGACTCCGGAAGATGGTTCCCGCTGACAACAGTGCTCACGCCTGAGATAGACTGAGTGGCTGTCCCACAGGTGTTTTGCTTGCATGGTATTTACAAAGAACTTGAACTACTTCCCTTTGTAGTTATGGGAGGGTTCAAATCGAAGTCTCTGTTTTTTGCTTCTGTTAAAAATGGAAAGATCTAGCCACATGGGACCCCCGAGTCAAGTGGGACCAGTTGGCTGTGGGTGGAGCATGAGCCGCTCAGATGTCCCCTGCGGTATCTGCACCCGTGTCCCCACATACACCGCAGCTTCCGAAACGGGAAGTGGCTTACCCACCTTCAGCAGAGCTAAGATTCGAACCTTTGCCTATCAAGCTCCCAAGTCGCCCTTCTCTCTTCTTAGGCAATGGCCCGGGATGAGAAGAATTACTACCAAGATACCCCAAAGCAGATCCGGAGTAAGATCAACGTCTATAAGCGTTTTTACCCAGCGGAGTGGCAAGCCTTCCTTGACTCTTTGCAGAAGAGTAAGATGGAGGTTGAGTGACTGGTTTACGCCTGCCCCAGGCTGAAGCCTGTCCTGGACCCGAGAAGCTGGAGCCGGGTTAAGGCAAGGATGGGTGTGTGGCCACAGATGAGGCTGGCCCAGCCCCATTCTCGGGGCCAGGCCTGCCTGGTCTGGGTGACGCGAGAAGTGATGGCTGCCCCGCAGCAGGACCACAGGCAGGGTGTGGCATGGGCAGTGGGCCTTTCCTTAGCCTTGAGTACTTTATTCTCAGCTGTTAATACAGAAATCCTCCTGCTCCTAAGGTTTCTCCTACAAGCACCCAAAATGTCTCTTCTCACTGCTCTTGAAGAGGACTTATGTTTTCACGTGGATCATTTCACATAAAACACTGGAAGGAAACCAGGCTTGAGAGGCATTAGGGGTTGGGGGTTGAAGTCATCTTTCCAACAGTGAAGTCCAGGTTTTCACGTGCTGTCCTCCACCCTGGCCCACCGTCAGAGCACGCTGGGCGGTCCCGGCCTGACTGGCCACAAGGCACGGCAAGCCCGGCCTCTAGGCTCAAGTCTGCAGCAGACTAGGTGGTCCTTGGTGTTTGGCCTCAACTCTGCCCTTCACAGCACCCTAGGGTCAGGCCTTCACCTGGGCTGGCCCCGACCTTCTCTGGCCAGTTCGGGCACCAGTTTTAGGGAGCCTCCCTGCCTCCCACCACCCCCTGCCCCCAGGCCGCACCCAGGTAGCAAGGCCTGTCAGTCAGGTCTGCCTTTTACTCTGCGTGATGCCTCCCACTGGAAGGGGCGAGTGCAGGGACCTCGCCTGGAAATGCTCGTGGAGTGGCCTTCATTCTGACCTCAGGCATGGAGGCCATCGGGTGGCGTCCTTGCTCCCATTTCCACACCTAGCTGACGGCCAGGGAGTGGGAGAAGGGTTTGGACAGCCCCAGAAGGTACTGAGGCCAAAGCTGATGTTCCTCAGCACCCCACGCCCCAGTGGGCTGAAGGGCCCAGGGACTGGGACTGTAGACAAGCCAGATCACAAGACGTGTTCTAGAACCACCGCTGTAGTTTTCCCTCACCGGGACTGTAAGCACCCAGTACACGTTCCTCAAAGTCAGAATTCGAGTGCAGCCACACCTGGGTTTTTGGCATTTATTGTGCATTCCATCCAGTGCTGCCAACACCCCATCTCAGGCCCTGTGGGTCTGGGACCACCAGGCAGGGGTGGGTGGCAAGGCCCCTTTACCTCCACACCTTTGATGGGGACCTTCCCCTCGTCCCTTAATGGGCCCATCTCCTCCCAGAAGCAACAGATGAGAAGAGGCTAGAGGCTCCCCTTTTCAGAGCAACTGGGAAGGACCTTGTGGATACGTGGACAGACAGCAGGTGAGAGGCATGACGCTCAGCTTGTCCTGGCTCCGAAGTCTGGGGCAGCGGCGTGAGGTCACCACAGGCGAGTGTCAGTGGCTGGTGTAAAGTGCTGGCAGTTGCTGCCAAATTGGCATAAAGGGCAAAACGGTATTCAAAGGCAGGTGGAAACGTTTTGTGGGGGCCCAGCGTGTCCTTCAGGCAGATGGGCCGGTGTCAGGAGGTCTTCATCGGCACCTCTGCGGGTACCTGTGAAGGACTGGCGCCTCCCCTTCCAGTCTAATGCTGGTCCCTCTGCACCTGCAGTGCTGAGCTGCACGACGTGCCAGAGGATCTTGGGTTGGGTGGCTGGTCCAGGGAGGTGGTGCCGGCAGCTTCAAAGAGCCCCCTCACCCAGACCGACCACACGCCCCAGCTCTGGGCCGGGCTGGCCTCTCTCCACAGGGACAGCAGCAGGTCAGAGAACGTAGTATTAGAAGCCTCAGTTTCATTTAAATAACTTAGAGCAGACGGCTCTGGGTCAGGGGGAGTGACCCAGACACAAGTTCTGCAGGCAGGGGCCTCCCTCCGCCATCTTCGTTAGGAGGCCGCCAGACACTCCCTATGCCCACACCTAGGCAGGCTGGGGGCTGCAGTCGGGGCAGTGGTGGGACTGCACTGGGACCCACGGCAGCTCAGGAACCTTGCTTGTGTTGAGATGAACAGGTTTGTGTACTGCCTGGTTCCCAAAAGCTGCTACCTGATCCCCCTGAAACAAAGTCGCGTTCAGGAGCAACTGGTCAGAGCACCACAAGGCCAGGCAGCTAGCTGTTCTTAAGGCCGCTGTCCTTCGCCCAGCTTGGTCCTGGAAACCAGAGCAGGGGGCTCTGGCACTGCTGGGAGGATGGGCCAGCATCCCCATCAGGAGCACAGCTGCCAGCCGTGGACCTGCTGCAGCACACGCACAAGCCAGCAGAGTGTCTGTGTCCCATGCAGGTAGGGGGGCGGGGTGGGGGGCAGCACGGCCTGCAGCGCCGCTCGTCATCTGTATCTTCCGCTGCTGCTGGGACCGGTCAGTTCTGGGTGGTCTTTGAAAGTAGTGCAGCTCCAAGAAGCTGAACTCTTTGAGGTTCACTTCCCCCACTGGGGACTCTAAACATTGTAACACATAGTGATAACAGACCACAGGCAGGTCTGAACGAGAAGAGGAGAGTCCCCTCACCAACGCCGGTTCCAAGGGTGACTGTCAAGCACTGGAAACCAGGTGGAGGGCGGGGCTCACGGGACACAGAAGCGAGGGTTCTCTGCCATCCCATGGGAAAGAAAAGTTGCCAGAAAAGGTTCAAGGGCTCCTCTAAACCCCAAGTCATTCATTATTTAAAATAAGAGCAGACAAGTCACTTAATGCGCAAAGTTAATCAGAATTTAAAAGGCAGGGCCGCTGGACACCCGCTCGTGGAACGGGGACGCCTCTCCCCCTACTTATGTAAACACGGGCACTGGCACAGTTAGTACAAGAGCAGCAGCTTCTGTCTCCAGAGTTGAGGGAAGGGGGACGGGCTCTCGGTTTTCTCATCAGGGCGTGGACACCACTTACTCTAGTCACGAGAGGCTGGTGGGCCAGGCCTTGGCTTGGGGAGGCAGGGAGGTTTCAGATCCCTGCTGGGATCTCCAGTTTGTCCTCATGCATCTTCCAGTTTGCAAAGTCCACAGAAATCACCTTTCAAATGAAGGCCCCAGGGCCAGAGAGGAAGGGACCCGTCAAGACCATGAGCCAGATGGGCAGAGCTGGGGCTGGAGGCAACACGGAACCAAGAGCCGGGGCTCCTGCAGCTGCCCAGACTGCCTACGTGTAAGTGGTATGGAGGTGCCAGGAGCCAGTCTAGACTGGGAGCACTCCTGGCACCCGTCACAGTCCTCAGCCACTGGGACCCGCAGGGAGGGGAGCACTGAGCCCACAGAGCAGCTCGCCACACAGGCCAGAAGGAGGGGCCTTCACTGGTGAGAGCTGGACCCACCTCTGGCCCGGAAACAGCCACTCGGTGCCACCCCGTGCCCCACCTGCCTCCCCACTGCAGCCCACGGCTACCTCACCAGGAAGGCTTCTGCGTGGTGGTTCTCGGCCTTGCCCAGGCCCTGCTCATGAGGGCAAGTCGAAGGGACGTGCTGCCCCGTGGCTCCTGCCCCAGGCCCAGGCCGCTGCTGGACATGGAGCAGCAGACCTGGGCTTCCAGGGCTGGTCAGCGAGCAGGAGGGGCAGCCTAGGACAGGAGCTCCAAGAGCAGTTTCCAGACGTGCACGGTGCCGGGGTCTTCAAAGCCGGGCCCTGCGGGGGCGATGCTGGCCCCCAGGAGGAAGATCTCCCGCTGGCTGTCTACAGCGTGCAGACCCAGCTCCTGCTGCAGCTCCGCCACACTCGCGGCCTCACTCAGGTCCTGTGGAGCAGCCGACAGTGTTCCCCAATGCCCAGCCTCGTCCAGGAGACCAAGCCGAGCGACCCTGGTCTCAACTCCCTCGTCTCTGCCTTTCCTTTGCACACGTCTCCCTTCATCCCATCACCGGCCACCGCGGTCAGAAGTAGCACTTCCCATACGCTGCACGGTGATGGGCGCTAAGTCTTCCTTCATTCGGGGTCCACACTTACCCGATGAGGAAACAGGCTGGGGCGGGCAAAGTCATTTAGTCACGGATGCAGTGGTGAGGGGCAGAGGCAGGCTTCACAGTCGGTCGGTGATGCCCACGCTCAGGACCCACACGGGAGCCCGAGCTCAGCCTCCTGAACTCAGTGTGGGGAGATTTCACAGCGGGGTCACCTCCAGGCAAGGGCCTCACCTCCCCGACCCCTAGACCCTGGCTGAGGAAGTAAGGGGCCACTACAGAACAAGCTGGGGAGGGCACATTTTAATTTCAGCCCTGGTCTGAGATTATGATGATTCTTCCTGGAACAACCTACAGAACGCTGGGACCCACAGTGTTGTCTTCTGGGGGCTCAGAATGGCTACAAACTACAGTTTATATGTAACCGTCCAAACTGGGCTACTTCTGAGACTCAAAGTGGGCACTGTTAATAAACATGCTACAATAACAGGTAGAAAGGGGACTGTTCTGGGCAGGCCAGCACAGACAGCCCCCTATTTATAAGTGTCAAGTCCCGATGGGCAGGGGGAAGCAGGTCAAAGACATAAGCCCCTCCCCACCCACCCAGGCTGGAAACATGGCCCGGGACTCGGGGACGTGGGCACAGACCACAGGAAACAGCTCCAGAACCCCGTACAGTAGCTGTGTCACTGGTAACGGAGACTGGCACTCCTGGTCTGCGATGCCAAGGCTGCTGGGCCCGGGGCACCTCGCTGGCACTCGGGACGGGTGTGGTGCAGGGGCTAACAGCAGAAACTTCGGGGACAATCGGAGTTCAAGTCCTGACTCTGCCACATACTGACTGGCACTGGGCACTCAGGGAGAACAGCGAGGCCTACTGTGTGGTTTGCAGGCCACATTGCCGGGTGCCAGCATGGTGCCTGGCACACAGAGAGCAGCACACAGTAAAATCTAGGTGTTACTATGCTCCGTTAGCTCCTCATCACTTCCCAGCTTTATTCTTTGGTTTAGAGCCAGGAGTCCGAGGGCACGGAGCACAAAAGGCGCAGGTGCGGAGTCAGACATCCCCGGTCCACTGCTTCCCAGGTGTGCGACCCTCGGGAGATGGCAACCCTCCAAGCTTCAGGCTCCCCGTGTGTGGCACGGGACTAGTGTTCCAGGCCTCGGAGGGTCAGCAGAGGCGTAACAGGAAGTGTCACCCTAAACCATACCTGGCATCCAGTGGATACTGAGTAATTCTTTCTCATTTCTCCAGGATGACAGGGAGGCAAAAGGGAAGGCAGACAGGGTGGGGACGTGACATGAGGGAAGAGCATGGGCAGAAGTGGGGGGGGCAGGATCTCCGCCAAGCACCCCAGGGCATGTGCCTGGGCCAGCATCCCTCTCCAGGGTGCCTGCCCCTGCCCAGGTGCCTGTGATCAAGCCTGGCCCTCACCTGTTTGTTGGCCACCACGACGACAGGCAGGTCAGGGTCCTTGTCCAGCAGCTTGCGCAGCTCCTGCCGGGCCCAGGGCAGCCGCAGCCGGTCAGCCGAGTCCACCATGAACACCAGCACGTCCACCTCATTCACAAACTCTTTCCAGTAGAAGCGCAGGTTCTGGCTGCCACCGACTAAGGAGAGGCCAGGGGCCAGTTCAGAGCCTCTCTGGGCCCTGGGTCCCTCTACACAGCCCCACCCTGCAGAGCCGACGGGATGTGGGTTTAGCTCCGGATGACAGCTGGTCTCCCTGGCAAGTTGCTACCTTCAAACATCAGTCTCCTCTCACTAAACTCACCTAACAGCAAAGCCCAAAGGTGCAAATACACTGCTCTTTTCTGAGGGCCCGTGTACAGCAGGTGCCCCCGCCAGCCCCAGCCTCCTCATGGGTCTCCGGCAGCTGCGGCCAGAAGCCAGGGCTCCCCGCCCCGCCTGTGCACACCCACCCTCCACTCAGCTCCTCTTGTTCAGTCTGGTCACCCCATTTTCTCCCCCTGGATACGCCAAACTCAATCCTGCCACACAGCTGCCCCCGCACACCCCCAGCATGGGTTGTCTTCTTGTCCCTCTGTCGTTCTGCAGAGGCCCCACTGGTCACCCTCCATCCTAGTGTTTCCGGTCCTATGTCTGACCCTTGTGGACTCTAAGCTCTTTGAAAGTAAGAGCCATTCATCTCTGGATCCCCCAAAGCCCTCAGCACAATGCCTGGCACATGGCAGGCACTCAACAAGCATTTACTGAGTGCGTACTAGGTGCCAAGCACTGACCTGGGTGCTGGAGATACAGAGCTGAGCAGGGCAGGCAGGGGCCCTGCTCCCAAGGAGCTCCCTCCGCAGTCAGGACGGACATGGCAATCTCACACACACACACACACACTTCAGAAAAGGAGGACATGAGACAAACGGTAAAAGTGACTAGGGATGTGGATTTGGATTGGGTAGTCTATGAAGGTCTCCCCAAAGAGGCTGCACGTGGGCCGAGTCTGGGGTGATGGGAAGGAACCAGCCACGGAAGAGACAGGGAGAGCACTCAAGGCAAAGAGAAGAGCAAGCCGGACAGAAGGGGGCCAGGGTGGCTGAGGTCCTGCCACAGGGAGAGGAGGGAGCCAGTCCCAGCAAGGCTGGCCCAGGCTGAACCACACAGGGCCTGTGAAGTCACAGTGAGGCTTCGGGGGCCCCTTAGGGTTTTCACCAAGAGTGACACGATCTGGGAGCTACCACTGGCTCACACTGGGGACAGGAGTGGAAGCAGGACGGCCAGCAAGGAGGCTGTCACAGCACTGAGAGATGACAGTGGCTTGGACCAAGCGGGCAGTGCTGGAGGCGGGGAGCAGCGGACAGACGGAATCCGGAGAGACACGGACACAGCCAGCAGGACCAGCTAATGAAATGGATACTGGAGGTGGGGGAAGGAAGAGCCATTGCAGACCCACAGCCCACTGGCAGCCAGCGTTGGGCCTGCCGGTGTGGGCCACCACAGCAAAGTGCCTTGTGTGTGTGGGGGGGAGCCCCAGGACTGGGATGGCAGATCTGCGGTGGAATCGGGCCGAGGGACCCTTTGGAGGCTGGATGTTGTTACTGGTCAAACCTTGGGTAACATGAGAACCCCCAACCTGCTCTCCCAGGGCTGGAGGCGGGGGTTTGCCTCCACATCCTGACAGAGTGGGCCTCAGGTGCAGAGCCCCACTTGACCAGTTCTGTGTGCCTGGCACAAAAGAGGGAGGTGGGGAAAGCTGGCTGAGGAGACCGACCCCCAGGTGAGTGTCAACGTTTGCTATATTCAGGATGAAAGATATAGCCACATCAGACCAATAGGCGAGTGCCTGCCTACTGGTGGGCCAGTCAGGCCAACAGCCAGGCCCTGAGTCCGATGCCCTGCCTAGCACTTAACCACACCCACCCAGTCTTTGCGGTCTGAGCTTTGTTTGGCAGGAAGTCTACCTGGCCCCCCACAAGTCTGTGGCTGGACACAGGTGGCTAAGTACTGCTGCCCTCTCAATTCCCTCTCTGCCATCCTTTCCCAAGATCCCAAGCGGCTTCACACCGAGGGCGGGGGCTGCTCAGGCCCTCTCTGATCACTCACTCAACTAGCCGTCCCAGGTACCTGCTCAGGGCTGGGCCCTAGGAGCCGGAGCTGGATCAGACCCCTCTGCATCCCAAAGGTCCCGTCAAGGGCACAGGCTGGTATGTGGCAAGTACTGTAGGGCCCAGGGGAGCAGCCCTACACTTGGCCTGGGGGTCAGAGGAGGCTTCACAAGGACATCATGTTTGACGTCAATCTTGAAGGATGAGTTTGTCAAGGGAAGACGGGCTTCCCAGACAGAGAGGACAGTGCTTGCAAAGGGCAGGAGACAAGAAAGAAAACAGCAAGCACCCTTCAGAAACAAGCAATGTAGCATCACGCCTAACGTCAAGAGTCAGGCAGTTCTTGGCCTCAAGCTTCCCCATGTATCAACAAGGGTAATAATTGTTTCCAGTTGCATGGAGTTGTTGGATTTCATTAAGTACAGTCATGGGCCACATTAATGACATTTCAGTCAACACCAAACCGCATGTGTGGCAGTGGTCCCATAAGATTATAATGGAGTTGGAAAACTCCCATCACCTAGTGGCATCATGGTGCAACTCGTTACAATTGTCTACGATATTCGGTACAGCAACAGGCTGCACAGACTTGCAGCCACCTGTGTGCCATCTAGGTGTGTGTAAGTGCAAACTGTGATGGTCGCAGTGGCGCTCGACTGTAACACTTGTCAAATGAATGGCACACGGGAAACTAGCTGTCGGTGTCAGTGTCCCCACGTGAGTTTCCGCCGGAGTGAGGGGCAGGGCAGAGGGGCCTGCTGGAGCCGCCTGTGCATGAAGGGAGCCCACGCTGGAATACAGTTTATTTTGTATCCTGGGTCCCCAGAAGCTTGGGAAGGATTTCATAAAGGGGCGTGCTCTGCTTAGATATGCATTTTGGGGCCACCCCCTGGCAAAGAGCCCAGGTGTGGATCCAACTGAGGTGATGGGGAGACGGCTATGTGGGCAGGGTTTCGGGGGGTGGTTCTCACTTTCTAGCAGGTCCACCTCGAAGTCCTTGGTGGGCAGCCGCACGGAGTTGAAGCCCCAGGTGGGAACATGGCCTTCAGGCGGTGGCTTCCCAGACAGCACGCGCAGGAATGTGCTCTTCCCAGAGCCATCCAGCCCCAGCACCAGCACCTCGCGCTGCTCCAACTCCTCCAGCACCGGCTCCTCATCCTCCTCGTCCTCCGGCTGCGGGGCACAAATCGGGCTGCGGCTTCACCCTCCTGCCTTGCTTTTCCCGAAGGGAGACTGCAGGCACCAGAGCGCCCATCCCCGCCGTCCACCAGTTCAGGCAGGCAGACAACGCGGCGAGCGAGAGTCCCCGAGCCCCCAGCCTTGTTCTGCCTGCTTTACCCGAGTGACCTCGGGCAAATTCCCTCCGTCCACGTGCCAGGGCTGCAGAAACCACTGAGTTGGAGGCAAGGCGCAGCCACGAGCTCAAGGAGGGGGCCATAGGACCTCTCGCGACATCCCCAGAGCCGCGCACTGCGCAGGCGCTGGCGCTGGGCGGGCGCCGGCTGCACCTGGTGCGGCCCAGACCCAGCTCGCGAGGAAGCTGGCGTCCGGCAGCGGCAGCACCCCCAGCCCCTGCCCCAAACCTCCACCCCTCCCTCGGTTCCGCGGCTCACTACGGCCCGGTTGCCCTCGAGGGGCCTGCGGGCGGCAGCTCCAAGCCCTGGAACCAGGCCGTTCCGTCGCTCGCGGGGAGGCGCCGACCCCAGCCCCACACTCACGTCCCACTCGTCCCACTCGGGGAGGCGGGCGGGCTCCACGCCCCACCAGCCTTCGCTGCCGTCCCAGCGCCGTTCCCCTCCGCGTCCGAAGTAGGCCTTCCAAAGGATGAAGAGCACGGAGCCGAGCACCGCCGCGGCGCCGCCCAGCGCCAGTACCAAGGGGCTCAGCGGCCGAGGCGCCATCAGGCCGGGCGCGTGTGCACTGACCGCACGAGCCGGCCGGCCGAAGATGGCCCCGCTGCAAGAGCTGCGGCCGCGCCCACCCACCCAGCCCAGCCCCGCACTACAAGCCCCACAATGCACCACCGTTGTCGCGACTGCCGCCCTCGCCCCTGCGGCGGGTGGGGGCGCGGGTCCGAGCACGGGGACCTCCTGCCCCCTGTGGGCGCGGAGTGGAGCGAGAAGCTGTGCCAGAGCAGGACCGGAGATACCGGCATCTACCAAGCTCTCGCTGTGTGCCGGGGGCTTAGCTCAAGGATGTTCTCGGTCACTCCTTAAAACTGTACCTCGTGGGAGGGAAGACCGCCGTCCGGGTCGCACCGTAGTGCCCTGGCAGAGCTTGCATTAAAACCCAAGCATCCCTCAAGACCTCAAGGAGGAAATGGCTGCGGTAATTTGTCTAACTCGTGATTGACTAAGGACTTTTTTAGGTGCCCTAAGGTGCTCACTGGGCATTTATTTCAAAGCGAGAAAAATAACTCCAAAATTGTTTTCAAACGCCACCTTTATGAACATAATATATTGACGTAAGCGAAGTTGACATAATAATCTGCAGACACATAACCACATCGATAATGCAGGTTTTTAGCAAAATTAGACCAAATATTTTACTTTAAGTATTCAGAGACTTTCTTGTGGGTCCCTGAAAAGCCCGTAGACAGTAACATTCTGAGGTACTGGGGGCTGGGACTTGATACAAATTTTGGTAGCACTCAACTCAGCCCAACAGCTGGAGCACACAGCGTAGTGCCTGACAAAACTTAAGACGCAAGAACACACTTTCTGTCTAACCAGCTGCGCCACACTAGCTGTATGACGTTGGCCTGGTTCCTTCTGCACCTTAGTTGCACCGTCTGTAATATCAGGTTTGATAAACGGGTTTCTAAGGACAGTCTGATTGTTGACGCCCTGGCCCAGCCCTCCTTAATCTCTCCGATGAACTCTTTCTCCCCTCTCACCACTAGAGGGAGATGTTGCTCCCCATTATTTCTTCTTCCGAAATGTGCTTTCAACCTGTTGCCCCCGGGATGTAAAAAGTGGAGGAGCTGTGAGGCCAAAGGCAGCCAATAACTAAATTATCAGGTAGATACTCAGCCCTGGACTCTGTTACTTCCTAGCTGAGGTACCTTTGCCAAGGTCCCCTTGAGCGTGTTAGTTTCCCCTGCTGCCATTTGGGCAATGAAAATGGACATTTCTGAGCACTGCTAGGTGGAAAGTCTCATCTAGGATGACCAAAAAGGGACAGGCTTCCAGGTAGAGCTCCCAGTCCAGAGACCCCAGAAATGCAAATGCCCCTCTTACTGCCTTCCCAGTGACCAAGCTCCTGCCTGCTGATGGGTTGGCCAACACTGGCAGCTCTGTCTAGGGAATGGGCCTTTCTGAGGGCTTGGCCTGGCCATAGAGAGCAGACATCTACAGGAGAGCAGGCACCCCCTCCCCTGTGAAGTAGAATGCAAGATACGGGACATTCAGGGTGGATGCAAGAGAGATATTGGTCAATTCTAGTTTTTGAGGCTCCAAGTTTATTAAAGTACGAAATGCCCAAGGAACTGCAAAAGGACAATTCAGGGGCAAAAGCATTTAGAAAATTAGTGTCCTGGTAAGTGCATGTTGTAAACCTACATAAAAGAGGCAACCAGATCTACTGGTCAGTCACACACAGGGCCCCTTGGCTGGGGTCTGCCCCAGAAAAGAACCATACAGCCAGACCTCAAAGAAGAACTTCCCCAAGATGCTGCTGCCCATGGGAAAGTAAGGTAGCTGTGCCAGGAACTGGAATCAGGCTTGGCTGAGAACCAAAACCAGAGTCGGGGAAAAAAGCACAGAAGAGGGTGGAGGGGAACCTCTATGGCCACAAGAGACCCCCCCCCCCCACACACACACACACAACCAGAGGCAGAGAAAGACAGCCTGAACTTAACAGCTCAGATGGTGCCCTTCTTGGACTGGTGGATCAGTCGTGACAGAATCCTCCTTGCTCGACTGAACTGTCTGGAAAACTAGTTTACTTGCAAAAGACTTGGAAGGCTTTAGATGAATAAGATCTCCAATTAAAAAAAATAACCACAATACCCATTTAAAGAAGAAAACCCCAGAAGATGGTGAAGTTTACAAACATTTGGTTAGGATGTTCTTTGTGGAAACTGTTTTTCTCATGTGGCTACTATCTACCTTGATCATGCTGTGGCTTCAGACAGCAGCGCCGCAAAAGTCAGGGGTAAAGTCGTTTTAGTCAGAGGGCTAGTAACTTCCAGGAAAGGGTTCAGTTTTTCCTCGGGTGGGGGTGGTAGTGGAAGGGGGCACTAAGAACAAAACCCAGTGAGCCTGTCTTCTGGCGCATATAAATAAAGATGCGGAGTGCAGTTTCCGCCCCTTCTGGCTGAGGTGTGACGTGCACTTTGTCCTTCCAATGGAGGAAGGCAAGCGTCAGTTCTGCTTCCACAGAGGGTAGAAAATTGTGGCATTTTAAAAGTTCCAAATTAATGAAGTAACACTTTTGACACCGCCCCCCCCCCCCCGCACTGCAATGTTATTCATAAGCTAGTTATAGAACTTAAAGCTAATTCATGGCGCACTCAGGCGCGGTGGCCTGGTAAAGGCACTCCTGCGGAAAGTCTCTCCGTCCTGCGGGGTAGACCTCGCAAGTGTCAAACGCCGAAGTCTAAATGTGAGATCCGCTCCCCCAGCACCCCAGCCCCAGCCCTCCTGAGATGAACCTTGATGGCAAGCTTGGGACGTGGGGTAGAAACGTGTTGCTTTACCATATTAGTAAACCATATTAGAAGGTTGTGTGGGGGGGAAATAAGTCTGCCTTCGGGTTGTGACATCTCAGTGGGCATCTCTTCAAGCATCGCTTTTGTTGGCGTAAAAGGGCATTCGGACCACCTCGTCCAGAGAGGCGGATGAAGTTTGCTCTCCGTTCTGGTTCCGCTACTGGCGTGAACCCTGACTAACACAGCTCTTCCTAGAAGAGGGTCCCTGCTCCCTTCTCTTACTAAAGTGCAGAGGAGCGCATTCCGATCGTGGACTACAACTCCCAGCATGCCAAGAGGGCCTTCCGGGCAAAGTCTCGCGTTACGTCAGAGGCCCCACATCGGCTTCTTCCCGGAGGCTCTCGGTCAGACTGGCAGCTTAGGTTCTGGTCCGTGCCGGAACCTCTTAGGGTAGCGGCTGACACAACGCCATTCACATCATGACTTGGATCCCCACTGCGACACAACCTCTAAAGAGACGTGGGTCCTCGGCGCCTCTTTAGTGCCGGGGCTCGGGCTACAGGCAGCTCCGCGGCGGCGAAATCGGTAAGTGGACGGGCCGGGCGGGCCTGGCCTCCCTGGGGCCACATCCTCCGCTCCCCTAGAGGGGCGCGCTCCCGGCCTCTCCACCTGGAGTCCTCTCCCCGTCCCGAGGCTCCGGGGTCCCCCAGTGGGCCTCGCCTCTGCTTCATCGGAGCTGCCTAGCCTTGGGACCCCACTCGTCGCCCAGCCCCCTCACCTCTGAAACTTCTTACTTGCGCTGCCCTGGGGGAACCTTCGACTAGCGCCAGGCCCCGACCCTCATCGCCTTAGTCTTTCCCTGCTGGCTCGGAGGGAGGGGTGTTGAGTCAGAGCTGGCGTTTCACATCCTGGTGGAATCGTCAGTCATCCCATATGGGAAAAGCGTGAGCTCTGCGGGGGAGGGGACGAGGGCAGGAAGGGATGTATTTGGGTCGGTAGGCTCCCCAGACCCGAGGCATGGCCGAACTTTGGTTTCTGCGATGCTCTTTAATGAAGAACTAGCTAGTTTGCCCTCTGAGCTCCATCAGAAGAGAGGGGTCACGTAGCAAGTTGCAAGGGAAATAACAGCTTTCTTAGGGCTTTGCGTGAACTCCCCTGTAAAATGGGGATGAAACTACCTATCTTGTAGATGGGCCACATCTGTGACCCTGGACCAATCACGTATCTTTTGATCTTTAGTTTTCTTTTTAAACCGGGGATAATAATGCCTGCTTTGCAGCGTTCCTGCGAGGGTTACAACACAGGATAAGTGCTGTCTAAAACCCTTGTAAATATAGTCAGCTTTGGCGATAAAGCAGGAATTTAATCTCTAGTTACTTATCCCCTTGCTGTGGGCCAGGTTATTTGGACCCTGAGCCTTAACTTACTTAAAACATGAAAAAACAAACCGTAAACTTCGAACCCCTCTCGCAAGGCTAGGGAGTACGGGAATGTTGAGGAGGAGGGTGCCGGGAAGACTCTGACCGGCTGTGGCAACGCTGGTTGGTTCTTGTTCTCAGAACCTCTGGAATGGACGGCCTCCTCCCAAGCAACTTAGCTAATTGGCAGCAGCTGAACAATGTTCCTAGTTAATATCTACCTGTGAGCTTAATCATCACATCCCTTCTCTCCGGTAAGGTGACCTTTTCACCAGGTATCATGTCTTTGTCATAGCACAGGTTTAAGATCAGCCACAGGTGTGGTGAGACCTTTGCTATTATCCTATTTTTGTTTTTTGTTTTCTTTTTGTGTTCCTTGGCATGTTTCTCACCCATTGGCTCTTCATGTGTTTCATGTTGTAAACAAGCCATAAAAGTCTGCGTGCTTCTCAGAAGAACAGCGTTGGTGCTCTTCTTTGGTGTTCACTGTAAGAAAATGCTCTCTGTTATTTTTATTAGGTGGCAGGGACTCAGCTCTGAAATCTATGTAGAAAAAGCACCGGATCCCAGTCTTTCAATGGCTTCGAGACAATCAGAAGTGCCCGGTAAACTGAATTCTTTTTGATAAAGCTCTGTCTCCCTTAATGCTGCTATCCAGAAACAAGTTTTTCTGAACCATGTGTTGATGGTTAGGTTGGCATCATCTAAATATTATCTTTTTAACTACCCAGCTGGCGTAGTGAACCCAGAATCTAACCAGAGAGTAGTCATTTCACTCAAGGGTATAACAGATTTGTTATTTTCCTACAGCATTAAATAAGAATTCAGAGTAAGGTGGGTAGTTCTTGAGGTATGTAGCAAAACTTTAAACTCACTCCCCATTTGTGGGAGGTGGAGGGCCGGGGGAATAGAGGCCTGGGCAGAAAGGCTCCAGCCGGCTTTAGAGGCAGCAAATGGAACTTAGTCACGAAAACGCCCACGGTGACATGGAATGAGTCCTGGATCTCTTTTGGACAGTTACTTCTGGATTACCGGAGTCATTGATCCCACCTTGGACTCTTTTAGTGGGGAGGGCAGTGATGTTTTAAATCAAATCAGAATCACTTGATTTTAGATAATCAGTGAAGGCTTGATGACAGCGCCTGTCTCTCCGGGCTGCTGTGACGATTAAATGTAAACTGTGTGAAAATGTGAGTTAAAAGTTAGTGATGAATCTGCATTTACTGCCCTGAAAATTTTGGGGTCTGTTTGTAGGACTGTGTTGCTTAGTATATAATAATGAAGCTGACTTCATTATTATTTGTAGGAGGGCGGTTGGGATGGCTCATGGGAGGAGTCTTAAGATGGTTTTGAAATTGCTCCTAACTTAAGTGGAGTGACAGGAGTCTCCCCTGTGTCTCCCAGTACCAGTCCCTCTGTGGTCCCTGACCTCATCAGCTTGTGTTTGGTCTGTCCTCCATTGCTGCTCTGCTGACCGTAAGCTCTGCTGTGAGCGCCCCGGACCTCGGGGTGGCTGCACTCACTGTGCTGAGGCTTTGCAGTGTGGGGAGTGTGGAGTGTTACATGCTGAGTGAGCGCTGGCCGCAGCCTGTGTTCCAGCCCCACCCACACTCACTAGCTCAGTGTCGCTTAACGTCTGTGCCTCAGTTTCTGGCACCGGAACCTGGGAAGAATGTGTGTCTAATGAGAGTTAGGGAAGATGCAGAGTGTAAGAGCTTGGGGAGGAGGGGTACTTGGTCATTATTATTGTTCCTTTTTTAAAAATATTTTATTTTTAAAGAGCAGGGAAGGGAGGGAGAAAGAGAGGGATAGAAACATTGATGTGCAAGAGAAACACTAATTGGTCGTCTTCTGCACGCCCCCAGCCAGGGCCCTGGCCTGCAACACAAGCATGAGCCTGGCCTGGGAATCGAACCAGTGAACTTCCAGTTTGCGGGAGGATGCTCAACCCACTGGGGCCACACCAGTCACGGCTATTATTTGCTTGTTTCATTGAGATAACTCACGTACCATGAAAGTCACCCATTTAAAATGAGTAACTTAGTCGTTTTTAGTATTCACAAGGTTATGGGACCATGACTGCTCTCTGATTCCAGAACATCTGCATCACCCCAAAAAGAAAACCTCACGTCCATTTGTAATTGCTTTCCCCGCTGCCCCACCAGAGCTCGGCCACCACTAATCCTCTTTCTGTTTTTAAGGGTTTGTTAGTGGTTATTATTCACGTTGACAGTAATAATGGTAGCTGCTTGGTCCTTTGCTGTTTAAATGAAGTGTCTTTGCAGGTTTGGGACTTACTGCCACACACGTTGTTGTCTTGAGGGGTGATTGTATAATTTTAGCAACGGGAAAGTGTCGCGCTGAGGGCAGGATCTGGACAGGTTAGTTTGATATTAACAAAATGAGCTTTGCTTCCTGGCCTGGCAGCACCGAGCGCGCCCTCCAACCAGGGTGCCTGTGTCACGGCAGGACGTGCCCCCGGTCGGCCCGGCAGGGGCAGCGGGCCGTGCTGCAGGAGAGTGGCCATCAGCAGTTTCTGGGTGGTGGTTGGCACTGCTGTTTAAATCACGCAGAGCCCTGGGACCTGGTGATGACGCTGGCAGCGTATTGCAAATGTCTGCTGTGTCTGTGCTCTCGCTTCCTGTGGTGAGGGAGGGGAGGCGGAGGACCTGCAGTCGAGCCTCTGCTGGTGCTTGCCCAGTGAACTCGGGCAAGTCACTTTGCTTCCAGGCTCTTGTTTCGTCACCTGTACAGTGGGAAGGAGCACGTCAAGTCCTCAGTCTTGCAGGAGTTGAGAGCCTTGGCATGGCTGTGGGGCAGATTCTGTGGCATAAATAAAGAACCCAAACTCTGAAATCAGGAGCAGCTTTTGATTCCTTACTGCACTTTGACGTTGTGTGACCTTGCTCAGATAATTTAAATTGAACTTCCAGTTTTTCTAAACCGCACAGATGCACTGGGGCTGCTGAGTGGGTTAAGAGGAGGATCCAGGTGTCAGGCCGAGAGGCAGGGGTCGGTACCACGGATTACCATTCATTGAATGGACTGGCTATTCCAGAACAAGCTGTCCTTGCTGTGTCCCGGAGCGAGCGGTTCAGAGCTTTACTGCCCACAGATCAGCTTAAAGCTACGAGCGTGTTCAGTCGCTGAACCCGTCCTGACAGGTGTCTCTGTTCTTAGCCCTTGAGCCCAGTGGGCCTCTAGGCAAGATGTCCCTGCCCATCGGGATGCACCGCCGGGCATTCAGCTACGATGATGCCCTGGAGGACCCCGCGCCCATGACTCCTCCCCCGTCGGACATGGGCAGCATCCCCTGGAAGCCCGTGATTCCAGAGCGCAAGTATCAGCACCTCGCCAAGGTACCTGACTCTGCCGGCTGCCCCTGGCGAGCCAAGCCTTCGTTCCCCTCCTCCTCCCCAGGAGCCTCAGTGGCTCCAGCGCCCAGAATCTGGCTGCCGCCAATCCCTACGTGTGTTCTCTGTGTCTCTGCTGGAGTCGGTGGGCCTTTGGTCCTTTTAATTCAAACTAGAGTGGACGTGCCTTCTCCTCCCCAAGATTCTTTTGTCCACCCCATCCCCACCCCACCCCACCTCACCTGCTACAGCCTTAGAAATGCAAGCTCCTTAGTCTGGCTCTGATGATCTTAGTGTGCCGCTGCCCCCAGTGATCTATCCATGCAAGTTACCTAAGGTTTCCTGCACTTAGTAGGGTATTCAGTGCCTTCAAGTCTTTGCTTCAACTGCTCTGTTGCCCGGAATGTTTCCATCCCCATCCTCTTCTCCCACCACCTGCCTGAGCAACGGTGTCCTTCAGGTCTCAGGGCAGACAACCCTCCTGTGAGGGTTTTCCTTCTGATAAGACTGCCACCTCTCCTTGGGCCTGCCTCTGTGCCACAGGCCCCTGTCGCCCACCCCGTGGCACTTTATCACCTCCTGCCAGCTCCGGGGGACAGGAGGCAAGGCCAGTTTTGTAGTCTACCTGCAGTATCAAGCAGAGAACAAAACAGACCCCAAACTGTTCATGGAGTGATGGGGGGCAAATTGGTTGCTTCCCAAACATGCGCTGTTTTTTTTCTCATCACACTCTCCCACCTGCCACACCTGCCTCTCCCACTGGGAGAGCAGCCTTCGTCCTTGGGCCCTGGCTCACTCGGGCACACACTCCACATCCCACCATTCCTGCTCTCACAGCCCAGCTGTGCACTGCGGCTCCAGGGTCTCCCAGGCTCATTGCCACCGTGTCACCGAAGCCTGCCTCCCTGCCTGTAGGGGTGGTGTCTCTGTGACTTCTGACTCTCAGTAGCGTTGCCTGAATAAACTTGGCCTGCCAAGTTCAGGTGAGGCCATTTAATCTACAGCTACAATTGCACTGAACTTTGAGCTGTATGACAGATGAGGGCCTAACCTTGGAAGTACAACACAGTGAGCCATGACTTGAACAGACCTGGGCATAAATCCCCTAATGGCCTGTGTATTAGCAATGACCTTGGGCACACAGCTTCATCCCTGAGCAACAGTGTCTCCACCCAAGACCCCTTGGCCATGGAGGTGCTGCAAGGTTAAATCAGAGGGGGTTGGAACATGTGCCGGGCGTGTGGCAGACGCTGTGACTCCTGCCCCCGGCAAAACCTGGCCCCCGAGGAGCTGCGCTAGATTCTTCCTTTCGCATGGGCCCGCCCTACTCCCCTTCCCTTCAGCTGTCAGAACAGGGGGCTACTTTCTGCAAAAGCACCTCCTGCAGCTCAGGGGTACATTTGTCCCCGCGTCCTTTACCTGCCAGTCCGACGCAATCAGCTGTGGGGAGGAAACGTCTAGCGTAAAGAGAACTGGCAGCACTGGAGGAGAGGGCCCGGCAGCTGTCTGCGGTGCCTGGGCGGCGGACTCGGGACCGGGACGGGGGCCGGGGCGGCACAGCAGCAGGGCTGCTGCTGGCACTTCTGAGGGTGCTAGGCTCTTTTGTGTGTGAAGGCTGCAGCTTACTTGCCAAGGCAAAGAATGGGCTTCGCCCTGCTGTTGCGCCCCAGCTGGGACAGCTGACGGTTTGGAACAACTGTCCCTAAGGGGAAGCTCAGCGGGACTCATTGCATGCATTCTTTCATTTGTCCTGACCGTCTGCCACCCTCCAAGTAAGGGAGCGAGATGCAGCCTTGGCTCCATGGGAGTCCCAGCTGGGAGGCACAAGCCCTGCGTCGTCCCAGGGATGCGGCATTTCAGTGCTTCTGCCCCCACTTGCTGACAGGCTCCATTCATTCCTCTGGAGAAAGAAGCAGACAACAAAGAATAAAGCCGGTCCTCTCCTCCCTGCCAGTCCTGAGTTGGCGTTGGGGGTTTGAATGCATGGAGGTGAGCTCTCAGCTCTCAGGTTCAAGACGAGGAACTACACAGAGTTTTTGGTTTGTTCTAAAAGACGATTCCTTGAACCCTTAGAGCTGTGGTCCTCCAAGTATGGTCTTGGGGACTAGTAGCATCAGCATCACTTTGGAATTTGTTAGAAAAATACCAAATTCTGGAGCCCCACCCCACGCCTACTGAACTGGCCCTGGGGTGGGGCCCAGCCACCTGTTGGACAAGCCCTCCAGGGCTTCCGATGCTCAACACGTCTGAGGTCTGCTGAGCGCCTGCCTGCAGCAGTGAGTTGAGCCAAACTAGCGTGGCTCCAGGTACGTGGGCAGCGCTCAGCAGGAGTCCTGGATCAGTTCAGTGGGTAGGCATGGCTGGGAATTAGGAGCCCTCAGCTTCCTACTCTGGCTTTCCCACTTTTTTTGTGTCTATTTATGTGTCTTTATCTGTTGTCACTACGGATGATACACACCTAATCGGGTAGAAACGCCAAATCCCCTGCCCGTAAAGGTGTCCTTGCGTATCAGGTTCAAGGTGTTTCTGTAGCCCCCTCCCCAGAGGAGTGGGTGTAGGTGTGCGGCCTTCCTGCTGTGCTCACCTTGCCTCTCTTGAACAGGTGGAGGAAAGAGAGGCCAGTGTCTCCCCTGACATGACCCTGTCATCGGCCATTGACAGTACGGAAAAGGTCCCCGTGGTGAAGGCTAAAGCCACCCGTGTCATCCTGAATTCTCTGATCACAAGTAAGCGCTCTGCATGCTCCTAGCAGAGCAGGGGTGGGAGGTGGGCATGGGGGCCCGCAGGTGCGCCGGCCTCAGCCTGTGCTGACCATGCCTGGCAGGGGCCAGCTGAAGTGTGTGATGGGCTGCCAGTCACCAGCGAAGCTGCATGGACGTGAGCATTGGCCAAACACGGGGGATCTCTGTTGACAGAGATGCATTCCTGCTGGTCTGCTAATACAGTCTCACACGCCCACGTGCATCTGTGTGGCTTGGGGCAGATCACTTACCCGTGAGCCTGTCTCCTTGTAAATGACAGGAGGAACCTGGCTGGCAGGTAGAGGGAGGGTTGGCGGCCCAGTGCTTGGCGGCTGGGAGCTGCTGCTGGGAAAGGCGGCGCTCGGAAGCCTCCGCCACCTGCCCTGTATTATTTTTCCTTCTTCATCTTTTTTTTTTTTTTTTAATTAAATGGCTCAAAGCTTTCTTATTCACGAACATTGTTGCCTGAAGCTTTATTCTTTAGGATGTGTGATTTGTGGCCCCAGTGAGACTGGAAACAGGGGAGCTTGTATTTTTTTTGAACCCTCGGTTCCGCTGTTAACAATTAGTTATTAGACACACAGCTCGGCCTGTCAGCAGCAGCCCCTGCCAGCGACAGGGCCCGCAGAGGTCCTCCTTGCTGGCTCAGGCTCAAAGTCGGAAGTCCTTGTTTTTCTGCCCTGGGAGAGGATCAGTTTATCTGGCCTGTTCTGGAGAACCCGCCCAGGAACCGAAAGTCCAAACCCTTCTTGGACTTCGGTTCGCGTGTACACACACCACTTGACTCAGCAGCCGCTACGTGTACCCTGTAAGCCCGGGAGTGTTCTGGCAGGTGTTCGAGAGAGAGAGCTCTCATTCCTGCTCCTCCGGCACAAGCCAGCTTCTTCACTGAAAGCTCACTTCCCCACAGTCCGGAGCGTTCTAACTCCTGGACGTTCTGCTGTTGCTCAGATACCACTCGGCTCATTCCCGTCGCCTGTGTGCATAGCTCTGCGCAGGTACGGACAGAGCGGCGCGTCTGTCCTTTGGGGTCCTTCAGGGGTCGCTGTGGTTTCACGTTTTTAAAAACAGCGGCATTTGAACCCTGGTCTTGGTTGCTGTGATACACTGAATTCCTTCCCGCCTTTTAAATTCGCAGGTAACCACCTGGTAACACATGGAAATACCGTTATACATTTGGGTGTATTTTTCCCCTGAGCTTCTATTTCTGATAGAAATAAAATAGTACCTTCAACAGGGAATGACTGAGTGTAAAGGACACTGGGATCCAGACTTTTGGTCCAGAGCTGCTGTATTGTGGACGTGGGGCTGTGTTAGGAAGTTGTGTACAGAGTGGGCAAAAATTTGAGCTGTCGATCGTGCAGCTGACTCAGCGATTATCTAACACGGAGCTGTCTGCTTCCCGTGCCCTGCACCGCTGAGGGGCACTTCGACACACAGGAAATGTCGGCCCAGTGGACTGGGCGAGTTCAAGGCCCATTCTCTGTGGTTTGGCTCTGATGGGTCCCTCGGTGCCGTCCAGCCGAAAGTGGCCCGTTTCTCTTTGGTGAAGATCTCTGTGTGGGTCGCGAGGGTGGCGAGTCCCCTGTGGGGAACCGTGTTGGGAGAACGCCCACTGTTTCTGAATGTCAGTGGGCTTCTCCCTGTCACATTTCTAAACACACAGAGAATGGCTCGGCGCACGAGCGGGGGAGGGGGGGTAAGGAGTTCCCTGGGGCCCGAGGACCTCCCTGCAAGGTTCAGGTCGCTGCTGCTCCTGGGAGAACGGCGGGTGTCTGTGTCGCCCTCCCCCGTGTGTGATGGCACGGGGAGGGCATGACTGTCATCTCCTCTGTCCCCAGAACAGACCCAGGAGAGCATTCAGCGTTTTGAGCAGCAGGCAGGGCTGAGAGACGCTGGCTACACGCCCCACAAGGGCCTCACCGCCGAGGAGACCAAGTACCTGCGCGGGGCAGAGGCGCTCCACGTAAGCTGCTTGTGTGGGGACTTTGAGAAGTGTGACGCCCTCGTAGCTCAGAGCTGGGGGTGTGCCTCAGGAGGCACCAGCTCAGCCAGGCGGGGGCTGCAGGGAGGGGTGGGAGTGGACGAGGGCGAGGGTCCTCGAACTGTGAGAGACCCCTGTGGCAGGGAGGGCCCTCAACTCCGGTGGCCCAGGGCGGGCGTCTGGTCGGGAGGTGGCTGGAGCCCTGCGCTCCCCGTGTGGTCTGGTGGGCGCGTCAGCAGCGTGAGGCCAGTGGGTCCCGTGGCACAGCGGCAGGAGCGGCACTGAGTGACCAGAGGCGCGGGCGGCCTCCGTGGAGGCGACACCAGCTGGAAAGGAAGGTCATGCTCGAGGTTTAACCTATTTTAATTAAAAGCTAATGTAGAATTGGAATGTTTTTGCTCTTTGTAAAATTGGAGTGAATGAGACTAATTTGTGGTAAGGTTAACAAGGCCCGAATAGGTGTGTGAATGAAACTGCTGCAGACGATTCCCGCTCAGGGAACACCACCGTAGGCCTGACAGTGCTGCGCAGCCTCTGCGGCCCTTGCTCACTCCGCCTTGCTCCCTCGAGGTGGGACCTGTGCTCTGTGTTCTGTATGTGCAGAGGCCGAGGCCCGAGGCCACGTATTTAACCGGTCACAGCACCTGAGCTCAAGTCCCCCGGTGCCCTGGCTCCTCCCGTAGGTGTTTTTCCCCCACGTTCCAACGTTGTCTGAGAACCTGACTCGTGAGGGGGCTCAAGGGAGGGTCGTGAGACACAGCATGTGGAAGGAAGGACGGCGTGGCTCTGGTGGCCTGTGGGGAGGGGTACGAGACTTCGGGGACTATGGCGTGTTGCAACGAGCATCCCAGATGATGTTTGCACGCTGAGAGTCAAAGCCACTGCTGTGGGGACCAGGGTTGGGCTGGTGGCCGGTTTAAGCTGTCAGATGGGACAGTTGCTTCTGGAGAGGGGCACCGTCCGGCTTGTGACACGGACCTTCCCGGGACCTGTCTCTGTCAGAGTTCTGGGGGAGCAGTTCGCCACGAATGTTGTAAGGTCGACGCTGGGCCGTTTTCTTCCCCGTGGCCACGGGAGCAGAGCAGGAGGCTGGCTCAAATGCCAGCTTACGTAAATTGACGGGGGTGGGGGGCGTGTTTGTAGTGTAGCTCGGGCTCAGCATCAGCACGCCGGGCGTGGAGCACAGAGATGGCCGGGGACCCTCGCTCTGGACGAGCTGGCAAGTAGGGTGGTCTCTCCCCCGGTGGATGCGCTTCTGTGTTAGACGTGTGTTTGCAACGCGGAGGGAACCCAGCGTGACTGGTGGTGGGAGGGACAGAATGGGGCAGGCCTCACCGAGGAAGTGGGCAGCTGCAGAGGAGGGGCGTGGCCCGGGAGTCGTGGCTTCAAGAGACACAGTGGCGGGTTGTCCGTGGCAAGGCAGGTGGCAAAAGAAGAGTTCAAGGCCATACGTAGAAGGCCCAGGAAGCGCGCAGCTTGAGTTCTGGCTCTTGCGCTTACTGGCTGGCAGAGGTGGGAACATTAAAAGGCCTAATGCAGTAAACACTATTCAAATGTTTAAGATGTGTTGTAGAATTAGTGCGTCTTTTAAACAGATGGAGTTCTATTTAGTATGGCAAAACCAAAGGAATGTGTATCCTTTGACTTGACTGTTCTGTAATCCAAAATTATTCCACCTATGCATGTTCTCCTTTTGCTTGAGGTTGGTGTGGACCAGGTTGATTCCTTACACACTTAGCTGAGGTCTCTCTTCTCACCCATCTGAACAGAAACTAAAACTGCAGAGTGGAGAGGTCACGCGAGAAGAGAAGCCGGTCTCGGCCCAGTCCACCCCCAGCAGCACCCCCCACTCTTCCCCGAAGCAGAAGCCTAGGTGAGCCCCTCCTGCAACCCTCCCGAGCGGCAGTGTGCAGGTGAAACTGGGACTCAAGCCTGTGGTTCCAGAGCAAGAAGGGGGAGGCGACGGTTCCCAGGCTTTGCATGCGGGGCACTTCCAGAGGGGCAGGAAGAGGCCACATGAGGCTGTTCTTTTCTTTCTCTGCCAGGGGCTGGTTCTCTTCTGGCTCTTCCACAGCCTTGCCCGGCCCAAATCTTAGCGCCATGGATTCTGGAAGCAGGGATAAGGACAGAAACTCGGCAGATAGATGGAGCCTCTTTGGACCAAGACCCCTCCAGAAGTCCGATTCAGGTGAGGCAGCTTTCTCAGAAGAGAAACAGCATGGCAGGCATCTTCCCGTGTGTGCGGGGAGCCGTCGCTGATTCTCAACTGCTTTGCTCTGGTTTGCCCCTGTAGCAGGTTTGGCCACCCAGCCCTACCGAGGAGCCCAGAAACCTTCCCCAATGGAGCTGATCCGCGCGCAGGCCACCCGGACGGCCGAGGACCCAGCAGCCTGCAGGCCACCCAAGATGGATGTCCCAGTGGTGGAGGGGAAGAGGCAGCCGCCACGAACCCATGACCTCAAGCCCCGGGACTTGAATGTGCTCACACCCACCGGCTTCTAGAGCCTTGGCCTCCAGTGACTCTGGGTAGAGGGAGTCTCGCACCTACTCCACCGCTACTCTGGCTCTGACATAGGAAGCGTTTGGGTTTTTTGGTTTTTTCTTTTAACCCCCTTAAACTGAGGCTAGAAGTAGAGAGAGTTTTGAGAACCATTTGTGGAAAGCCTGCCCTTGTGTGGAAGAAGCCGTCGTGTGGCTTTGGTTTGAAGTCAGACTAGGTCATCTCAGCCGCGACGTGTGGGGCCTCCCCGTCACATGTGCACCGTCTGGCCCAGACCAGAACCTGACCTTCGCTGCCCAGGTAGATGGCGTTCGTGCTGCTCCTTCACCACAGGCAGCACCCACACTGCGGGCCATGGCCAAGAGGCTCCGCCCTCTCGACAGCTGGTGCTGGTGCCACCGCCCTGTCCACGCAGGGACCCACGGTCCGTCTGAGGTCTGGGCTCGAAGAAAAGCAGGTTTGGCAGGGACCCTCCTGCCTGGAGACTGCAGCCCTCGCTCTCGGCCAGGTCCTAACAGCGGGGCCCCCAGGGCAGTTGTTCTGGGCAGGGCTTCTCTTTCATGTCCTTTGTTACACTTCAAAGTGAGATCAAAGTAACTCCAATTTGGTGGAAGACTTTCTAAGGAGAAACTTCAGCCTACTGTTTAGGTATGAGTGGATGTTAAGCTTTTTCAGTAAAGGTGGTGGTGACTATACATCAATTACAGCCTGGACACTCACGTGAAACAAGTATCAGCAGGGCCTGCAACTTTTGCCAAGAGGTGGAAGATGAAAACATTTCCTCTAAGCAGTCATTCCTCCAGTGAGCCCACACCTGTGTGAACACCAGGCTTCCCGGGGAAAGGAGCCGGAAGCACCTGTGCGTTTCCCGTCACCGAGGGCACGTGCAGTCGTCGTCCGGAACCCCATTGTCTCAAACCCCGGCTGCTTCTCCTTTGGAAGGAGCCGGTCTGCGTGGCCAGCTGCGCTGACCTTTCCAGAGAGAGGCCCTGGAGTCTCAGATGATGAGAACAATTAATTTATTTGTGTTCTGTTACACTCGGATCTCTTGTTTCGACAATAAAAATCTGTACTGCTTTCTCAAATGTGGATAACTGTTTTCTTTGTCCCGTTGGGAGTGACTACCACACTCTGCCCACTCTGTCACGGAACCCAAGCAGGAACCCTGGTGTTTTGAAAAACCATTGCCTTTTTATTGTGTCCTTTAAACATTTTTGCAACACGCTCATCCTCTTGTTTCTGACCTCCCATCTTCTTCTTCATTACATGAGATCTTAATGGACGGGCCACAAGGTCACGTCTGCGCAGTGTAGCACTGATGGTTGTGTTCCATCAGGGACAAACGAATGGGTCTTTCTCTTGTGAAAACAGGTCGTCGGTACCTTGCGTAACATAACATTGAATCTAGGGTTTGTTCAGAAGGGTTCTGTTCACATCTTGAATGGAAATGTTAAACATGGAAATGCGTATAGTATTACCTGTTTCAAAAAGTATAGATAAATAATTTATCAAAAAATATATACACCTTACATATTTAAGCCATATTTCAGAATAGGCTAGGATAGAATTATCAAAAAGTATTCACTAAAGAGTTAGAAAGCTGTAACCTACAGATAAATAAGGTGGGTTTGGTCCTCTAAGACTTAACTACTTTTTATACTTCAGAACTTCCAGTAGCTGGAGAGTTCAGGAGGTGTTCTTGGTGGTCACCCTGCAGCAGGACCTCAGGGGGCGCCCCAGCGCTCGGGGGAGGGCTCTGCGTCGGGGTTCAAGTCCGCAGTGTAGAAGAGCAGGAGCTTCAGCAGGTGCACTTTGTCTTGGAGCTGGGGCACCAGCGGCTCCCCCAGCATCTGGACCAGGCGGCTGCGGAAGGCCTCGATCTGCTTCTCCACGTCTACCACCGTGATGTCGTCGCACTGCTGGGGCTTGGGCTTGACCCTTTTGATGATTAAGTCTTTTCGATCGATGACTGAACTCCGCAGATGCTCTGCAAGAGGTGAAAAGTCAGTTGAACTGAATGGCTTTTTATTCGTTACGATTTAAGACAGTCAAGTCCAACTCCACTGGGCAGGGTCTGGACACAGACTCGCTAACAGGGAGGGGGACAAGCCGAAGGCCAAGTGGGGACCTGTGGGGACTCTGTTTCCGAAAGGCCCATTGTTCGCTCTGGTCCTCAGGGTTTTCATATTAAAAAAATTGGTGCTGCATTTTAACCTTTTGCCTTTGTTGGTTGAAACAATGAAGTTATATTTAAAATTAATTTAGCCACTTGAAAAATATTCATACGGATTTCAAATTATCTTTAGGGAGGTTTTTCCCTAAGTACAAAAGAATTGCAAAGAAATACTGAACTTAGTTTATTGTGATATTATTGGTTTACTATAGCTACTCTGTTTAAGTGAGACCATTCTGTACAAATTGTAGGACAGACCAAATGATTGATTGACTACACTTGTGTTCAGGGCAGGGGTAGGGGTCGCTTCTCGGAGCCAGAGACTCAGAGTTCAGCAGACACCCAGCCTCCCCATCTCCATGGGGCTGCTCTGCTCTCTGTGGAAGTATGTGTAAAAGGTGAACTTTCAGGATATACTTTCCTCCAAGGTCAAGGGTCTATACAAAAGTAATTTAATGATGTATAGGGAGTTTTGGAAAGTGGGATTGGAAATTCCTTAGCATCTCACTTTCTGATCTTGCCCAGTGATCTCACAGAAAAGTAATTCCTTCCAGACTTTGGCAACAGACCTAAGTTTGAATCCTGGCTCTGCATTTACTTTTCTCTAAGCCTGTTTTCCCAAGGTCAGTGGTCTTCACAAGGTCATTGGATGATGTAAGCCAGTGTTTGTGGATTTACTTGTCTTCCTTCCTCTGTCCTTCCCAACCTTGTCCTTTCTTCCTGCACCCCAGGAGCTGACAACTCAGGCTGACCCTCAAATGCCCTCAACAACACCTGCCCTCAGAGCTGAGTAAGGAGCCCTCACAGTTAGATGCCACCAGCAAGGACGCTGACCATTTCAGGGTCCCATTCAGCTGTGTTCTTTGTAGGACACTTTCAAATGACTTATTTCTAAATTTTTTTTTTCTCCTTAACTGTTGGTCTCCAAAGAAGCTGGAAAAGATGCCAAGGATAAAATAACATTGGAACACAGCCCACTTACTCAATAGGGGTGGGCAAAAGTAGATTTACAATTGTGCATACACGAGTTTATTACTGTACTATTATTCATTAATTACTGGATTATTGGTGTTGTAACTATAAACCTGCTGTTGCCCACCACTGTAGACTGGTCTGAGGCCTTCCCTTCCCTTATCTGAAACAAGAATACTCTGATTCTGTAAGAATAAAACCAGATTCCATGTCCACATTAAGTCACTATTTCCCATGCCCCAGGTGTATCACCTGGGAAGCGAAATGAATGAACCAGAAGTGCTAAAGGTGAATTTTAAGTAAAAACCAGCTGCCTGAATATTAAACTTCTGGCTAGATCTGTAAAAGAAATAATTACATAAGCTCAGTGAGGCCAAGCCCATGTGGAATTCGCCTTTGGGGCTTTGTTCTGAAGGGTAGTACTGTTCTTTGAGGGTGCTAAAAATGCCCAGAGGTCCGCACATGGCCGTTTCCACAGTGCTCTCCGTTGAGTTACAAGGATGTCCAACACAGAGAAGATCCCCTCGGGCCCCGCTGTGGAGGCGCGCAGGCAGCCCGAGCTCTGCCGTGGGAGATGAGCTGCGCCTGGCCCCAGTCTGCTGAAGGGAGGGAGGGAGGTCTGGGGACAGGCGGGCTGCCCAATGCAGAGTAAGTGCTGGGGCTGGACTTAAGCTCTGCTCTTCTACCTTAAATCCAGTGCCTTTTAAAAAATATCTCTACAACAGCTTCATCAGTTCGAGGCCGGAGGGTATCATCACTGAGCTAAAATCAACCTTAACAGGACCACGGCAGCTAAACCTTGGATACGCACTTTTCCTCCTTCCGCTGTGAGAGGCGGCCGCAGACATGGAGCCCTTCCTCCCTGTGACATTTCAGTGTGGATTTCCTGAGATCGAGGATGTTTCGTTCCGTAAGCCAGAACAATGATCAAAAATAGGAAACTTAGTATTAATGCAGTCCTATTCTCTATTTAGATTTTACCAATTGTCGCAATAATGTGCTTTCTAGCTTCTTTTTTCCCGGTTCGGTTCCCGTCTGGGACCAGGCGTGGTGTTGAGTGTTCTTGTGCTTTAGCTCCTTTCTAAAACAGAGCCGTTTCTGGAGCTTTTGAAGGGGACAGGCCAATAATTCTGTAAAAGCTTCCTCAGGATAGGTGGGGCTGATCTTCCTTGTGATTCGATTTGGGCCACGTGTTTTTGGCAGGAATACTGCCTAAGAGCTGAGGTGTCACCACCTTCCCTCCCTGCAGTGAATGACTGTATCAGTTTTCCCACGGACCTCACTGGTCCTCGGCTAACAAACCATTCTCATTCGAGGCGGTGATCGTGCCACTGTCCTGGCCGGTGGTGGCCTCCTGAGTGTTAGTTACCGGGTTCTTCTGGACCCTGGTGACCCCCGGCTCACCGGGGACTTGGGCAGGGCCACTGTGACAGACTGTAGGGTGTCTCCTGTCTTTTGGGGGGCGCACACTTGTCCCTTGTCGCTAGTTTGCTCTGTACTTGCACTGCACTGGTGGGCGTTTGTAAGGCCGTAGTCGGGGAGCAATCGACCCCGGGTTGCGGTGGCGGGCGGGGCGAGCTGCCAGGGCTAGTCGGGTCCTGGCTGGGCACGTCCCAAGTCACTACGACCCTCACTACTCCTAACTCCCGTGAGGTCTAGTGCACTACACTTTATAATGAAAAACAGGTGAATTCTTCCGTTTGGTAGCAGTGATTCTGGCGACGTTTCTCACAACCCAGGAATGGTGCACCCTGATCAGAACCCTGGACTCACAGTTACGCCCCCGGGAGACCCCACACCGCCCCCTTGTGGAAGGACCCGCTCACCTCTCAGGACATGCTGGTAGCTGGACAGCAGGAACTGCAGGTGCTCCACCAGCTCGTCCCACGCCTGCCACTGGGTTTTGTCCGACTGCGGAGACAGCGAGCGCCTGCTGACCCCCGCCTCCCTCCACGCAGTTTCCAAGTCCCCCCAACCTGATGCCCAAGGGCGGGGGGGGGTGGCGTCCAGGGCCTGAGCTGAAGGGGGGTGGGGGGGCCAGGTACCTGGCACTTGAGCAGCGATGTGGAATTGTTCAGGAAGTAGAGGGCCTGGGCCAGGGACAGCGGCAGGCGGGTGGGCGTCTTGCAGCTGTGCAGGAAGATGATCTCCAGCACCTTGCAGCGCAGGAGGTGGCTCTCCATGGTGGTGAAGAACATCTCTCTGCGTGGAGAATGGGAAGGGGGCTAGCCTGCACAGCTCTTACTCCCAGGAATGCGTCCCACAGTTCTCCCTGGCTGCTCTCATGCTGGCCCGAACACAGGTGGCCCCGTGTCTGTGGACCGGGCAGACTTGCCCATGAACCAACTGCTGCTGCAAGAGGGGCGAGTCTGTGGTGCTTGGACAAGACCAGCTTAGGACACGTGAGAAAGAACTACTTCAGACCGCCACCGAGAGAATTAATACCAAGAGTGAGTATTTCTGAATATTCACGGTGTCCTGGAAACTGTTTGGCTCAGCAAGGAACGTTAGGATAAGGGATCTTTTAGCATAATTTGGGTGGTTGCCAATTTGCTCCTTCTGAGAGAGCTTTAAAGTAGGGCCAGGTTTTATTTAAATTACTTTTGCCTATGTTAAGTCTAAATTTGTTTATAGTGATGCACTCCTTAGATTTCTCATCTCTTACCAGAACTTGGGCTTAAGTGAGTGAATGGACCCGAATGAGACCTCCCTGACAGAGGGGGAGACCGGGCTGGTGCCCGTGCACCTGCCTTCTTTCCCAGCGCTCAGACGTCTGCCTGCTTTGAACATTGAGCTCAGGGTGAAGAAGTACTGGGTCTACACTGGGGTCCTGAATCCATCTGATTGGCTGTATAACCCTAAGCTAGTTATTTCACTATTTCTAGTATTTTTCGCATTTGTTTCGTGAAAATATGAGACAATGTGACAATGACTGGCATACTATAGGGACCCAGTGAATGTCTTAATCTTAGCAGGATGTTTTAATTAAACCTTTGTGACAGTAATATCTGGTATGACACTCTCCTAAAAGAGGAACCGGAGCTGCAGACAATACTCTGGGCTGCCAGCTGCAAGCTCAGGGGTTGATTGGGGGTGAGAGGCAGACGGGGGGGTGGAGGGACACACTTTCCCCGGCCACCACCGTACAGTGGCCCTCTCACGGTCACTTCCTGTACCAGCACCTGTTCCTGAATTCATGTTCATTCCAGTTTAGTTTTCTTCCTCTCGGTTCTAAAGTTACTGGTTCAAAGGAGGAATGATTCATTCTGGCCAAGAGTCTAATTCCTTATCTCTTCCTAGTACAATGCTTCATTAATTCATGTTTCCAGAAACTGAATTCCTTACTCGTCCTTCCTGGGCTCATTCTACAGGTCCAGCCCCACCCCTTGTTGGATCACCTCTAACATTGGACATGTCTGTTCCATTCACCCCTCAAGCCTTCGGTGAACATTGATACCAGCTCTGTGGCTGAGGGTCAGGGAAGAAGGTTGTGCTTAACAGGTGAACCTTGAAGGGTGGGTAAGGTTGTCAGCCCAATGGATGAAGTAGGAAAATTTAGCCTCCATTGCAAGGTATCTCCCCTCCCCCCCAATTATGCCTTAGTTGCAAATAATAACAATTTGTTGAGAACTTTTTTCTTTTACAGGTTGTATAGACAGGAACTATCCTTTCACTTCTTTCCCACCCCCCACCCCCCCAATTTACTGTTTGGAATTATTTTTCAAAACTGTGTTCCCAGTGTAAAACAGAAAAACGGCACCGGGACTCGCCTCTGACTCCTCTCCGGAATGTCCAGCACAAACCCAAACATCATCTCGGCCATCTTGTTGGAGCTGCAGGTGGGGGTCCTGTCCACCTCCACGGCGATGGACAGCATGCGTTGCAGCTGGCACACGACCCTGAGTCGGGGCAGAGCACAGGTGAGCGAGCGGGGTTCCGCAGCGCAGGGTGGGTGGGGAGCGCCACTTCGGCCACCAGCATGCTTTTAGGTGGCAGTTTCACATGCCCGCGTCCCTCCTGCCAGATCACACCATCTGAACCCCCCAGAACCTGGGGCTGAGCTGCAAAAGCAAGCTGCTCTTAAATTCCAAGACAGACACATAGAGTCCGAGGGATCTAGAGTACTTCGAGGATCCTCTCACCTGTAACTTCTTGATTGCACAGATGAAGAAATGGGTCCAGAAGGACTAACATATCATTTGAATTCCTCTGATACAGGGGAAAATACAGGAGTGGGCAAACGCAGGTTTACGGTTATGAAGCCCAGAGTTTGCTCTTGCATTATTATTTATTGTATTATGTCTTTTTCCCTGCGAACCACTGTAAACCTACATTGCCTGCTCCTGCAGATATTCACCATGTGGTGTCCTCTTCCTGGTTCCTAGTGTACACTGATCTTACTAAGTTTAGCCTCAGAACTTCACCTGGTAGGACGCGCCCTTCTCTCCCCTGAGACTTCACCAGGCTGATGCGGCAGACGAACCTGAGCAGCCCTATGAAAGGTGAGCCTGGCCCAAGTCACACTTGTCTAACAGCCATCATGACTAGGGTGGAAACTGCTGGCCGGACCAGGGGCTCAGGCCTCAGGTTGCGGGTCTGCAGGGACCAGCCGTCTCACTTTTGACAGGCTGCTAACATGGCCCATTTCAGGAGGTCGTGAGTGCTCTGGGCGACACCGTCAGGTCAGCGCTCGTGAATGCAAAGGTAGTACCTGTGCTGTGGTTCAGACCACGACACATTGACTTTTTATTTCTACCAATGTCTACTTACAATAACCTTAGTCATTATTATTTATATGAGATTAGCTTCCATGGAAGGAACTGTGTCTGCCTCTGTCTTAGATCTGTATCCTGGGGTTCAGGGATGACCCTGCTGTAGGGCCTCCCCCAATCTGCCCTAGTGAATGCCTCATTGATCTAAAACACGCTCCCTTTTGATGCAAGATTGTCTCCTAAAGTGGTGAGAAACCACAGGCCTGTATGAAAATCAGCTCGGTGCAACTAGACGGCGGTACAGCTTTCTGAGTTCAGGCGTACGTGCTGGGTGTGACGTGTTCTGTGTGACTGTCCTTTACCAGCTGACACGGGAGAGTGGGTGACTCGGATAAGGGCAACTCAGCCCCTAAAATCTTCGAATCTCTTAAAAAAGGCCAAGACCACTCTCAACCCCATTAAAAAAACCTGCCCAGAATCTCTTTCTGGGGCTGCCTGAGGTAACTGGACCGGCCTGCTCTGAGCCATTGCTGCTCCGACCTGGTGGAGGCGGCAGGTTGAATGGCTGGACCCCTCCCAGCACTGGCAGAGAGAGAAGCAGGCCCTTGAGGACCAGGGGCTGCGGGACCGCCCACTACCCAGCCCCCTCCCCCTGCCCCCATCAGTGGGAGCTGCAGGATGAGAAGCTGTAACTGCACTGTCTCTTGGTGTCTAGGAAGGGGAGGGCAGTGTCCTGTTTTTTTGTTTTACTTCAGCTTATAAATCCGTGTCCACTTAGTGGAGTCCCGTCCACCTAGGGGGAAGTGTCTGCTGTTGTTCTACCTTCACAGTTAGAAGGGCGTCTTTAGTCAAACTAGAGTCTCCGGTGAGACTCAGTTACGGGGCTTGTTCGCTTCGGGGAGCTGGGTCTAGGGAGTGGGGCTGTTCCTACAGCAGTCGGTCCCCACAGCCCCAGGAAGACGGCTTCCGCCCTTACACCTGCGTGGCGTTCTTCGTCAGGGTGGGCTGGGGCGAGGGGTGGCTGCTGCCGGCCTTCAGGACACCTGTCCCCGCAGAGGCGTGACTCCCGTGTGGAGGCTGAGTTAGCCCGCCGTCGGTCACCGCTCTGAACAGCCACTTGATCACGTCCCTGCAAGGGGGAAAGATAAGAAGTTCAGACTGGACTTCTTAGAGTCCTACTGTGCAGCGCTCAGACCTGCAGCCTTGGCCTGGGCTCCTAGACCCCGGGGTCTCTCCAGTGACAGCAGAGGGCCCACAGGCTACTCCCACTGTGCGGACAAGCCTGCTGGAAGCCACACGTTCAATTGCCATAGGGCTGCAACAGCAGCTAAAACCCGACTTGTCATCGTGGAGAGGTGCCTCCAGGATGGAAGAGCACTCGCTGTGGCCCCCTGGCCAGGTGGGAGGCTGGACTGAATGGCCGCAGAAGTCCCTGCTGGCTTTCACTCGTGAGGGGTCACCGATTTATGGTGCGTGCAGGGGGTCCCAGCTCGCACAGGGTGAGGGCTCTGAAAGTCCGAGAGGCAAAAATGTCTCACGCAGTTGAAATGACTTCTGACCGTCACTTAGGGGGCCGGGTAAAAAGGGCGGATTGCAAACACACATCTAAGGCTGTTGCTTCCTGAAATCCCACTAATAAACACCGCAGCAGGTCACTTATAAAAATCTGCAAGGAAGGGGAGGAAAGGAGAGGAGACGACAGTCAGGAAGTTTGGGAAATGGGAAGGAAAGTGAAGTACAGTCACGAAACAGAACATTACACAGTGGTGGGGCTGGGTAAGCTGCAGGGACAGGAGACAATACTCACCAACCTTGGCACTTTGTAATACTGAGCGAAAAATAAGACTGTTTTATATGACAGACTGCATAGGGCACAACACCCTCTCGTGATAGCGAAAAGGAACTAAAATAAAGACACATACTTTATAGGGACATGTGCAGTTGCCGTAAGACCACACATGAAGAGAAGGGGGTGATGGGCTCTCGGGGTGCTGACTACTGTGGGTGCGGGAAGGGGCAGGGGGAGGTGACGGGAGACAGGTGAGTTATGCGATGCGGGTAGTTGGCCAGGTCCGAGCCTTGGATCTGGGGGTGGTTGAGAGATGTTGGTTCCAATATCAAAAGTAACCAGTTAACTAAGCAAATAAGGCAAGTGAGTCATTATCACTTAAGGATAATGTTTAATCTAAATGGCAAAGGGATACATTTTAACGGACTTAGCAGAATTGAGAAAGCTGAATTCTAAGCCAGTAGTAGCTAAGAGCAACCCTATTTAATAGTACTTACCTAAGAACTAAAAAAAAAAAAAGTTTTTCAATAAGCTCTGCAAATGGTAGTACAAGGTTTCTCCGAGGTGAGGGTGGAAGGGGTAAACTGATGGCTTATGTTTGAGAAACTTTCGGACCCCTAGGTCTTCTTCCCCAACCCTGAAGACTGCAGGTTGCCTCTGCAGAGAGGTAAGGCGGGGGTCTCTGGACTGGGAGACCGGGCCCCGCAGGGAGGCACCAGCACTGAAGCAAACACGGGGCCTGCTGGAGGCGGGGACCCCTGCTGTCTTCCTGCGCCTGTCTTCCTGCGCCTGTCTTCCTGCGCCTGTCTTCCTGCGCCTGTCTTCCGGAACCCTGGTGTCCCAGTCTCTCGCTTCACGTAGGAGACCAGAAGTCTTCCGTGGCAAGACCCACCCCGCCCCAGAGGAAAGGCCTAAAGACACTGGACTAGGTACTGAGGGATGCGCAGCCAGTTCTGCCTGCAGGAAGTCCTCCCAGTGCTCAGAGCTCCCGTCAGCTTTCAGCCCGCCATCCTTAAACTGGACAGACCACCAAGGTTTGCCAGACATCTGTGGCGATATTCTGACACGAGAGATGAAGACCAAAATGGCCAAACCCCCCTCCAGAAGAAAGCAACTTGGAAGGAAGAGACATTAGTCAGGGAATAAACAAAAACAAAAGCTACCATTAACCTCACCAGAGGTATGTGAAGATATGAGTCCGTGAAAGAAGAAGACCGCAGAAAGTTATTTACTAACTTTAAAAAGGAACATTTAGCGACATAAGTCAAAGAGCTCTTGGAAATGAAGAACGTGACAGCGGAAATGAAAGCTCTGTTTCCAGGGACAAAGGACACGTTTCCAGACTGCCATGGCGCACGCAGTGGGTGGACATAGAGACAGCGTACGGAGCACAGAGAAGATTTTATAAACCTCCAGAGATAAAAATCAGGGCACATAACAAGAACCAGCGGTCAAAGTAGCGTGTAAATTAACAGTGATTCTGGAAGCCGGAAGCTGGAAGACAGCGGGAGATTTCCTCCAACGTTCTGTGGAAAAGTTTTTTCTAACCTAAATGCCTACACTCAGGTATCAGTCAGCGTGTGGGAAGATAATTTCAGATACAGAAGAGCTCAAACGCTGTACTTCCCGCGTTCCTTTCTCAGAAGCTGCTGGGGACTGAGCCATCGGAACAAGACAGGGAACCAAGGAAGGGAAGATGCAGGACGAATCTCGGCAAACGGGGCCCCACTCTGGGGACCGGTGGAGGGGAGTCTCCAGTTTACAGTAAGGACGGGCGGTGAGAGCAGCCCCTCCAGGCCGGAGGGGGCGAAGCGCCCCACCATGGGTGCTCAAGGAGAGGAAGCTGGTAAGTCTGCAGGGTTCAAGTTCAGGCTGCGGGGAGACTCAGAGCGAAGAGGAGAGGATTTGAGATCGACGTCCAATACGCACGAAGAGTAGGAGGAAGTGAAAAGTAACGCACAGGTAGGAGTGAGAGGAAGAGTTATCCTGGTTCAGTACTTGGCTCAACTCGGACTGGCAGACGCGGTCACGGTAACAGAAAACACCGAAGGTGAACTAGTGTGACTGAACTGAATGGCACGGGAGACCTACGTGTGGGAGGGAGGAGGGGGGCGAGAAGGGCCAGCTCCTCCTCTTCCACGTGGGAAGTCGGCGGGTAACAGCGAGTAATGAATGGTCGAGAATCAGCAGCACAAACAGGGGCATGCGGCCACACAGAAGAAAATACCCAAAGAATCACTTAAATCAGGGGCGTCGGACTCATTTTCACGGTGGGGGGGGGCACATCAGCCTTGCAGTTGTCTTCTAAGGGCCGAATGTAATTTCAACTCCTTAACGGTTAAGGAGTAGTTACATTTACACAGTCCTAAAATTACTTTGGCCCTTTGGAGGCAACCGCGAGGCTGATGTGGCCCCTGGTGAACATGAGTCTGACGCCCCTGCCTTAAATGAAAAGCGTTGGAAGTACTGAGCCCCGTGGGGAAGGGAAATGCCAGTGAGGGGACCTGGGACCAGTATCTTTCTCAAACCTTGTAGAACTACTCGATTCTTTGTAGGGACAGTTGAAAAGAAAAACCCTTACAAAGGGGTCGTGTGGAGACCGACCTGCCGTCTCTCTCTGGTTGAACCCTCGTCTGTGAGGAGTCACTGGTACACGGGAAGAAGCTCACACGTTCCTGTGTGATGCTTCTGATACACGCATGCGTGCGTCCGTGTGACCGCGGCCTTTACCCCACGCCTATCTGTTACTTGGATTAAAGACAGCTGGTTTCCCCATCGGGAACAGAGGGCTTTTGTCACCGATAAAGCAACGATAAAAGAGGACCTGGCTTGCCCTTCAAGGCCACAAATGCCTATTTTTACACCCCAGCGTCACGCTCTGTAGAGCGAGAGGGTCCCTGCAGCAGAGGTGGAAAGGAATGTGACTGTCCACATTGGCTGCAGAGGGTCTGCCCCCCACTGCCCGCTCAGTCCAGTGCCTGTGCTCACACGGCAGGACGGTCAGCCAAGTTACTCTTGTTCCGATGGTTATTGTTTAATTTAACCCCCACCTATGCTACCCTGTGCTCTTTGCAGATTCTCTACGCACTGATTTTCTACCCCTACACTGCCTGACGCGAGTCCCGGTTTCTCCCAGATCTCAGGAGGCCATCGGGACACGTGAGGTGGCGCCTGGGGGTCCGATGGCCTGGGGAGAGCACGTGAGCTCTGGCGCCCGGCGTGCGCTTGGTGCAGGGGGATGGTGTCAGGGCGCCAGTGTCCCCACCGTCTCGCTCCAAGACTGTCTCATCCATCTCAGGCTCTCTGGCTCCTCCACGCACCCCACCCCCCAGGGTGCGGCAGGCGGTACCTGACGTTGTGGGGCTGCCTGTCACAGGACAGCACCGTGTTCGCGATGGACTGCTGCAGGTGCTGCCGCTGCTTCCTCAGGGTCTGCTGGAAGTCGTCTTCCAGGGTCTGCACCACGTAGCGCAGGAAAAGGACTCGCCCCGGCAGGCTCTGTCCCTGTGGGAGGAAAAGGAGAGGCGCCTCCTCAGTCTCCCCAATGACGATGACGGTGAGCGCCGGGCTCTCAAACGCCAAGTGCAAAGGAAGGCCAAATGCAAAGGAAGGCCACGTGTCGCGAGTGTCTGCACCTGAGAGCCAGGGCAGGCAGGCCGGGCCGCAGCAAAGAGGGCCACCGGGCACCTACAGCCAGGACGCAGGCGTGCCAACTTTCTGGTTTTAAGGGACAACTGTAGGCAGTCAGTCTCGCTCCCTCACTAAATTTGTAAGTCTAGTACAAACCCTGAACTGTGGCTATCAGAAGAGAGAGGCAGGAACCGGCTCCAGAATGACTCCGGCCAACAACCAAATAAATCGTCAGCTTCCAGGAGTGCGAGCTGCGCGCCGCCCTCCCATTCGAGTGAGTCTGAGTGGGGTCTTCTGTTTTGGGGGCAACGACCCTAATCCACGCGGCCCAGCTGAGGGGGGCAGCACGTGGGCTTTGTGGCACCCACACCCTGTTTGTGGACTGTTGTTTGAAGCCTCTTATTTAACTTACGCTTTCAGAGTCTCAGTGTCCCTGTGCCCTACATGGGGATAATTCTAACCACAGCCAGTGCGAGTCCCTGTCTCTTGGCAGGCGGCCACACACAGTTTGGTGGTTTCCCTTTAGGGGGAGGCAAGTGCTGGGGCCCAGGCCAGGGGCTGAGGCTCTGAGCCCTGAGAATGAGGGGCACCAGGCAACACGCCGTTTCTCGTGGGCAACACCAGAGGGTCGGCATCTTTCCCAGAAACACAAGCTCCGGAAGCAGGGTATAGTTTGGTCGGTAGGAAAGAGAATGACCATTCCAAGCATCTGCCATTTCTTCCTGTTTTGGGAGGAGGTTAGGAGGGGACACCTTTGCCTTTTAAATGGTCTCTAATCTCTATTGATACACATAATTTTTCAAAACTCAAGTACTTGTGCCAGATTTATGAAGAAGACTCACAACCACTGGTCTCCTCCGGCCCGAGAGGGAGTAACTTCTGACCTTTTTCTTCTGCAGGTAACCCTAAACATTTCTACTATATGTGCTCTTATCACTAGTTTTCTTTTTTAATGATTTTATTTATTTATATTTTAGAGAGAGGAGAAGAGGGAGAGAAACATGGATCGGCCACCACTGGTATGCACCCCAACAGGGGACCAAACCCCTAAACCAGGCATGTGCACCGACCAGGAATCAAACCTGAGACCTTTGGGTTTGCCGAACAGTGCCCGAGTCACACTGGTCAGGGCAGGGACAGCGCCTGTGACTGCCAGGTGGTCTCCCATCCAAGGACTAACCAGGCCCAGCCCTGCTTAGCTTCCGAGATCAGATGAGGCCGGGTGTGCTCAGGGTGCCGGGCTGCAGACGGGTACTGCAGTTTCTCGATTTATGGGCTTCGGACACGACCTATTGCTTCTGCTGTGCCAGAGAAGGATCTGACTCATTCTGCCACTTCCCACTCCTCTTCCTAAAATAACTATCTCAACTTACACTCCGTCATCTACAGGTGACATCTTTTGTCTTCCCCCGTTGTAAGGATGCTGTAACAGCTCTAGCTTCTCAAATACACGACCTCTCTTCATCTCCCAACCTTTACTTTCTATAGTTGCCTATTTCCCACAGTTAACACCAATACAGTCGTCCTCCATGCTTTGTATAAAACTGATTCTAAAGATAACTAAACCGTGTGTACAGTGCACAGATCATGTTAAAGTTATTTACTACACTGGAAATCCATATAGTATACTATGAAAATCATTCATTTCTTGCAAAGATTTTTTATTTTCTTAAAGCTTCGTTTTTATCCTTTCCACACTGCTTGCCATGATCCCTTCTTCCACCTCAAGAATGGTGTTGAATTTTGAGAATACCCTTCTTTCCCAAATTGGTTTTTCTTTGTATTTTTAAAAAGCAACTTTACTGACAAACCTTAAAATTCACCCATTGTCAATGTACAACTGAACTTGTTGTGAATGTACCGAGTTTGGCAACTCGATGCCCATCTGTGGCCACCATCCTCACATCTGTCTGTTCGCAGGTGATTCCTACCCTACCTCCAGCGCCAGGCGGCCCCTCATCTACATCTGGCTGCGCCGACTTGCCTTTCTGGACATTTTGTATATACAGAATTATATAAAACGTGATCTTGCATGTGTGTGTGTGTGTGTGTTCCTTTTACTTGTTTTACTGTTTGTCGAGGCTCGTCCGTGTCCCAGCGTGTATTGTAGCTCAGTCCTCCTGTGTGGTGCTCCTGTGAGCGCGTATTCAGCACATTGTTACCAGTTCGCTGGCTGCTAGACGTTTGGGTGTTTCCTCTTTGGGGCTATTATGACTACGGCTCCTGTGAATTTCCCATGCAAGTCTTTGGGAGACAAAGGTTTTCATTTCTCTTGGGTCGATATCTGGAAGTAGAATAGCCAGGGCGCATGACGTTTCTGTTAAGATTGTTAGAGAAACCGCCAAACTGTTTTCCAAAGTGGCTGTACCGTGTATATTCCCACCAGCGACGTAGGAGACTTCTATCTCTATGTTCCCACCAGCCAACACTTGCTATTTTCTGCTTTCTTTAAACTTTTTAATTGTGGTAAAACATTAACGTAAAAATGAGCGTCTTAACCATTCTTCAGTGCCCGGGTCAGGAGTGTTAAGGATGTCCACACAGCTGCGCCCCGGCCTCCAGAACGTTCCCACCTTGCTGAGCCGAAACTCTACACACGCTGAGCGGTAGATCCCCATCTCCCCTCCTTCCAGCACCTGGTGAGCCAAGGTCTCCTGGCTGCTTCTGTGAATCTGACTACAGCAGACACCTCACGTAAGTCAAATCATCCAGTGCCCGTCTTTCTGTGACGGGCCTGTTTCACTCAGTATCACGCCCTCGCTGTCCTGCCGTCCTTGTTACCTGTGAGAGGGTGTCCCCCCTATTCTGTCCAGCCTGTCATCTGTCGATGGGCACCTGGGTTGTTTCGACCTCTTGGCTGTTGTCATGCTGTCATGTACGTGAGTGTGCAAAGATCTCTTACCCTGCTTTCAATTCTGGGCACGTACACCTAGCACTGGGATTGGTGGGTCACACTGTAATTCTGTTTTTAATTTCTTTGAGGAACTACCCTATAGTTTTCCAGAGTGGTCGCACCGTTTTAGAATTCTAACCACAGTGGACAAGGATTCTAATTTCTCCAAATCCCTGCTGCTTCTTACTTTCTGTTAAACGTTGTTTCATATGCTTGTTGGCCACTTGCAGCTCATTGTTAGAGAAACGTCTCTCTCAAGTCCTCTGCCCTTTTAAAAATCAGTTTGGCTTATTAAGTTGTACTGCTTCATAGTAGCCCCTTACCGGACATATGATCTAAAACCACCCGCTGTTCAGAAAGCGGAACCCAACGCGGCACCCGGGCATGCCTGCAGGCGTCGCAACAAAACTAAAAATACCTTCTCCCATTTTCTAGACCTCCTTTCCACGCGTGTCCTTTGCTGCAATCTCTAACTTTGATGTAGTCCCATTTGTCTATATTTGCTTTTTTTTGCATGTGCCTTTGGTGGTGTATCAGAAAAATCAATGCCAAATCCAAGGTCATGAAGCTTCCCCTCATGTTTTCTCCTAAGAGTTGGGTAGTTTGGGGCCTCCCGTTCAGAGCTGTGCTCCATTTTGCACGTGGTGTTGTGTAAGGGTCCAGCTCCCTCGTTTTGCACCTGCTTATGGATCTCCCCTGACGACACCTGGGGGGGAGTCACTCCTCTCCCCATTGAACAGGCTTGACATCCTCGGCGAACGTCAATGACTTTCACAACGTTTGATTTGGGGGTTCCCTAGCCCATTCCTTATGACTTTCTTTATAAGAGTACCACACTATTTAATTACTATATCTTTGCAATATGTCTTCAAATCAAGAAGTATGAGTATTCCAACTTTGTTCTTCAAGATTGTTTTGGCTATTCTGGGTCCTTTGAGATTTTAGGATGGATTTCTCTTTTTCTTTTTTTTAAAGCTTTTATTTATTCATTTTTTGGAGAGGGGGAAGGGAGGTAAAAAGAGACAGAAACACAAATGTGTGGTTGCCTTTTACATGCCCTAAACTGGGGACCTGGCCCACAACCCAAGCATGTGACATGACTGGGAATCAAACCAGCGACCCTTTGGTTCACGGGCTGGTGCTCAATCCACTGAGCCACACCAGCCAGGGTTGGATTTTTTTATTTCTAAAAGAAAAAATGCTATTAGGATTTTGGTAGGGATTGTGTTGAATATGTGGATTACTTTGGGTAGTACTGCCACCTTAACAATATTTAGTCTTCCAGTCCATGAACATGAGAATCCTTACCACTCATTTATGTCTTCTTCATTTTCTTTTAGCAATTTTTTATAGTTTTAGGTGTACATGTTGTTCACCTCCTGGTTATTTTTATACCTATTTTATTATTTTTGATGTTATTCTTAATGGAATTATTTTACTATTCTTTATAGATTGTTGGTGTATAGAAATACAATGGATTTTTGCATCGTTTTTGAATCCTGCAACTTTGCTGAATTTCTTTATTCTATTTTCTGTGTGGAATCTTTAGGGTTTTCTACACATAAGATCACATCATGTGTGAACAGAGATAATTTTACTTCTTCTTTTCCTATTTGGATGCCTTTTCTTTCTTTCTTTTTTTTTTTAGATTTTTATTTATTTATCTTTAGAGGGGAAGGGAAGGAGAGAGGGAGACAAATATCAATGTGTGGTTGCCTCTCATGCATCCCTTGCTGGGAACTGGCCTGCAACCCAGGCATGTGCCCTGACTGGGAATCGAACTGCGATACTCTGGTTTGCAGGCCCATGCTCAATCCACTGAGCTACACCAGCCAGGGCTGAATGCCTTTTATTTCTTTTCCTTGCCTGATTGCTTTGGCTAGAACATCCAGTACTGGATAAAAGATATGAAAGACACTTTTGCCTTGCTCCTGCTCTTAGAGGAAAAGCTTTCAGTACTTCACCACTGAGCATGATATTCGCTACAGGTTCTTCACACGGGGCTTTTGCGAGTTAGTTTCCCTCCATTCCTATTTTGTTGAGTTTTTATCGTGAAAGGGTGTTGAGTCTTGTCAAATGCTTTTCTGCACCAGTTGAGATGATCATGCAGTTCTCGTCCTTCTCTGTCAATGTGGTGCGCCTATCATAGGGATTGACTTTTGTGTGTTGAGCCATCCTTGAATTCCTGGGGAAATCCCGCAAGGTCATGGTGTGAATGATATTAGTGTTATGATATGCTGCTGAGTTTGGTTTGCTAGTATTTTGCTGAGGACCTTTGCATCAATGTTCATAAGGGATATTGGTCTGTAGTTTTCTTGTTGTGTCTTGGGCTAGCTTTGATATCAGAGCGATGCCAGCTTCATAGACTAAAGAGACGTTATCAGGTATCTATCTCATAAAACCTACTGAGACTTAACTGTGGCCTAACATGTGGTCTATCCTGGAACACGTCCCACTCGCACTGGGAAGGACATGCGCACTGCTGTTGAGTAGGATAATCTGCATACAGTTGTTAGATCTGCTTGGTGTATCGTGTTAAGTCCTCCCTTTCCTTGTCGTCCATCTATTGTTCTATCCATTACTGAGAGCAGGGTATTAACATCTCCAGCTGTTAATATAAAACCCTCTATTTCTCCCTTTAATTCTGTCAGTTTTTACTTCATATTTTGATGATCTTTCATTAGGTGCATACATGTTTATAACTGTTTTTTTTAATCCCCTGAGGACAGGCTTATTGATTTTTAGAGAGAGGAAGAGGGGAGAGAAAGAGAGGGAGACAGAGACAGAGAAACATCAGTGTGAGAGAAACATCAATCCGTTGCCTTCTGTATGTGTCCTGACCAGGGATCGAACCTGCGACCTAGGTGTGTGTCCTGAGGATTAAATCTGTAACCTTGTGGGATATGGGATGACTCTGCAGCCAACAAGCTGCCCGGCCAGTGCTGTTCCCTCACTCTTTGGGTGTGTACCTGTAAGTAACCTGCTAAGGAATGGGCCCGAGGCTGCTTTTCAAGCTGCTATATGTCTGGAAATGTCTTTATTCTACCCTCACACTTGACTAATATTTTAGCTGAGTGTAGAATTCTAAGCTGAAAATAATTTGTTCCATCCAAGTGCTCTTGGGTGAGCAGACGGAAAGATGGCAAGTTCGGGTCAGAATGCCACAAAATTATGTTCTGGAGCACCAACTCCAGTAGTTGCCTTCATTTGTGACAAGTTCTTCCTTATATTTCCCAGACAATGAATCCTTAGGTAACTTGATGACTGAACTTTCTGACTCAACAATGGAGAGGTTGTCAGTTCCAGCCACAAACTGTCAGCAAAGACACAGCCCATATCGGACTTGAACCCTCCTGTGTGTGATGTTTCTGAGTCCAAAGCCTCTCTGCCCTAGAGCACAGCTTTCCTCCCTCCTTGGCTGCAGCATCCACCCCCCCCCCAATGTGGTCTAGCCTCTGGCTTTCTCTGCCTAGCTTCATCGGTCATCACTCTTATAGCTCCTTTAGATCCTTCCATCTTCCTTCAGATCTAAGGTCCTTCGCCTTATTTCCATTGCCATAGATTTATAACTTTCCTTACTCATTTACGGGATCTCAAGGAGAGGGACAAGTGAACGTACTCACTCTTGAATTGGAAGACGGCGCGTGCCCTTCCAGTAGGAATTTTTTGGATGGGGATGAGAGTAGGAGGAGGAAATAATGGCGAAGACTTTAGTATCAGGTTTGCTGTTACTTTTGTTTCTAGTTAAAATTTCCTCTGCAAAAGATACGCTCTCATAATTGTTAGGTTACCTCTTCCTCCATGACGTAAGTGAGCAGCTTCCAGTCCCACTCCACTGTCTTGGCATTAGCTGGATGAAGCCTGCAAGTCAAGTGACAGGAAATTAGCAGAGTGTAATGGAAAAGGGGATGGGATCTGGAAGACGACAGAAGCAAGGAGCTTTCTTATCCTGAGTGTTCTTGCCCCCTCTTTGATATAATACATTGTCATCTGAGGCCAACGGAACTCCATGTTTGTTTGTTTTTTGTTTTTCTACACAGTATCCATTTATCTTTTGGGAGGCAATAGTAACCCAAAGTTGCCTTGAAGAAATCTACTCTTTATTAGTCAGCCTACTGGCTTTACCTGCCAGGACCCTGAAATGAAGCCCATGAAGCATAGCGAGCCAGTCATGATATCTACCCCTCGATTCACAGTGACTGGCTCACGGATGGGCTCATGCGTCAAGTTATGCCAATTAAGCCACAAGGCTGACTTTGAGAACCCTGGAGTGATTATAAAGGAAGCAGGCACGCTCTCCCACTGAGAGTATCATAAATGTCGTAGGAGTTAGAGGCTGAGAAGGCTGCCACTTGAAGGCTGGACAGAGAAGCAGAGCAGAGCTGAAAAAGGGTCCTTGTGACCGTTTCTGAACTGAATTAAGTCATCTTATTCTTAGGTTCCTAGCAACATGAGCCATTAAATTCTCTTTTACTAGCTTAAAGCTAGCTGGGACTGGGTGTCCTGCCACTCGCGATCCGACTAACACTGATGCACTAAGTCACTCTCTCTAATGGTTGGCTGAATAGAGACTGGGCAAGAGGAGGCGGGGCCGCAAGTCCAGGCTCCCCAGAAGGTCCGCCAGCGTCTGCGGTCCATACTGTTGGATTTTCATGAGGAGCATGTAGGCCTCCTTGAGCACGTCCGCGGGCTCGGAGCTGCTGAGCAGGATCTTCTGGATGATGTGAGCCACAACCTCCCTGGGTGGGTAGTGCTGGGGGGACACGAAGTCCATCAGGAACTGCACAGTCCCCAGGGAGAAGTTCTCTTCAATGGTGTTTGTCACCATTCTTAGCCTTCGATGAGGGATGGGTTCTAGTTTTTGACCCTTGCTCTGCAGAGATAAAAAGAAAGGAGTTAGGATGGGTTTCTATGGACATAAAAACAAGAAGTTCTGGAGCAGACTGAAGACAGCCCAGTTTTCCGTGCATTGGAATTAAAACAAAAGATTGGAAAGCCTCATCTAAAAAAACTTTCAGTGACATGGGCAACGCTTATATTAAGTTAAAAAACAGGAACTCCATGTTCTACATATGACTTCATCTATGTTAAAATATAGCAAAGAAAGAAGAAAAGTAAAGAGCCGGGAGCTGGCCAAAGCTGCTTTTGGAGTAAGGTGGTAAGATATTTCAGGGTAGTTACAACAGTTTGTTGGGTACTGAAATAAATAGAGGAAGAAAGACATTTTAAATGTTTAATTGTTAGGAGAAGAATCCAATTTGGTTAATTTTTGAGGGGTAGATAGTAAATGTAAGTTGCTTTCTCCCCCAAAAAGTGTGTATATAAAGTCTGGGGGAGAAAATGTGAGAAGTGGTTTCTATGGTCTGGGTGGTAGAATTACAGATGAGCTTTCCTCTACAGACTCTTCTGTATTTTTCATTTTTTTTCATAACAGACATATATTACTTTCATAATCAGAAGAAAAACAAACATTAAAAAGTATTGATATAAGCCCTGGCTGGTGTGGCTCAGTGGATTGAGTGCGAACCTGTGAACCAAAGGGTCACTGGTTGGATTCCCAGTCAGGGCACATGCCTGGGTTGCGGGCCAGGTCCCCAGTGGGGGGCGCATGAGAGGCAACTGCACATTGATGTTTCCCTCCCACTCTTCCTCCCTTCCCCTCTATCTAAAAATTAATAAGTAACCTCAAATTTTTAAAAAAGTTTGATATGGGAATATAATAATAGCAATAATTATAAAGCAACTTTTGAACATTTAACCTAGCCTGCCTTAACTCTCACAACAACCCTAAGACATACGTACTGTTATTGTTTCTGCTTTATAGGTAAGAAGGCTGAGAGTCAGAGAGTCAAGACCAAATGGCCGGCGCACACCGCTGGTGTCGCACCAGAGGTATCCTGTAAACTCACGCTCTCCGGAAACCACAAAACCGACAATGATGCAGGTTTTCCTAAATGTTTAAATGCATATGTATAAAAAGGCAATGAGGAAGGAGATACACTGAGTTATTAATAATAATACATGCTGAGTGATAGCATTATGGGTAATTATTGTTTATAGTTTCTATTTTTTGATGTTTTATATTAAGCAAGCATAACTTTTAAATTTTGAGAATAGGTGTTAATTGTAAAACACCAACCCAAGATTTGACAGCTTGTGAGTAACAATGAAAGTGTGATGGCCGGAGTCACCCTGGTTAGCACGGTCTGGTCTCGAACCCCCGAGGGCACCCCGCCCCCACTGATGAGAGACCGATGCCATTGGCTGCAAGTAATGAAGAGCAAGGCAAGAGAACAAAGACCTCACTTTGGTGCCTGTTCCACCTGTGATGCGTTCTGTAGCCTCGAACCTGTGTTATTCGCTTCCTGCCTGCACATGCGGACATCTACAAATGTACAGTTTATCAATCATTTTGATGCCCATATGCTTACAGGGAACTAATACTTACAGAGCATTTGTATAGGTCCTGAAAGGTGGTTTTATGCTTTCTGTGTTTACCTTAGAGTCAAATAACCCTATGACATACTGGCATTATGACTTCTTTTAGAGCTGAACAAAGAGAGACTCAAGAGGAGTCAAGGCCAAGGGCTGGTACGTGACAGCACAGGGACCGGCTACGAGGTTCTCTGGGGAAAACTGTCCAGTACAGGAGTGCTTGTTAAAGGCTTATTTAAGAAGGGAAGAAATGCAGACGAGGAAAAGTCCGCTGTGTCCGCCTGGCCGCCACCTTGTCGTCGGAGCTACATGTGCACAGAAGGCGGACATGGTCTCCCTGCCTGCAGTCCCAAGGGCCTCTCTAGTTACACAGCCCCGGAAAATACCGCAACCCTGACCACAGAAACATCAACTCTTTCACACCGCCAAGCTCTCTTGGTAACGAACAGACATGTCACCAATCTGAGGCGAACCCAGGGTAAAAGAGACCAGGCGAGGGGTTGGGAGAGTCTCTCAGAAGAAGACAAACTTATTAGAAGATATAACAACAATCGAAACGAGAGCACAGTTCACTCTCCAAGGCCAAACCAAGGTGGACGCCTGACCTGCTAAGCTGGATGGCTGACAGCTCCAGCAAGAGCGCACCTTGTGACCTCTTAGGCCACTTCAAGCCAGCCTTCCGGACACTGTGCCCAGTACGTGGTTATGGACAGTGAGAAAACAGCTTCCCATCTTTGTCCCTTACACGTCTCATTTAGTTCAGTGAGGACCAATGGGAAGCAGCATTCCCACCAAAATCTTAAGATTGAATTCCCTCCCTAAATGTAATCATTCTGGAGGCACTGAAGGGTCAGGACTGTTGTTATGGTTATTTCTGTGACGTGGAGGCTGTAAGAAGGGTATCCTAAAAGGAAAGACCTGGGAATGAAAGAGCAGACGTGGCAGGCACTTTACGTACGTTCCCTTAAGTAATGATGCTGTGAGGTGGGTTCTGGTTCCCATTTTACAGATGGGAAAGCTGAGGTTCAGACAGGTCGACTGCTACAGGGCTGGTTTTTAAGTGTGGGGCTGACATTTGAACCCAGATCTGACTGTACACTGCACGGTTCTGCAAGTCAGGGAAAGACAAAAATGTCAAGTTCATACGGGGCTCATTCTCCCATGCATGGACTCCCGGCACACGGCTTTCAGGCCCCTTGCCACTAAGGGGACACAGGTCAGCTCACCTCTCTCACATCCTTGTCCGGTATCAGTGTCTGGAAGAAGAGGTGGTGCACCGGAGGCCGTAAGAAGTACTTTAGCCTGTGCAGGCAGGGTCTGCTGTACAGCGCGCCAGGCCGCGTTTGCACTTGCACTTGCACCTGGGCGGGCCCGGGGGTGGCAGGCCCTGAGAGGGCCATCTCCTTTCTGGCTGGAGTTTCTGTGACAGAGAGCCAAGGGACTTTGTATAAAGAGGTTTCAGACTGTGGAGACTGAGGGCTAAGAGAGCAGCTCGGAGAGGAGGGAGCTGAGATATCCATGGGAGTGTCTCGGTTCTGTACGTCATCCGAGGGAGAGTCCGGCCTATTTCCTGGCCAGTGTGGCATGTCTCCAGGCGAATGTGGCACATCGGTTAAGTGTGAGATTTTGCCAGGTAACTGCAGCGTGCCTCTTGGTGACTGTGGTGCACCCATTGGTAACCGCGGCATATCTCCTGGTGACTGTAGCACATCTCTCGGTGGTGACTGTGGCGCGTCTCTTGGCGACTGCGGCATGTCTGCAGGTGATTGAGGCATGCTTCTTAGTGACTGTGGCTTGTCTGTAGGTGACTGCGGCATGTCTCCTGGTGACTGCGGCATGCCTTTTGGTGACTGCGGCATGTCTCCTGGTGACTGGGGCATGTCTCCTGGTGACTGCGGCATGTCTCCTGGTGACTGCGGCATGTCTCCTGGTGACTGTGGCATGTCTCCTGGTGACTGTGGCATGCCTGTAGGTGACTGCGGCATGCCTCTTGGTGACTGCGGCATGTCTCCTGGTGACTGGGGCATGTCTCCTGGTGACTGTGGCATGCCTGTAGGTGACTGCGGCTTGTCTGTAGGTGACTTCGGCATACCTCCTGGAGACTGCGGCAGGCCTCCTGGTGACTGCGGTGCATCACCTGGTGGCTGTGGCATGTCTCGCAATAACTGTGACATGTCTCCTGATGACTGTGGCACATCTCCCAGGGACCATGGCGTGCTTTGCGGGTGTGCCACGCCTGGTGGATGTGGTGTGTGTGGAGGTGGGCCTGGTACACCCTGAGGTGGGCAGTGCGGGTCCCAAGGTGGGCTTTGTGAGTGTTGAGGATGGCGCGATGAGTCCTGAGGTGGGCGCGGCCCGTTCTGAGGGCACGGCACTTCTTGAAGCAGGTTAGGCAAAGCTTGTGGTTGGCACTGCACAGTTTGTGATGGGCACGACAAGGCTCGCGGTGGGCATGAGGAGGCTCGTGGCGGACACGGCGAGTCTCGCAGGGGGCACGGCAAAGCTCGCAGTGGGCACGGCAAGGCTTGTGGTGGGCAAGGTGCATCTTGCTGTGGGCAGGCCAAGGGCGCCCTCTGACTGCCACCGCCATTGTTGCTCACTGGGGAGAGGGGGTGGACATCCAAAGATGGCTGCAGGCTGGCCAAGAGGCCGAGGTCACCTTTGAACGTGGTCGAGCTACAGTTCGGCTCTGCGAGATGAACAGAGTCCCCACTGATGGATGGAGGGGGCTGGGGGTCTTCAAATGCGGTTTCTTCCAAGAGGTCCACATCCACAGGGTCGCTGTTAAGGGTCCTCCGTGCTCCGGGCCACAAGCTTCTGTCTACCCGCCCTTCCCTCGCCTCTTTGCTGGAGAGGCTGGCGCATGTTTGAGGGTTGGTTGATTCCTTCTGGGAAGGAGTGACAGGTTCTAGAGTTAAGTCTAAAGTGGCGATAGGTCTGGTTTCTTCCTCAGTTGTGGTCAAGTCGATCACGCAGATCCCACCTCGATCCTTCGGCCTCGGTCTGCTCTCTCTGGTTAAGTCGATGAAGTCCTGGGGAGGGATTGTGAGAAGACAGAGGGTCACAGAGGGAGTCCCGGCTTTATCTAAGACAGACTGACATTTCGTTTGGAAGTGCAAATACACGGGATAACCTACAGCAGAAGCTACAGTAAAAGGGAAGATGAAATAAGGGAATCTAGTGTGGCCTAGATTCCCTAGGAATCTAGGGAGAGCATGCTGAGAGCTTTCACGCGTCTCCAAGTTTCACCACCACCCTAACAGGTAAGTGTTATCTGCTCCATTGCACAGGTGGGAAACTGAAGTTTAGAGACATTAGGCTACTTACCTAAGGATTACAGAGCTAAGTAGCAGAGACAAACAAGCAACCCAGGTCTCTTTCCTTCCTTCCCTGTTAGGGCCTAGGAGTGTACAACTTTAGTTGATATGTAATTGGCTCACAGTCAGCTATGGAGGCTAATACAATAAAGGGTTATAAAATGATTAGGCAGTTCACAAAGCCTCACGATGCCAGCCAGAGGTACTGTAGTCAACGTCCCGTAAGCCCGGAATGACATTGCTCTCCCAGGTGTCTTCTCACCTGCTTGGGTACCTTGCCACTGGCCTGTTGTGTACCAGTTGCTGGGCTACCACAGCTACCATGCTGTTTCTTAATAGATGTGACAGTCACCACTGTCAATGGCACCGAAGCAGGTACAGGATTCTCGGCGGCTCAGTGAGAAGCTGCCCTCCGCCTCGTCCTGGAATAGGGATTTGCTTGGTGAAGCCAAGCACCTCCTTCCCCAGAGGCAGCCGTCGCCGCTCCGAGGGGTTCTCTGCTGCTAGCTGAACTCAACAACACACAGCTGTGAGGCCACAGAGGTAATATTTGATAGTCACCCATACCATTTAACAAAGATAATGTTTCAAACTACTGGGTCGAAAGGATAAATAATTCAGTACAGGATGTTGGGATAATTAGCTAACCATATGGAGAGAAAAATAGTGGATTACCACTTTATCCCTTTTTTGAAACTCATTCCAGGTAGATGAATGGATTAATTAAATGTAAAGAGTATTTTTACAACCTTAGGAGTGAGGAGAGCCATTCTAAGCATGACTATAAAGACAGAAGTCAAACATTGAAAAAGAGCAGCCGAACTGAATGTAACTCAAAGCTTTATAACTCCTGTCAAGAAAACCAAAAGAAGCCAGTGGTCGGGGGGGGGGGGGGAGGGGGGGAGGGGAAGATGTAATGTGTGCGATGCAGGGGCCACATTCATTTTTTTAGTACAAATTACCACCAACTGGCTGGCTTAAAACACCAGTAACTGATCCTCTCAGTTCTGGAAGTGTAGAAGTCCAGTGTGTGGGTGTGTGCAAGCCCATGCTGTCGAAAGGCTCTCTGGGAGAATCTGTTCCAGGCCTTTCAGCTTCTGGGGTCTCCAGCAACTCTTAACTTGCAGCGCATCACCCCGCACTGCCTCCGCCACCGCACGGCGTTGTCCCTCTCCCTTCACGCTGTGTTACAAGGGCACCGGTTGCGTTGGATGAATGGCCCACCCTACTCCCTACGACTTCATTTTCATGATCACATCTGCAACGCCCCGATTTCCAAACAAGGTCACTTTCTGCAGTGAGAGTTAGGGCTGCAACGCATCCTTTTTGGCGGACCCAATTCAACCCACGGTGAGTCTCGCACATAAGCAATATTTACATACTAGTAAGAAAAATAACACCCCAATAGGACAATGACAGGCAATTCACACACATGCACACACACAACATAGAAATCTATGTCCAATAAACACGCCCAAGATGTCCACCGCTCTGACCTGCTGAGCATGCTGTCTGACCTCCGGCCTCACTAGCTGCTTCTCTGCCCCTCACCGTCACCTGGGCCAGGCCCTGGATGTTTTCCTTGCTGTCTCTCAGCCCAGGTGATCACATCCAAGTCACTACAACCTACGTGCTAAGGACACCCAGTGTGTGTCCCTACTGAGGAGGACTTCCCCTCTGACCTCCCGACTCAGTGCAAGCACCATGCCTGGCATCTCCGCTTTGGCTAACCCACAGGCATCTCACATTTAGCACCTTCAAAACAGCAGTCTTGAAAATCTGTCCTCCAACTTGGTTCCTCCCCACGTCTTCCTCAATGAATGGCTTCTGGTCGCTCAGGCCCAAACCAGGACACCCCTCCTGACTCCTCCCTCCCGCCCATTATCCACACCCAAGCCATCAGGACCCGCTAGTCTCCGTGCCCGCTGCACCCCTGGAGACCAAGCTTCAGTCGCGCCTGACCTGCGGCACACACCTCACAGGCTGAGCCCCCTGATTCCACTTTCGTCCCCTTCCGGGGAGCTGACTGTGTTTCTGGCTTGTTCAGGACAGTTCCCGTGTTCACCTGCCACTTGCAAACCTGTCCAGTTGGAGCCCCCTGTCATTTGCAAAGGAATCCCCATTTGGATGATTAATTAGTCGCCTTTGTGGTAGTTCTTCTGTCTCGCAATAGCTAGAATCACCTTTTAAAAAGGTTAATCAGACCATGCCATTCCCCGGCTTAAAATCCTTCAAATATGTCTTAAAACACAGAATAAACCCGCAATTCCTTACGTGGTTTGCAAGGCCCTGTGCGACCTAGCTCACCTTCTTCTCATCCTCTCTGACCCTGTCCTTCACTCACTATATTCTGCCCTTGCGGGCCTTTCTATTCCTCCAGTAAGTCGTGAACTTTCCCACTTCCAGGACTTTATGTTTGCTGCACCCTTTGCTCCTCCCTCATTCCTCTAGACCTCATAGCAAACCTATGCTGTCACTGTGGGCTTGGGTCAAATACTAACTCTTCGGGGAGGAGTTCTCTGAAAAGACAATCGGTGTCTCCAACCCTACCCACGTTCCTCTCCGTCAAATTGCGCCCCGATTCGTGGATGCTTGTCTTTCCCCATGAGAATGTGGGTCCACTGTCATCTCATTCACCTCTGGTCTCCAGAGTCGAAGCACATGCTCCGAAAGCATTTATTGAAAAAGTGGATCTCAAGCAAAGAGACAAATTACAACATGACAGCGGGCACAATCTGGCTACCAGATCAGCCAAGATGAGAAGAATGAGGGGCCTTAGTTTTCTTTCTAACACCGGATGTCACCTGGTATTACACTTACGTGCTTGTTAACTGTTCACTGACTAGAATGAAATCTCCATGAGGGCAGGGACTTGGTCTAGTTCACAGCTGTGTCCTCAGCACCTGTAAGAGCCTGGTGTTCAGTAGATGTCTACTGGAGAAATATGCCCTGGCTGGTGTGGCTCAGTAGGTTGAGCACTGGCTTGTGAACCAAAGGGTCACAGGTTCGAATCCCAGTCAGGGCACGTGCCTGGGTTGTGGGCCAGGTCCTCTGTAGGGGGCGTGTGAGAGGCAACCACACATGAATGTTTCTCTCCCTCCCTTCTGCTCTCTCTAAAAATAAGTAAAATATTTAAAAAGAAAAAAAGAAACTGACCATATCTGGGGCTGGGATCATGAAGCAGGGAAGAAAGGGGCGTGATGAGACCATAATGGGTGCACAATTTCTGTGGGAAGTTTGGTAATACATGTCAAAAGTCTTCAAAGGGAGGGTACACCGTTCGACTCAGCAATGGCACATCTAAGAGGATCTTACCCTAAACAAACAAATGAATAAGGGCATAAAGGTTATTTCCAAGGCAATTCCTCACTGGGTTGTTGATAATAGAGAAGTTTCACAAGAACCAGCATGATAGACTGATTATGAATTACAAATCTGTGCAATGAAATACACTATAAATACTGCTAAAGACGTGCATGTATTAGCGTGGAAAGGGATGAGAAGTACATTAACAGAAAAAGCCAAGCTAGAAAACACATTTACAGCAAGGCTCCACTTGCAAAAACACGTCTGGGAGATACGTGGGCATGTATGAGCACGAACATTGAGATGAAGGTTCAGACAGGCCTACATCAAAATGTTGACACCCGTTGTCTTTGGGTGGTGGAATTAAGGGCAATTTTAATGTTCTTCATATACATTTCAAAACTATTTTTCTGGTAGGTCAACCAAAAAATTAATCGACTATATATGTATGTACATGTTCTGTGTGGAAAAGAAAAAGCAGTAAGATTACTGAAAACACAAACACACTTCATCGACTTAGCGAAGGCAAAAGCCCAAGTGAAGAACCAGGAGTTCAGGAATATGAGCTGCAGTATCGGGAATAGCTGTCTGATTTCCTCACTACAAGCATGTTGCTTCCCCACAGTGGGCATTACAAGAAAGAAAAAAATTGTAAAAGTTGTTTCTTTTATTTCACTGCTTGCCACGCTTGAGAAGGTCAGGCCTGGCTGAGAAACAATGCAGAGTGCAGCCAAGGTTCTCATTTGTGCTGGGCGTTTCCTTGCATTGCCTCATTACAAATCTAACGGTCCTGCCAGGCAGGCATGAATGTTCCCAGGAGCAGAAGCTGAGAGAGGTGAGAGAACTGGCCAAAGCTTGCACAGCTGGTATGTTGAGGATGTGATTTATAGCGGTCTCTCTGACCTCAGGGCCTTCAGGAAAAGGGAAAGCTAGACAAAGGCACTTGAGGCTTTAAAGATTTTACTTATTTATTTTTAGACAGAGAGGAAGGGAGGAAGAGTGGGAGAGAAACATCAACATGTCATTGCCTCTCACGTGCCCCCTACTGTTGGGGACCTTGCCTGAAACCTAGGCATGTGCCCCTACTGGGAATCAAACCTGCAACCCTTTGGTTTCGAGGCTGGCATGCAATCCACTGAGCCACACCAGCCCAGACCACTCAAGGCTTTAATACCTTGCAAGTTTCTTAATGCCTTTGATCTTTCATAGGGATTATCCCACCTCCCTTATCTAACTGACAAGAGAGATAAACGAAGAAAAGCTTGGTGTTTTCAGAAAGCTGTAGTAAAGTATCTAGAGACAGCTTACTCTCTGGAACTTGCCCTTCATCCCTCTTCAACTCAAAAGGGTCAAGAGCAAAATGCCTGGTTGGGTGGCCATGGGATGGGGAGCATTTAGAGGGCATGTCCATGCACGTGCGGGAAGGGCCACAAGAGACATAGCAGACTGGGATGAGGATGCCATCTGGGTGCTTGAAGGAGGAAGCTGGACTAAGATGAAGGAAAAGAGACAGCACTTGAGACGAACGGAAGTGGGTGGGGAGGACCAAGTTCAAGGGGGACTGAGAAGGGAAAGGGGAGGCAGCTGTGAGTTATTCTCAGTATTTTCTCCTTCCACCTTTTTTTCTCTCCATATCATTTCCTTGATGATCTCAATCACTCTTAGGCCTTTGGTGCTTTCTATTTGGATAATTACCAAATAGCTCCCTTCTGCCTGTTCTGTGGAGATCAGCTTCCTTGGGTGGGCCACATTCATGTACATTTCCCACCAGCACTTTCAATCTAGTGGGTCCAGAATGAATGCAGCCTCCCCTCCACACCACGCCTGCTTCTACTCTTGAACATGCGGTCCTACCAAACATCCACCTGAACTGTGCGCTCTCCCCCATTCCTTCCACCATTTCACCCAACAAATATTTATCATGAATCGATTTTGTCCCACACGCTGCCACAGTGCTAAGTACATCCACTCAGTTACCTAGTGGGATCGCTTGCACCTTGCAAATCTCTTATCTGTCCACTCATCTAAATTCTTTATGGAAATTAATTGAGAACCCCTGGTGCTTGCACCTTGCCAACACAGCACTGTCTGCTAATTGGTTTTGCCTGTCATTCATTCTCTTGACCATCATACCTGGGACTCAGAAGGGGCCTTCTCTGGAGGCTTAGGGATCAGTCTGGCTGGGAAGGGTTTGAGGGGGCGGAGGCTAGATTTGTCTTGGAGTATTTGCATATGAAGAAAGGTGGTATGTTAGAGACCCATGAAGCTGGTTAAATGATGAGCGTGATCATCTTTTTATTTCTGGGGTGTGGCTTCGTGGGACTGAGATGTTGTAAGTCTGATGATGTTGCGAGTCTTCTGAGAGAAAGCCTGTCCACTTCCTACCCCTTGAGTACTCAGTGGCCGCTTGTTGGGTGTATCACCTTCTATGAGAAGGACCTCGGATGTCGTGTTCTCCCTTGTATCCCCCCCAAAAAAACATCTGGCCCATAGTAGAGGTCCAATATATGCGTGTGGAGGATTCTAGAAAGGCAAGGACCATAGATGTTTTAGTCACCATCTCGGGGAGAAGGACAAAGACTAAGGGTACCCAGGGGAAAAGAAAAATGCGAGATGTTTCCCTCTCTGTTCCTTCAGAGCTCAGCAAACGTTTGCTAAGCGATACAAATCACTCTCCTGCACAACTCCAAAACCGGGCCCCTCGCTCGGCTGCCAGGCCCTGGAGCGCCGCCACCATCTGCCCAGGCCCGCAGTTCCCTCACTGCCTCCCTCCCTCCCTCCCAGCTCCTGCTCCCGTTACTTCCCAGCACACATCTGCACCCACCACAAGCCAAACAATTACACGCTCCCGCGTGCCGACTCCAGGTCGGGGACTCCCCCCGAGGACTCCCTGTCCCCCTGAACCCCTAGCCCCCACCCCCGCCCCGCCAAGGCTCCCGGCAAGCCCGCGGCCGGGCCTGAGACGGCCGCCTGCCGTGGGACGTCGCGCATGTGCTCGACCGCCCCTTTTCAGCCTCCCGCCGCTCGGGATTGAACGCGGAGCCCGGAGGCCGTCCCCGCACGGGCCCGCCGCGCTCAAGGCCAGAGCGGCTGGAAAGGCGGCGAGGCGGGAACGGGCTGCAGCCGCGGGGCGCCACCGGGCGGGCGGCGGGGGACAGCTGGCCGGGCCGACGGTCACTAAGTGGCGCCGCCCGAGCGGAGGCGGCGCTGCGGCCGCGGCGGCTGCCTCACTCACCACGGTTCGGCGGGGCAGCGCGCCGGCGGTCCGGGACAGGCCCCGGCGCAGCCTCCGCGCTCGGCCCGGGCGGGTCCCCTCGGAGCTCTCGGAGCCGCTGTCGTCCGAGATCACGATGATGTCCTCCATGGCTGCGGGCGGCCAGCGACCCAGGCCGCGGCAGCGACGGCGACTTCGGTTCCCGCGGCTGGAGAGACGGCGGTCGTGGCGGAGACTAACCGGGCCATCCCCCCGCAGGCTCCGCCCCTTCCCGCCCAAATCCCGCCCCTAACCCCGCCCCTTCCCGCCCTCGAAGCCCACTCGGAACCCCGCCCCCTCCTGGGCCCTGCCCCCCGGAAGGTGGGCCGCTAGCCGCTGGCTGCTGGCAGGCGACCGCCCGGTCAAGGCCATGCCATTGTACTTGGTGGTGGCACTCGTCCGGTCTTACCGAAGAGAAGCAAAAGAGAAATCAAGCTTCAGCCAGTCTGGGCCGGTGTTGAAGGCGGGGTGAGAAACTACGGCTTCCGACTGACTCCAGAGTGAAGGGAGGGGTGAACAGCGATTAATCCGGCCTCACTGATTGACCCCGGCGGGCCCGTCCCGTGGGGGACTGGGGGTCCGGCCGAGACGGGGGCCTGAGTCGGGGGGAGAGAGCCCCACTTCTTGGTGTACATGTGCAAGTGCATCTGTAAGAAAAATTCCTAGAAGTGTGATTACTGGGTCAAAGGCGACGTTTCCCTAGTTGTTTCGATAAACGAGGTTAAATGACTCTCCTCAATTGAACCGATTCGCAGTTTCGCCAACAATCCATGCCATTCAGAGATTTAAACTGTGAGATTTAGAGACTTATTCAGTTGGTCGTAGGCTCGGAGACTACAGAAATACACAAAGAGAAGCCATAAGATAGTAGACGCTATGAATAATTAGATGTTACGAATGAACAAGGTTATGAAGGTGAAAAAAAATATACCCACTAGAGGGAAAAGTGGCAGGTGGTTGGTCGGAAAGCAGGATCATTAAAATCGAGATAGAATCTGTGTTACAATACACGTGAGGAATTGTCCAATTCCTCCCTCTCAGGCTCCAGCAGCTGGGTGAAATGTTAATACTGGCAGATCCCAACGAAAACGTGTTTATTAGAAGGGGAACCGGTTCCTCAGAAGGTTGTTATCAGGTGCTTTCTCACTCCGTCTCCTGCTGTGATTCTCAAACGTTCTAGAGCCTCTGAATCCCAGAGGGAGCTGGTTAAAGCACAGGTTTCCGCGTCTCCACTCTACAGCTTCTCATTCAGCACTTGAGATGCGGCCCCCAAATTTGCATTTCTAACAAGTTCCCAGCCACTGTTTATACTGCTGTCAGAGGACTTCACCTCGAAAACTATTGGTCTGGCCCTGACTGGGCGGCTCAGTTGGTTGGGCGGAGTCGTGGGGGATATCAGGTGATCTGGTCCCCTAACTGCGCAGTCACTTTCAGTAACTACTAGGGTCTCACACCAGGGATTATGACTTAGGGCTGCCCATTTTAGATCTTTAATTTCATATTCATAGCTCTTCCCTTTCTGCTGGTGCAGGTGGACAGGTGGCCCCACAGTTCTCAGTGGAGGGGTGATAACGTCATTCCCTTCCTCTCACCTTGGCTCTTCTTCCTCCTAAATAGGGATGAGGAGGAGGAGGGGGAACCAATGTTCTCTGCAACACTGTCCACGAAGAGTTGTCTGTTCTCTTTCTGCCCGTTGTTGCTACTGTAGTAACAGTTTCCCTCCCGTGTCAGGAGACAGATGTCCTCTTTCTTACTGGCACTGGGTACATCATTACTCTCTGGGGCCTCCCCTGATCTCCCCTAACCTAGGGGAGGTCAGCCTCAACCCCTTTCTCCTGGATATTCCCACCAGTTCCTGCTAGGGGCAAGCATTTGTTGTTGGGGGGATCGTGGCCTGGAGGGGGTTTTGGGGGGTGCCAGCAGAAGCTTTATGCCTTACCCACCACCTTCTGTGCTCTCCAGCTGACTCACATCACACGGGAGGAGTTTCCATGCACAGTTCAAGGAGGGGGGGAATGCAGGCAGCTCCCATCTTGGTCCCCCTCTCTCAGCACCAGCTTCTCTCTCCTTTCCTCACCCCCAAGGGCACCAGGGGCTTGTCCAGGTGAATGGTTCGGTGACTTTCAGGCAAGTTCTCAGCTTGGGGAGCAAAGAGAGGAAGCGTTTGCTGCACTTAATTTACGATACAGTGATTATTATTAGTAACTGACTTTTAAACATAAAAACAGTGGTTGACTTTAGTGTTTTGACCGTAGTAGAGATCTTTCTCACCAGCCATCCTGTCCAACAACACTCAGGAAAACCAGGGTTCCTGGTTGTGCAAATGTGAGCACACTTGACATCTACCTTGCCCTTATCTGGCAGCCCGGATGGATGACTGCTGACCCTGAAGTTGCCTTTCTTAAAGCTGTAAGTAATGTCACTTATGTTTCTTTGGCCATTCTGGATATGTCTTGAAATAGGCTGTTTACCCAAGACATCCAGAATAATGGTATGTTTTTCAGAAATTGATGAGTGCATTTTTTCTTTTCTTTTTTCTGAGTTATGCCTCATCTTTTCCAGATTTACTGAGGTATAATGAACATATCACATTATGTAAGTTTAAGGTGTACAATGTGGTATTTTGATATGTGTATAGGTAGATTGTGAACTGTTCACCACAATAAGGTTGGTTAAATGTTCTTTTGCCTCACATAATTACAGTTTTTAAACTGCTGTCATGGTGAGAAGGGTCGAGCTCTATGCTCATAGGAATTTTCTAGTGAGCAGTACAGATTATTAACTGTAGTCACCATGCTATACATCTGCTCCCGATACGTATAGGGGCTGAGGGTGTAGCATCGAGCAGGACAGCCATGGCTTCTGTCCTCGCAGAACTTTGCAGTGAAGGAGGTCTCCTTAGTCTGTGAGTGAAGAAAGCAAACCCTAATCCCTTACTTTTTAAAAGTAACTTTTAATTGAAAATGTATATGGGAAAAATGATATGTGACCATGGGAGTCCAAACTGCAGTGAGCTGCCATTTCGCACCCATGGGGACAGCTATTATTTTTTTAAAAACAGGAAACAAGTGCTGGTGATGACGTGGAAAAATTGGAATGCTCGTGCCTTGCTGGTGGGAATGTAAAATGGTACAGCTGCTGTGGAGAACATTCTGGCAGTTCCTCAAGAACTTAGACATGGACTTGCCATATGGCCCAGCAATTCTCCTCCTACGTTATTTGTGCCAAAGCACAGAAAGCAAGGATGCAAATATACTTGTCCATCAATCTTTAGAACAACGTTATCGATCGTAGCTGAAAGATGGAAACGGATAAGTAGAACTTGGCCTACCTGCACCTTGGAGTCCTACTCAGCCTGAAGATCGGGAAGGAGGTTGTGATGTATGTCACCACATGGACGAAACTTGAGGACATCGTCCTAAAAGAAGTAAGCCAGTCAAGAGAGGACGAATATGGCATGACTCTAGTAACGATGCTAATTGCATGATACTAACAGGAGGTGCCTTCCACAGGCAAATTCATAGAGACTGAAAATAGAATGGAGGTTATCAGGGATCAGAGGGATAGAGAATAGGGAGTTATTTAATGAACGGAATTTCTGTTTGGGATGATAAAAAGCTCTAGAAATGGTGAGTGATGCTGGTTGTACAATGTGTCACTGTTTTAATGCCACCGAAATCGTACACATAAATGGCTACAGTGACCAGTTGATGTGTATTTTACTGCAATAAAAATATGTGACTGTTTTCCTTTTGTTAACAAATTAGAACATTATAGACCATGTCAAAGGCCCCTTTGACCACTTCCTCCATCCTGATTCCAATTCCCCCTCCTGGGTGCTTCCATGTTAATTCCTCTAGAGTGTCTGCGTATATTTACCTGTATCCATATGTACTTATCAAAATGACATTTAAAATTTTTTTAAAGATTTTATTTATTTATTTTTAGAGAGAGGAGAAGGGAGGGAGAAAAAGAGGGAGAGAAACATCTGTGTGTGATTGCCTCTTGTGCGCCTCCTATTGGGGGGGCCTGGCCCACAACCCAGGCACCTGCCTGACTGGGAATCAATCCTGCAACCCTCTGGCTCGCAGGCGGGCCTGCGAGTGGTTCACTAACTCAATCCACTGAGCCAGGGCAAAATGACATATTTTTTGTTTTATCCAAAGAGTAAGTCTGTTTTAGTATAGAGATTTGAAACCACCATTCACAGTAAAAATGTTCTAGGTAATAGGCTTCTGGCCTTATTAATGGGGATTTTTCTGGGTGAGTATACATCTTTAAAATGTTTCTTTTTTTCATTTCATTTTCTCTTTCTCATTATATGGCAGGGTTGGTGCCTGCAGATCTGCTATTGTTTATGCTAACGCTAGCCAGCTCAGGTTTCTCCCTGCACTAGGGAACACTCTGTCCCCCACCCCTGCTAGATTCCAGGCGTCAGCCCCCAGTTTCAGGTCACTTTTCTGGACTGCTTTAGTAGGGAGCCTCTCAGTGTACATAATTTTACTTAAATCATTTTCTTATCCTTTCCCCTTCTCCCTCCCAGCTTCTAGTTTGCTGAGATATCAAGTAGATGTCAAAGACTTTGTAAAGATTTTGCTTTATCCTTGACATTCAATGATGCATGCTCGTTGTGAGAAAATGAAGTGTTTCAGAATGGTTACAATGCAGAATGTGTAACCACATCACACTTGGATAACATATTTCCAGACATTTCTGAATGATCAATACTCATGGGTACAAATGTGTATATAATTATATGTAAGTGGGATCATACGATACACATTGTACGACGATTAGCTTCCTTAAATTAAGAAATATGACTTTATAGTTTTCTGTCAGTGAATAAAGATTTATGTGATCTACATTGTTCATTTTATTGGTTTGTAATATATTCTTAAGATACTATGACATTTGCTCTTCTTTTATAGAAAATCACAAAGAAGCAAGCAAAAGAGTATATCACGTTCCCCCATCCCTGATATCTTACAATGAACAGTTTGTAAAATTAAAAGAAACATATCTATGAGATTAGAAAATTTGTACTACAAAAAGTTACAAAATAAAAAGTGAACGTTGAAAACCACCCTCCCTTTCTTAGCTCTTCCCAAGGCTAAATATCTAAATAAATAGTTTCCTGTGAATCCTTCAAAACATACAAAATCACTATACACGGTATATATATGTATCATACCCCATTAGTCAATCCTAACCCTAATTCCCCCAGTAGGCAACCATTCTGATTTGTATTGAAACTGGTGGTTATAGCTGTCCAGTAAGGCCTCTATGAACAAAAACAACAACAAATCAACAAAAGTTTTGAAATAAACCACCGCAAAACTGCCATCATTGTTACTGTGAGCATTTCTTGATTGTTTCTTCTGTACCAGTCCCTGTGAAAAGTGTAGTGGGTTCCAACATTTCCGTTTATAGAATACAGAAAAAGAACATAAGGGAAAATGAGTCAAGGCATTCTGCTCTAAGTTAGGGGGCTAAGGGATGCACAGAAACCCCAGAAAAAGGTATTTTACTGAGAGGGAACTGAAGATTAAAAGAATAACGTTGATTTCCGTCTTTGATTAACACAAATACATCTACCAAGCAGTAGGGAAGGGGGTGATAGAAACCCTAAAAACCTCAGGATCATTAACTCTGCAACACATTTAAAACAGATTCATTACTGTTCGAAAAGACAAAAAGTGGGCGCGCGCTGCATGGCGGGATTTGTAGTCCAGTTTCCGGTGGGTCGGGTGCGGCTGCGCGGGAGAGACGCCGCTCGTCGGAGCGCACGCGTGCGACGGCGGCTGGACTGACTGGACTGAGGCGTAAGCGTCAGCGTCGGCGGCAGGATTGACTGCGTTGGGGCTGTGGCGTCCGCGCGGGTGTGCGGTAGCTCGGCATGGCGGCCCCCGCCGCGGCCCTGGGGCCCTCGGCGCTAGGCCAGAGCGGTCCCGGTTCCATGGCCCACTGGTGCTCAGTGAGCAGCGGCCCGACGCGCTACGTGCTCGGCATGCAGGAGCTGTTTCGGGGCCACAGCAAAACGCGAGAGTTCCCGGCGCACAGCGCCAAGGTGCACTCGGTGGCCTGGAGCTGTGACGGGCGTCGTCTGGCCTCTGGGTCCTTCGACAAGACGGCTAGCGTCTTCTTGCTGGAGAAGGACCGGTTGGTGAGCAGCCAGGGGCCGGCCTAGGCCAGGGAGAAGGGCTGTGGGTAGCAGGGGTAGTGGTGGGGCGAAAATGGCGGGGAGGGGGGCGGAGAGGGGTGAGATTAGGAGGGGGCGTGGATGAGCGGGGTGTGTGGTGCGAGAACGAGGACTGTGGGGGTGTCAGGGGAACGCGCTGGCGTGGGGAGGGAGGGCCCGGGAGGGGGGTGTGGGAAGTGTAGTAGTAAGGAGGGGTGTAGCTAGGCTGGAGTGGAGGGGAGAGGGTGCAGACAGGTGGGGAGGAGGTGGGGGGTGGGACAGTGGTAGGAAGGATTTGTGGGGTGAGGGGGGCTGGGCCTGTCGTTGTGGGGTCCCGTCTGGTGGGGAGGGCCCCTGTGGCTGTGATAGGGCCCCCTGTGGGAATGGGCAGGTGCGTTGGGAACTTGGTTGGCAGAGTAAGGGTGGAAAAGCAGAGAGGAGGAGGAAGGCAGGCCAGGACCAGCAAATGAGTAAGGCACTGGTGTAGAGTCCAGCCTCGGGGTGGTTCAGGGTGATTGGGGAGGGAGGAAGGAGGGATTCCGAACGAGTTTTCGGGAAGAAGCTTGGAAGAACGGGGCTCTGTACTTATCTAATATTTCGTGGGTCACAGGTGCTTTGGTTGAGGAGTTACACACGTAAGGCCAGTTACGTGAGGTTAAGGAGTTACACATGAGGCAGGTACACCTGTGGGAAGTTACATTCTGATCTTGTTCTCTCAGGTCAAAGAAAACAATTACCGCGGACATGGTGACAGCGTGGACCAGCTTTGTTGGCATCCAAGTAATCCTGATCTCTTTGTCACCGCATCTGGAGACAAAACCATTCGCATCTGGGACGTGAGGACGACCAAATGCATCGCTACTGTGAACACCAAAGGTGACTTCCGAGAGGGCAATAGGAAAATTAGCCGCTGATATTCATTCAACAAGCATTTTCCAAGAATCTTCTCTGTGCCTGGTGTTAGTTGGGGGACATCCTGAACTCCAAGAACATCACAGTTGAGTGCAGGGAGGGAGCCATGTGCATTAAAAAACAAAACAAAACAAAAAAACTAACAAAATACGACATGGGTCATCTTACAGTGGAGATGTCTATAAGGTAGATTCCCAGAATGGAAGTGCTAAGGTCTGCTGGGGGGAAGACAGGGAAGGCCTTGCAGAATTTGAGTGGACTCTTGGAATAGCTGTAGGAAGTTAGTGGTCAGGGTGCAGTGGGAGGGCAGGGCAGTTTTCGGGGGGGGCAGCAGTGCACAGGTGCGGAGAATTTGGGAAACTGCTGATAGGCTACAGTGGCTGAAGCCCAGATGGTCTCAGTGGTCTGGGAGAAAATGCCCTGGAAGTCGTGGAATGCATTTGTAGACTCCGGTCTTCACCAGGTAGTGTCCTATAAAGGTAACTTAACCATATTTTATTGATTAAGATGTCACCGATTATAAGATGCACCGATATTTTAAGTTCCATTAGGAAAGGAAATAAAGCTCCCAGATAACCATGTACACTAAAAGTTTTAAGATGCATCATAAAACATAAAATGAATCTTGGTGAAGTTGATGACATTTTTAATTGATGTGCCCAGTGTGGACCACCAGGCTTTGTTGATAAGGCTTCTGCCTGTTGGGGGCAGGAGGGTGGGTGGAGGTGGAAGGTGTTGTAAGGGGGGTAAATGGTAAAGGGAAAAAATGCAGTGAAAGAAGGCTCATACCTGTAAGTGGAATGATGCAGTGATTTCTCCAGGTATACAGCTGGTGATGCATAAGGGATTTATGGGTACATGGATGAACATTAAAAATGAGTTGTCTGTTAGGAAGAAAAGAACCAGCTTATTGAATGTGTCGCTGAAGTTTATTAAAGTAAAAAAAAGTTTGAGTCAATTTTTAGAAAACTCTTCGATAGAAAGAGGTGTAGCTGTTACATGGATAGGACAGAAATCGTGAAAGTGGCCTGCAGGTGATGGGGGGTTTGGGAGACGCTGAAATAAGACAGTAAGGGGCTGTGGAGCCAAATGGAGCGGCTCTGTTACTTCAAGCTTTGACGGTTTGGCTCATCCCTCTTCCATTTTTTCATCTGTAAAATGAGGATCATGAATTGCTAATAAACAGCGTATTTTGTGGATCAAATGGGGAAGTGTGTAGGCGGGTGTGCCTGACTCACAGCTGCTGGTACTTAGGTGCTAGTTGCCTTCCATTGACTGTGACCTTGATGAATGAGCTCTGGAGATAAGGCTGGCCTGCATTCTAGGATAACCAAATAAACTTCCGGAGAATTCTGGACAAACAGATTTCTCTTACTGAGTATATGCCTGGTTTTCCAGGGGAGAATATTAACATCTGCTGGAGTCCTGATGGGCAGACCATTGCTGTAGGCAACAAGGACGATGTGGTGACCTTTATTGATGCCAAGACACACCGTTCAAAGGCAGAGGAGCAGTTCAAGTTTGAGGTCAACGAAATCTCCTGGAACAATGACAATAACATGTTCTTCCTGACCAATGGCAATGGTTGTATCAACATCCTCAGGTGAGGAGGGGGTTCTAGCTCAGGGAACTGTCTTGTCTTTAACAGCCAGGTACTCGGGTGGTTACAGAGTTCAGTTAGGTGTGTGTCTGTCCTGGAGGAGCTTACAGGATGGGTAGTAGTGAAGAACCCTAACCCCTGTTGAGCATCTTTGAGCCAGGCACCTGAAATTTTGCTGGGTCCTCCCAGAAATCCTAGGAGGGTTGATGGTGTGTTTACCATTGGACAGAGAAGGATCTGGGATTCAGACCCACTGGTCGGCTGGTGAGCAGCAGAGCTGGATGCACCTTGAATTATCGCTGATTTGTAGCCTTAAAGTCTCAGCTTAAATATTACATTCCCTCCAGGGAAGCCATCTTCCCACCCTCTCCCCAAGGTCAGAGGCTTATTTCATGTACTTCCTTTTAGAAGCATTTCTCACTTCCTATTGTAGCTGCATGTTTACTTGTCTATATCCTCCATTAGACTTAAATCCATGAGGGTAGAGGTTGTGTTTAATTTGTTCGCTGTTGAATCCCTAGTGCCTAGCCCAGTACCTGCCACACACAGTAAGGATTTCAGTAAATAGTTGCTCTCTAAATGAATGAAATTGTGGAATTGAAATTTAGCTCTTTCTGGTTCTCTTCTTTCTACCATCTTGAGCGAGCAATGCAAGGCAGAGTGAAATAGGTTTTACGTTAGAGAGGCTGGGAGTTTGCTGTGGAATCCTAAGGAAAGAAACTTGAATTGAGAGTTGAAGGAAGCAACTTCTGAGTCTGACCTTGAAAGATGAGTAGAATTTTAAGAATCAACAAGAGCACTGTATGGTTAACAAAACAGGTGTGAACGAGCGTGATTTATTTGGATAGTATTCGATAGGTCAGGGTTGCCTAGAGTGGTGGCAGTTCAGGTATCTGAATGGAGGGCCTGAAAATGGGAAAGTAAAGTTGAAATACATTTGGGACTAGATTACGACGGGCATGGAATTCCATGCTTAGCAGCTTGATTTTATGCTGTAAGCAGTGGGGATTCTGTAATTTTGTTTCAGAGCCTCTTTAGTGGAAGGTAAAATAGATGTAGAAACCATATAAAACAAACATGTAGTTTAATGAACAATTATATGGATTAAGTCTGTGTAGCCCCATGCATGTCAAGGAATAGGACTTCACTGGCCATCCCAGAAGTCAGTCCATAGGCTTTCTCCTCATCATAACTGACTCCCTCAAAAGTAAACCGTCTTGATTTTTATAGTTATTTATAGTTTTAGCTTCAAAATGTGCATCCCTAGATAGTCTAGTTTTTGCCCATTTAAGAAGTTTTGATAGTTTTCTTCAGTCTGTTAAACTAGAGGGGGCCCTTCCAATCCTTTGTTTTGCTTATAACTTAGCTGGTAAAAAACCAGACTGTTGACCAGACTGGAACCCTGGTGGAGCTTCTCCCAGCCTGGATTTTGCGGCTTTCGTGTTTACTTACTTCTCTGTTGGAATATGAGACACGTCCTCTCATGGGCTGTTTGGTTACTCAGGAATATAGTTCATGTAGGAAAGGCAGGATACATGCTCGCTTCTCTCCCTGTGTCATGAGGGATGAATGAGTTCCCTGTCACCTTCAAAGATGACAAGCTAGTGTCTAGTCATTTTGGTCGTCCAAGCTTCCTCAGGGAAGCTTCCATTTAGTTTCCTCAGGGTTGGTTGGCTCATGGGAACAAGATTCCCTGAGCTCACACCTACTATAACCTATACTTATAAAACTTGTAGATGCTTTATTATATTGTGCTTATTCTTTGAACTCTTTATAATTGACAGTATTGCTAGTTATCAAAATTCTTGATTTATGTTTTCTTTCCATATCTTAAATATGTTATTACATAATATTTTCTTTTGGCATAAAATGTTACTGTTAAAAAGGTTGAATGATAATGAAAAAGTTCAGTAATTTTATGACTCTGTCACGTTCGGGTTCGTCTTCTGAGGTGTTCGGTGTGTTGTTGCAGCCTGTTGTTTGGAATCGGTGTCTCAGGAACGCTTTCTTGAACTGCAGTCTCCGGTGTCTGTCCTGCCATTCTCGGTTTTCCCCTTCAGTGTCCTCTCTGGCCGTTTTGGCCCCACAGTCCTCTTCCCACAGTCTGATCGCTGTCTGTCTTGCTCCGCAGCTACCCGGAGCTGAAGCCGGTGCAGTCCATCAACGCGCATCCCTCTAACTGCATCTGCATCAAGTTCGACCCCATGGGGAAGTACTTCGCCACAGGAAGTGCGGATGCACTGGTCAGCCTGTGGGATGTGGATGAGCTGGTGTGTGTCCGGTGCTTTTCCAGGTCAGCTTCTCTTCCTTGTTGGATACTTTTGTTCCATCTTGGGTGAAATTGTGCCTTCTTAGGTTATATAAAAATTTTTAATTTTTCAGTTGCAGTTGACATTCAATATTATATTAGTTTCAGGGTACAGCATAGAGGTTAGACACTTACATAACTTATAAAGTGAGCCCCTGATAAGTCCAGTGCCGCCTGACACCCTGAGTGGTTATTACAGTATTATCGACTGTATTCCCGGTGCTGCACTTGACATGCCCGTGCCGTTGGGTTAGTCTCATGTCTCCTTTGTCTCCTCTGTGTTACAGGCTGGACTGGCCTGTGAGGACCCTCAGTTTCAGCCACGATGGGAAGATGCTGGCCTCAGCATCGGAAGATCATTTTATTGACATTGCTGAAGTAGAGACAGGTAACCAAAGCCTCCCTGCCTTAGTGCGAGTCTTCTGCCTTTCACCTCTGGCCATCGGCACGTCTCTTGCCATGTGTGTTCACTTCTGCACGTTATTTCCTCATCAGCTTTAGTGTAAACGAGTTTGTCTCCTTACGACAAGCTTATTGTGACAGTTCCAGTCAGGTGTCAAGGGAGCAAAGAGTCGGGAAAGGCAGGGGCAGATCTGAAGGAAAGTGACTTAGGAAACTGTGTATTTTATTCACTACTATAATGAAAGACTTAGAATACAGGAAGTGGGAAGAAGAAAGAAGTGTTGTCTGTGGTTCCCCCCATTTAACTGCCACCTCTTTTTAGCATTTTGGTATATTTCTGTCTTTTCCCTATATGTGAATATATATATTTGTAATTTAAGGAATTATCGAAGTGGATGTGATTTCCTTTAAAAACAACAAATCAGAACTTGCAAACAGAAAAACAGGAAAGCAATTATTTTATAAAAGAATTTCTTCAGTTTTAGTTTTTATTGAATTTATTGGGGTGACATTGGTTAATACCTCAGTTTTAGTTTTTAATACCGCTGTGTTGTTTTTGGAAATACATGATATTTGAGTAATAGAATTCAAATTATAAAAAGCTTCAAAGAAGAAAACTTGAAATTCCATGCTTTAGAGAACGCCACCATTGCTAACACTGTGGGGGGTGTGGTCCAGCCGACCGACACGCAGCTCCTGTGATGCCGGGGCACTCACCTGTGAGCCTGCAGTCTGCAGGTGAGCCCCTGCCTCGCCTGCAGAATGTCACAGCTCCTGTTGGCAGTGGCTGCTGAGTCCACTTCCACTTTGACTGGGATTAAATTTCATTCTAGGTACTATTAGTGGCTTCTAAGTTTTGCGTTGTTATAAATAATGCTGTGATGAGTGTCCTTTATGTGCTTTATTTTACATGTGTGATCCTTTTGCACAAACCATTGACATGGGAATGCTGAGTCTAGTGTGCCCACATTTTGTGAGGGACCAAACCAGCTCACGGAAAAAATCACTGTCGTTTGCTCTTAGCAGTGTGTGTGTGTCTGTGTGTACATGTTTGTTCCACACCTTAATATATGTAAAATATGATTTAATTCGCATGTACTCTTTCAGGAACATATTAAGTGTGGCTGTATTATTCTTCTAAATTGTTTAACAAATACTTTTTAAGACTATTAAAATTTGTTTTCTAGTTATAGTTGACACGCAGTATTATTTAGACAAATAACTTTTAACATGTTGGGTTTTAAGCAGAAGTTCTTTATAACCTAGGTTGAAATTTAAAAGCAAGATGAGTATCCCAGTACAGCACAGTTAATGTTATTTACATTTTAGTACGTAAATGGGACACAGTCTAAATTTTCATTACGGTGGACGAGTGAGGTGAGTCGTGATGCATGCCTGTCACAGTGTGCCCGGAGAGAGACGCGGCTCTGTGTGCCGAGGTGGCAGGTGCACTAGGCGTAGCACTCAGTGGGCAAAGCAGGTAGCCAACCGGGCATGTGATGTGTTAACGTTTAGGTAAAGAAACCAAATTGCACTTGGTTGAAAACATTTAGAAGAACTTAGATCAGATTTGTAAAATTAGGAGAAGACTTAAATAGGAAAAAAATAAATTTAAATGATCACTTATTACTGCAACCAGTTAAACAAAATTAATTCAGTCTCTCAGCCACCCTGAGCACCTTTCAGGGCCTTGGAAGCGCCACGTGGCCTGCGGGGGCTGCATCGGATGGTGCAGGCGCAGAACGTTCCTGTCACGGAAGGTGTTCGCTGTGCGTGCGGCTCTGCACCCCGGACCTGTGTGCATCTGATGCAGTGAAATGTGTCTTTACGGATTAGCTTGTGAACTGAGAGTAATACAGGCTAATTACAGAATGTTTGGAAAATGCTAACAAATATAAAGGAGAAAGTAACAGGCAGGTGTAGGTTCATGATATATAGAGAATCATTGCTAACAGTTTGGTGTATTAAATCTCTGATCTTTCTTTTCCTCCTACACAGTATATATTTTTTCTGTTGTTGGAATCATATATTAGGTATAATTTTGTATTCTACCTATTTTTAATGGTTAAATGTAACCCAAAGTAAGAATTTAAATTTTATTTCTGATAGCATGTGAAACGGAACCTCATTTTCATGCGGTCCACTCAGTTTTTGGCTCTGCAGACACACACATACACATCGCCCAAGTCTGTCGGAACTTCAATGCTTGGAATAGTTGAGTCAGTCTCAGAGTCAGCACCTCATCTATCAGTCGGAGACTGCACTTTCCAATAAACTGAGGGGATGTTAAATTTACGAAGCCACACTGTTTCATTTTAGGCTTCTTTATGTCTACTGCGATGTTCTTGAACTATATACATTTCTTTATTATTCTTATATCAGATGACACGGGGTCAGAGGCCTAGTAGTAGCACCTCTGAAACGGATCTTTATGTCTCTGTCACTCAGAACTTTGCTCCTAGAGATACAGGCTGCCAGGCCCTGGTGTCATGAAGAGCCAGTGACCCATAAATAGGATTTCTCTCTCCCTCCCCCTCCCTTCCCCTCCCTCCCCTCCCTCCCCTCCCTCCCCCTCCCTCCCCCTCCCTCCCCCTCCCTCCCTTTCCCTCTCTTTCCCTGTCTCCCTCTTACCCTACACACACATACACAAACATAAGTATATATGAAATAGTTTTATTGAAATAAAATTCACGTACCATGGTTGGCTAGTTTGAAGTATATAATAGAGGGTATTCTGCATTTTTAAATTGATACCAAACTAAATGTTTTACTACATTGATCTTAAACTTCAATTTCAAAAACCATTAAGCAGGATTGAAGGAATAACAGCATTAGAAAATCATGTTTAATTTCCACAAGTGGGAGGAGTAGCATTTTGGGGAAAAGACCTGTATTCCTCTGATCAGGAGGCATCGAAGTTTAGTAGATCAATGGCTTTGGAAACAGACCAACCTCATGTGCCGGCTCTGTTGCTTCCTTGAGGTGACTCAACTGTTAAATCACTCATTTCTTTATAAAATGGGCTTGAATCGCTCCCTGTCTTGCTGGGTTGTTGCTGTACTTCATGGGAATAAAGTGTAGTCCACGTGATTCATAAGGGTACTCACCAGACAGTGAGTGCTCTTCACTGTATGGGAGTGTAGACCAGGGGTCGGGCTTAGGCCCTGAAGTTAAGGTTCAGATCCTGCTCTGCCACCTACTGGCTGGTGACCGCTCTGCGCCTCAGTCTTCTCCGCAGTGGGGCAATGATTGTATCGGGTCTGTTAAGTGGATTAAATGAGTTAATATATCTAAGTACTTAATGACTGTGGTCTCATGTTATTAATGTATTGATTGGTTTCTCTATATTGATTTTTATAGGAGACAAGCTATGGGAGGTGCAGTGTGAGTCCCCGACCTTCACTGTGGCTTGGCACCCCAAAAGGCCTCTGCTGGCATTTGCCTGTGATGACAAAGATGGCAAATATGACAGTAGTCGGGAAGCAGGAACTGTGAAGCTGTTTGGGCTTCCTAACGATTCCTGATTAGGAAGACCTGACGTAGGGAGAGCGCCCCGGCCTGCCTTTGCGTGATTAGTCTGGTCCTTTCTCCTGGAGTTGGTGCGCACGTACAGTGTTTGTAAATTGGTATAAATTATAAAAGTCTTGCTTTCAGGCTGCCCGTTCCAGTCGACTTCCTGTTTGCCACGTCGGCCGTTCCTTTTCATTCCCCCTTGCGTGAGGGCTGTGCAGTGTGGGTGGTGACACCAGTGCACCTGGCCTTGGGCGATCAGTCCCGTCTTCCTGCTTTTGGGTACAGGGTGGACTGCGCTGGACTTGGTTGCCTGGGCCATGCCTCCTTTGGGGGCTGAGTGAAGAAGGGTGACTCGGGGATGGGCTTTATTTTTTATAATGAAAGAAATACATGTAATTTTAAGAATTGAATAATAAAAATGACTTTTCCACTATAAGACTTTTAGGACTTTTAAAATTATGGTATTATTATGTTATTACAGGGAGATGTTGCTGTTTTGCATTTAAAAGAAATGCCAAGTAGAGTTTAAAGGTTGTAATTCTGCTGTTTAATCTTCTAACCCAAGAGCCCGACAAGTGCAGGGACCCACCGTGCAGCGCACGGGCGGCAGCAGTCCTTGCAGTCAGCAGTTGTGTGTGTGTGTGCGCATGCGCCTGGCCTCATTCGTTAGGTTGATGGCCAACACTGGGAAAAGTAGTTAGAAACAGGAACTACACAGTCAGGGTGAGGGGGATACGTTAGAGAGTCAAGACAGGGGAAATCAAAACAGAAACGTGCACAGAGTAGGAACCTAGCTGAGTGATTGAACTAAAATTTGGACTCGGCACTCCCTGGTGGCAAAGTGAAGGCAGGGGTAAGTCGGCTGCTTCGTAGGGGAAAGAAAAGCTCATGGCAGCTCCTCAGGGCAGAGCTTTTGTTTTGCCTCCACGAGAAATGGCTCATGTAGGAGTTTCTGGTGAGTAATGTCATGATTTTCATTGTATTTTAATGTATTTCAGCATAAAACTTAGGGATATACCTCAGTGAATGATGTTTGTGGAAAATTTTAGAAAAAGCAGGAAAGCAAAAAGAAAAATCGTATTCCTAGCACCATGAGTCACTATTAGCATTTTAGTGTACATCCTAGGAGCTTTCCTATGCTCATTCGTACATAAAAACACGTGTAGCTTTATGAGGACGTCTTGAAGACAAATCAAGTATGACAAGATAAGTCATGCAGGGTCTCAGCGCCATGCTGAGTGGTATGAACACTCAGTAGGCCTTAGACCTTTTTAGTCATTGGCCATTCCCTCCGTATCTGGCACCGTAGAGAGCACTTCGCATCAGCTATTCAAGTTTTGAGACGGCCTCCTGAGGCTGGACCCCATCCTTTTTCTGCCCCAGGGAGTAGAAGTAATTCATTGCCACTCAGTAAGTGCCGGCATCCAGTCCTGGGTGCCTTCGTTGCTATGGCTGTTCCGTTTCCATTTGAGT